GCTAACTAGCTTGTTGTTGGATGTCGCGACAGTGCAGTTAGCCCCGTTCGTTGTGTCAGGCCAGGGACCAGGGACGCACGAGCCGAATCAGTGGACAGGGGGTATCGCAATCGAGGCGGGCTAAAGGGATAGTTAGCTAGCCAGGCAGCTAGCTAGTTGTCCAACTAGCTAGCTAACGTGAGAAATCTAAAACAAGGCTTGAAGCGAGCATCAACGGAGAGAGGCCCTCAACACACCCCCTCGCATCGACACTGCCCCCTCTTCCCCGATCCTCCCGTGATTTGCTGAGATCCGTACACGGGTAAAGTCGGACAGTTCTCGGTTGGGGGACAACTTGACAGCGAGGCCCCTAGCTCCCCTCCCCCCATTCCCATCCAAGACCCCTTAGTCCACCTCCTCGTCAGACATTAATTAGAAGCAAGGGTAGGGATATTAGATACCTAGCTAACGTTAACCCATCCAACCGAAGTCTGTCATCCAGATAGTCCCTTCTAAACCGCGGGCTGCCAAAACCAGGAGGGATGACTTTGGAGTCGATGATGGCTTGCTGCCTGAGTGAAGAGGCGAAGGAATCGAAACGAATCAATGCGGAGATAGACAAACAACTCCGGCGAGACAAGCGGGACTCGAGGAGAGAACTGAAATTGCTCCTTCTCGGTAACTCAAACTGTCAACTATATTTTGGGGTTTATTTTAACCATAGTTAGCTAGTTGACGTTTTGTGTAATATCAATTTAGCTAACAATATAGGTTAGCTAGCTAGCTTCAGGCCTCCATTTTCCCCAAGTGAGCTAGCTAGCTAATGTTAGCTAACCAGTCAATATGTATTAGTTAGTTAACATTTGCTAGCTAGATATGTGTTTGGTTAGCCAACGAGTTTGTTAGCTAGTCAGGTGGGTAGGTAACTAGCTACCTTCTGTTGCTAGCTAAATCACCAAGCCACTCGACAACATCTGGTCGCTTTTGGTGTTAGTGCTAGCTAACCAACTAGCAACCTGACGTTTGCATCTAGCTATTTGCTGGCATTGCATGCTTGCTAGCTAACTGTGTATCCTGCTTACCATCCACTCACCCCTGGTTGAACTAGTCAATTAGCCTAGCTACGTTTAGCTAGCTAGCTAAGTGCTAGGCTTCAATTTAATTATTAGAACGGGAGAATGGTTCATAATCAAATCAAGTGGTTATGCTAACTATGAATTATTAGATGAGCAACGTTAGTGTGACCACATTGTTGTATCTGCTGACGATTACTGAATCCAAGTTCTACTAATACTATTACTACAAGGACTGGAGAGGGCCATTTCAGAATGAATCTGATAGTGAAAAGATTTTAAGCATATATGGTCATGTTGATGGTACTGTATTGCAGAAAACAGATCCCTCCCGGCTATTTTTATGTTAACCCCAGCCCCAATGAATGATCCATTGGAAGGTGAAAGATTGTTACAGTTGTACAGCTAAATAAAGCATACAGGTGAGCTGAATGGATGAATAGGACTAGGGGGTCACACATTGCACAACCTGGCAGATACAATTCCTATAACTAGGCCTAGGCTCTATATGGGAAAGAGTTCTGGTGTGCTCTCTGAATTAAATGTATATCTGAAACATTGGGTGCAGCTTCTCAACATCAGCCAGAAGCATGAAGTAGAATATAATTGTGTGTGTGTCTGTATATGTGTCTCTGTGCTTTTACAGACCCTCACGACTGAGAGCATGGAGGCAAAATCAGGAGAAACTCTTTTAAACACTCCTGGCAGTAGAAGTTGTCCTTAGACACAGGTCTCTAGGATCAGTTTATCTTTCCTAAATCCTAACCTTAGCCACTGGAGAAAAATAAATAACTGGCCTTAGATTGCCAGCATCTACCGGTCTTTTAGACTTTTTTTTTTACTTTTAGTGTTTCTATTGGACAAGTTCAGTTCGGTTAGTAGGCTACCTCTGTTTCAGAAACGTTTGCTCCCGTTTCACGCTTACAAAACATATCCCAGGTTGTCTGACACGTATGATTGCCCCTCTCTCCAGTCGTTTCCCTGTAGACCCTGGCTCAGTTCTGAGAAATAGGCCAAACCAAATCACACAGAGAGACACTATTCTATTGTAGGCTATTTTGTCATTTTTCTATTTAATCACATTCCATCCTACTGGATTCAATTTTGTTTGATTATATTGTGTTGACTTGAACCTGTAGGGAGCATATTAGGCCTAGATCATGTAAAAATATAAATATATATGTCACACTTAACAAAAATATAAATGCAACATGTAAAGTGTTGGTCCCATGTTTCATGAGCTGAAATAAAAGATCCCAGAAATGTTCCATACACACAAAAAGCTTATTTCTCTCATTCTGTGCACAAATTTGTTTACATCTGTTAGTGACTATTTCTCATTTTGCCAAGATAATACATCCTTGCCAAGATAATACATCCACCTGACAGGTGTGGCATATCAAGAAGCTAATTAAACAGCATTGTCATTACACGGGTGCACCTTGTGCTGGGGACAGTAAAAGGCCACTAAGATGTGCAGTTTTGTGTCACATCACAATGCCACAGATGTCTCAAGTTTTGAGGGAGCATGCAGTTGGCATGCTGACTGAAGGAATGTCCACCAGAGCTGTTGCCAGAGAATTTAATGTTAATTTCTCTAAGCCACCTCCAATGTAATTTGAGAGAATTTGGCAGTACGTCCAACCAGCCTCACAAGTGCAGACCACGTATAACTACGCCAGCCTAGGACCTCCATATTCGGCTTCTGATGCCACCTGGACAGCTGATGAAACTGGGTTTGCACATCCGAAGAATTTCTGCACAAACTGTCAGAAACAGTCTCAGGGAAGCATTTGCATGCTTGTCATCGTCACCAGGGTCTTGACCTGACTGCATTTCAGCATCGTAACCGACTTCAGTGGCCAAATGCTCACCTTCGATGGCCACTGATACGCTGGAGAAGTGTGTTCTTCACAGACTAATCCTGGTTTCAACTGTACCGGGCAGATGGCAGACACTGGTGTATGGTGACGTGTGGGTGAGCAGTTTGCTGATGTCAACGTTGTGAACAGAGTGCTCCATGGTGGCGGTGGGGTTATGGTATAGGCATGCATAAGCTATGGACAACGAACACAATTGCATTTTATCGATGGCAATTTGATTGCACAGACATACCTTGACGAGATCCTGAGGTCCATTGTCATGACATTCATCCAATGTACACAATTCCTGGAAGCTGAAAATGTCCCAGTTCTTCCATGGCCTGCATACTCACCAGACATGTCACCCATTGAGCATGTTTAGGATGCTCTGGATCGGCATGTACGACAGCGTGTTCTAGTTCCCGCCAATATCCAACAACTTCGCACAGGCATTGAAGAGTGGGACAACATTCCACAGGCCACAATCAACAGCCTGATCAACTCTATGCGAAGGAGATGTCGCGCTGCATGAGGCAAATGGTGGTCACACCAGATACTGACTGGTTTTCTGATCCACGCCCCTACTTAAAAAAAAAAAAAAAGGTATCTGTGACCAACGGATGCAAATATGTATTCACAGTCATGTGAATTCCATAGATTAGGGACTAATGAATTTATTTCCATTGACTGATTTCCTTTGATGAACAGTAACTCAGTAAAATCTTTGAAATTCTTGCGTGTTGCGTCTATATTTTTGGTGCGCACGCACACAAAATCTATCCAGTATGCTCGGTTGGATTACTGTTCCCCACTTGCATGTCTCAATTCTACTGCTTCAGAGTGGAGCACAGAGATGATGGATGTGTGGGTTGGGACTACTCACTTCATCAATATATCTCTGTTTATACCTACTGACTATTCCTACTCTTGTGATGCAATGCTGTGTGAGTCGAGGACCAGGGCTGGAACTAAAACCAGTACTAGTTCTGCAGGACCAGGCCTGGAACTATAGCCAGTTCTAGTTCTGCAGGACCAGGCCTGGAACTATAGCCAGTTCTAGTTCTGCAGGACCAGGCCTGGAACTAAAGCCAGTACTAGTTCTGCAGGACCAGGCCTGGAACTATAGCCAGTTCTAGTTCTGCAGGACCAGGCCTGGAACTAAAGCCAGTACTAGTTCTGCAGGACCAGGCCTGGAACTATAGCCAGTTCTAGTTCTGCAGGACCAGGCCTGGAACTAAAACCAGTACTAGTTCTGCAGGACCAGGCCTGGAACTATAGCCAGTTCTAGTTCTGCAGGACCAGGCCTGGAACTAAAGCCAGTACTAGTTCTGCAGGACCAGGCCTGGAACTATAGCCAGTTCTAGTTCTGCAGGACCAGGCCTGGAACTAAAGCCAGTACTAGTTCTGCAGGACCAGGCCTGGAACTATAGCCAGTTCTAGTTCTGCAGGACCAGGCCTGGAACTAAAGCCAGTACTACTTCTGCAGGAACTAAAGCCTGTGAAGACCAGGCTAGCCCTGATCAGGGATCAGTGGAGAAGTCTACTCCCTGTATCAGATTTTCAGATTTGAGTCAGTCAGTGGGACTTCCGTGAGAGGCAGTGTGTGCCTGTGCCTCTGTGTACCCAGTGATCAGTCATGCTGTAAACAGACTATTCTAAGTGAGTTAAGGCTGTGTATTTGTGTGTCTGAGCGGGGATAAGGAGGTGTAAGGAAGGATTAGTCCAGGTCTATAATAGGCTTTGTTAAACATGGCTAAAGCTTAGACTGATATGTCACTGACTCCTATTAGTCACACGTTTCACTAGGGCTGAGTGTGGTTTTCCAGGTCAATTACAGTGTTTTTAAATGCTCCATAGTTTTGCACGCTCCTGTTAAATGCATGATGTTACGAGTACAACAGTCCGAAGCTGTTGCATCTATCAGGAGTTGATTGTACATGCAAATACTGTGGTTTCCTATGGCTCAGTTGGTTGGAGTATGAAGTGCTTGTATGACCAGAGTTGAGTTTTAATGCCTGAAGATGGGACAGGCTATGGCGACCTCACTCACTCTCTACTGCCCCCCTCCCCCCATCTCCCCTGTAACATGTGCTGCTGAGGGCCATATCAGGCCATGGGACCAGCCATGCTCCACAGCTCTGGTGGTGTTTGCCTCTACTTGGTCAAAATACAGAGAAGGCTCTGGGCTGGCTCGGCTGGGGGCTGCTGTTGCCAGGCTTGGGGCTGTGTTGGCTGGGATGGGGGCTGCTGTAGCTTGATTTGGGGTTGGCTGGCTGGCCTGGGGGCTGCTGTAGCTTGACTTGGGGTTGGCTGGCTGGGCTGGGGGCGGCTGTTGCCTGTCTTGGGGCTGCTGTTGCTTGACTTGGGGCTGGCTGGGCTGGGGGCTGCTGTAACTTGACTTTGGGTTTGCTGGCTGGGCTGGGGGCTGCTGTTGCCTGACTTAGGGCTGTGTTGGCTGGCTGGGATGGGGGCTGCTGTAACTTGACTTGGGGTTAGCTGGCTGGGATGGGGGCTGCTGTGTTGACTGGCTGGCTGGGATGGGGGCTGCTGTTGCCTGACTTGGGGCTGTGTTGGCTAGCTGGGATGGGGGCTGCTGTTGCTTGACTTGGGGCTGTGCTGGCTGGCTGGGATGGGGGCTGCTGTAGCCTGACTTGGGGCTGTGTTGGCTGGCTGGCTGGGATGGGGGCTGCTGTTGCCTGACTTGGGGCTGTGTTGGCTGGCTGTGCTGGGGGCTGCTGTAGCCTGACTTGGGGCTGTGTTGGCTGGCTGGCTGTGCTGGGGGCTGCTGTAGCCTGACTTGGGGCTGTGTTGGCTGGCTGGCTGTGCTGGGGGCTGCTGTAGCCTGACTTGGGGCTGTGTTGGCTGTGCTGGGGGCTGCTGTAGCCTGACTTGGGGCTGTGTTGGCTGTGCTGGGGGCTGCTGTAGCCTGACTGGGGGCTGTGTATCTGTGGCCTGACTGGGGGCTGTGTATCTGTGGCCTGGGTGACCTGGGCTGTTGGCTAAATTAACTGCTACCTACTCAGTCACTTTCTTGCCCTGCTGCTTCGCTCCAAATGGGAGGGGTTTCCATGTCGGGCTAGCAGGGCTCAGACTCTCCCGATGGAGAAGAAACTAGCTCAGATGAAGTTCGATTTGGGTGGTCACTCACTAGCCAGGGGCAGGCTGAGGGGTTTAGTTCTAAACCCTGGTGACGGTTAGAGTGGAAATAGCCTGGAGAAGAGAAGACTCAGGTGTTCTCTCCTTATTTTGGTCATATAAGGGAATGTAGTCATGCTTCTTGAGCTAGTTTTGACAGCCGTGTGTGTGTGTTAAATCCCTCCATGCCAAGGGTCAGGTTTAAGGATAATCTGACTTGCATTACATAAAATTACCTAAAATTACATAAATACTATTACATAAAAATCGCATAATTCTATAGCGGCCATTTTTGCACCTCCTAGGCCATCAACACGGTGTCCAGGTTCACCCAACTTTTTCTATGATTCTGACCCACAGTGACTGACTGGCTGGTTCACAGTCCGACAAACACACACACACACTCAGAAGCCAGCCTATAAATACTTTCCCTGATGCTCACCTTGTTAATGAAGAGGATTTTAATTGAGTGTGCGTCCCACAGCCGCCAATCCTCATGAAACACCACACACACACACACACACACACACACAGCCCAAACGGGGTCATGCATTTCTCTCTGGAGATGTAGGGGCGTTATGAGGCAGGGCTCTAGACTAACTTCTTTAATACTTTTTCAGTTGATGGCACCAGCACATGGTTTGGTCGTTCCAATTTTTCACCACTGCTCGGCGGTGTCCCGTAATGAACCCGCGTTCCATACAGAACCTAATAATGGTTAGCCGTCTTTTATATTAACATGCCTTTGCAGAGCTTGACATTCAGGCACATTTGCCAGTGGCACACCGGGCCAGTGCCAACTGAAAGCTACTGGCCCGAATGAAAAGACAACTGGCCAGGGAAAGCGGATGATGCGCGCATCATTTAAATGTTATCTTTAATTTGCAGGCTGAGCAAGTAACCTATAGCTTATAATGACCTACCCCCCCATACACAAATAATGACATTTTAACTTGACTATCATATTTACATTGATAGTTTTTTATTTATATTTATTTTTTAAACTTTTATTTAACTAGGCAAGTCAGTTAAGAACAAATTCTTATTTACAATGACGGCCTACACCGGCCAATGGGACTCCCAATCACAGCCGGTTGTGATACAGCCTGGAATCGAACCAGGGGGTCTGTAGTGACACCTCAAGCACTGAAATGCAGTGCCTTAGACCACTGCGCCACTCGGGAGGAAAAAATTGAATTCCTGGTTTACATACATACCCATTGCTATTTTGAATAAATCTTAATAATAGTTTGAAAAGCTAATTGTGAACCAAAGACTAACGTGACCAACTACATTTCTTTTTTCACTTGCACCCTAGCGACCATTGAAAAATCGGTGTCGTACTGCCAAGTCAAATGGTTGCAAATGCAAGTGTTTTTTTGGTTGCAGTTTTGAGCCTTGTGAGGGTAGAGGGGAAAACTGTCTCATTTACTACGCCTTGTCAGACCCAAGGGGCCAGGGTTTCGTTCTAGAAGCACGGTTTCGACTGCTCCTACAGCTTTGCTTCGGTACTGCAGTTTACTGACGCCTGGCACAGAAAGTAATTTACATAGACGGCCATATAGAGAAGTCAGATCAGTAAATTCCTAAAAAGCAGGCCTCAAATTTCCCGGCGGTGGCCGTCGACGCCCCCTAAAAAAATCCATGCCTTGTGGCCATTGTGCCCTTGGGCTGAATACAGTAATTATTCTTCCCTTCTCCCAGCTGACAATCGCCATGCTCCGAAGCACCTCTCACTCACATGGCTCTCTCAGATAATTAAATTCATATTAGCCAATGCCTGTCATGTGATTGGGTCCTTCTCACAGGCATCGCAGCTCCGAAGTAGGCTACAAGTGAAGACGGACACATCAGGGATGCAACCGCGCACCATTCTTATCGAATTCAGAGGCGCATATTGAAGATGTTAGAACTGTCCACATTTACTTTCCGTCAGCCAACAGGATAAGTAGGCCTAACGAACAGCAAAAGCACTAGCCTATGTCAATCTACTATCCCCCATAGTACACAAGTTGACCTATTCTATAAATATCTCAAACATACTCTGGGACAGTTGTGGGACACGATAAAATCCAAATTAATACAACCACTGTACATAAAAAAAAAAAAAAAAAAAAAAAAAAAGCAATGAGGCTGATGCAACAGATCAGAACGTTAAGCTTAAAATGTTGATCAACTATTATTTTTCTTCACATTATAAGCGCAGCAATGCGCACACGGCAGGAAGGCTATAAGCATGAATGTTCCAAAATGAAATTAGCGGCAAAAGTGCACTGCAAATGCGAGTGGTTTCATATGACCTTCTGCTACCATTTCTGTCAAGCCATCTAAGCATACAGTTTGATGCATACGTTCGATAAATCCAACCTATGCACCACACAGAACTCACTGCAACTGCCTCTGCAACGCAATGCTGCATGGCAAACGCAGCGTTCCATTGGAAATTAATGTACTTTTGATGTACCAAAATGCAATGACGCTGTCGGTGTGATCGAGGCGTTGGGAAGACCTAAAGACGCATTGGTTGTTAATGACTAGGATTGTGTCTTTGGCTGCTGGACAACGAAAGAAAGTTGAGAACATGAGACACTGGTTTCAATGGCATATGAGGAAGTGTTTATAAAAGAATCCACTTAACATGCCTATGGTCAGAACATGTTAAGAAATGCCTCATAAAATTATAAACTTCCAGGTCCCTCAAGTATGTCGACAGAATCAAGCCTTTAGATAGTAATAATGATCCTACATTATATTTATCAAACATGACTGGCGTTTAGCCTATATATGTAATTAAGTCTCTCATAAAGTTCGGCTACATTTTCAGGCGCCTCCCTCATGTCAGCATCGGTCTGGACATGACATGCTGTAGCCAATACGCATAGGCTATCACCTGCACTTCGACATGTAGGCTAATTATTTATGTACATTTACATACTTCTGTTTTTCTTAACAGAATAGCTAGTGTTTTTTTTCGGTTTTCAAACCAATTTAAATTGGCTATTTTGGTTAATGGCCTTGGTGCCCTGGCAGATTGGGCACCTCTTGAAGGCCAAAAGGCCTTGCCCCTAAAATCACGAAATTACGGGTCTGCTAATAAGACCCTTTAGTCATCACATTTGTGCACAAAAAATCCATTGAATTATAAAAATAAAATCGCTGAGGCATTTTTTCTTTTTTTCCCTTTTTTTTTTTTTTTTTACATATATTTTTTTCAGCACTCATAGCCGAGGATATTAACATTTTATATTCATCCAATGTCTGCCATATTTTTGGATAACGTGATGACGTCGTTGCTGCTCCATGTATGCACTAAGTGCTAGTGCACGTGATGCTGGTCCATATAAACCGGATGCAATCCGGCTATAGGCGGTTCATGAATCGGCGTATGCGAACGTGAGTAGATTACCTTGAAAACAAAGGGCGGACATCTTGGATGCAGTCTCCAGTTCTTATTATACCTCAGTGGTCAGACCCACACGTGTCTTTCTCCCCCTCTCTCTGTATCCCTCTCCTTTCTCTGCACCCCCCCTCTCATCACGCCCTTTCTCTGTCTCTTTAGATTCCCTCCCTTCCTCCTGTTGATGATGTCAGAACGGAACTGATACACTGGTACATGCGTTTGTTCCCCCTTCTTACCCTAAGCTTGGGGGTGTGTGTGTGTGTTTGTTTATGTAGGCCAAGTAAGGGAAGTGGGTCATCATAGCGTAGGTAAGATTGACTGGCCTGGGGCTGACCACAGGATCCATATAACCACAGTTGGTAGGCAGCTGGTTGTGTGTTGTATGCCTTACCATCATACAACAATACCATCATGGGGGGAAAACGAATAGAAAAATACCCAGACACTAAGAAATAGTTTAGTGTTTGTCAGGTGTGAGACATTGTAGACTAAGCTTGGGCAGCATCTATGATCATGTTCCCATCCCACAGTGGGGAAGTCCAGAAATAAACCACAGATAATCAACCACAGTTTACCACTGGTTAACCTCACCTAGCCTGTTATCAGCAGTCTGCTTCACCACAATGCAAATGTCTACCTCTGGATTTACATACACACTGATACACACACAGATCACTAGGTAGGGCCCTATAAAAACAGAATCCACACGTGGAAACGGAATAAAAAAACAAACCAATGTAGTTGAAAAGGAATTACCTGTATTTAACTTAATAGTAAGGTAGTTAAATTGCACTAAACCGTCAGCAGAGGAAATCCATTCAGAGATATTACAGGTTGTGGCTGCATGTGCAGACTGGTCTGGTTTGTTGGGGTTGACTTTATTTTTGTATTTCTTTTGGAGATATTTACAATAAATACACACACACTACTCAAGTTCAACACACAACACATCGTCCAGATTTTTAGCTGACCTCATCCTAGCTTTCTGTTTCCCTGAAGAATTGCATGTTAAACAAATGCATTCAATGTTTTTGTGTGCATTTACCAAATAATTATTCAAATATAGTGTTTAGTGTCCGCTAGAAATCAGGACTGTGTGTTTGCTGAGGTATCCGTGCTATGTTCCCCTATTACTCTGCTCTCTGGCCAGCATCATATCTGAAACCACATACACCCCATCTCTTTACCAGACGTGTGTGTGTGTGTGTGTGGGCGTAGCCTCGTGGGCGTTTTTCTAAGCGCTGCTTTCTTTCTCGCGCTACTAGCTGGAAAGACCCAAGTAGTGTCAGCTAGTAAAAGGTGTGTGAGTGTATATGTAAGCGTTGCTCTCGTTCGCTCTCTCTCTTTGCCGACTGGGAAGGAAAGCGTTATCAAACCCAGTAGTGTGATCTATTAAAAGGTGACCTCGTTTTTCTAGGTCGGCACCAAAAAAGAATGGACAGATTCTAGTTTTGAATATCCCAAATGCTTGACAGGGAGGAGAATGAGAGAGTGAGGGGAGAGGCGAAGGGAAGAGAGAGGAAGGGGGAGGTGGATGATAATGGGGGAGGTGGATTTCCAGCCTCGGGGAGTAGGAGGGAGACGAAGATTAGGGGCATGAGAGGAGAGATGGAGTAAGGGCGAGGCTGGGTGAAGAGAAGGAGAGGGGGGAGGGAGACAGAGGCTGGTAGTGTGCTCTGTAGAGGAGAGGAAGCGACAGAACAGAAGAGGGATGAAGGGAGAGATCTTATGACAGGGTCACGAGAAATAAATCAGACCTCAGACTGATCTTTCACTGAGGACACGGGCCGTGTTCCAGTACTGTAACAGCCTCTTCCTCTCTCCTTGGGCAATGTCCCAATACTGTAACAGCCTCGTCCTCTTTCCTTGGGCTGCATCCCAATACTGTAACAGGGGAAAATACAAAACTGACCTTACATCAGCAGCGTCTAGAGACAACTTCATCCTCCTCCTCAGAACTGTATCTAACAGACTGAAGAGAGGAGCAGGGCCCTTCTACATAGCAGCAGAGCGGGATGGAGAGAGAGAGCCCGAGGCACAGTTATATTTACTATCCGCTAGGAAAGAGAAGAAAAAGGGAGAGGAGAGAAGAGGGGTTGCCATGGCAACCGAAATATGGCTGCTCTTCAAAAACCTTGAATGTAGGTGGTGGTGTTTCTTTCTCTCTGTCTCTTTCAGTTTGCAGATATGGCAGATCTGTGTTTAGGGATTGACATGGCAGTAGCCTGCCTCAGGGTATATGTGTATTTCTGGGCATATGGTGCAGAGAGGCTGTGAAATATGGGTTACCAGCAGCCCCCTTGGCTAGTGAGGGTTTAGCCAGCGAGTGAAGTAAATCTAGCTAAAATGGTTACTTTGCCAAATGTGTGTTTTGTGAATTCTCATAAAACCACTGCATCAGAAAATGAATATGTCTGATTGGACAAGTTCAGATAGTACCTCCCCGTTTCACTCAGTTTCTTTCCGTCTCATGTGGACTAGACACGACCCAGGTGAGGACAGTTGGTGACACAAATCAATCAGTTAATTACCAGGGAGAACAGAGAACCACCAGTACTGTGGACCTCTAGGTATGGAGGGGAACACCCCTCCTTTAAAAGACAAGCAGCTCAACATTCAGATGTAGGACAAGTTCTTTAATCTCACCCAATGATATGGCTGTTATCGTCTTCCATAACCCCCTGTCCCCCATCTTCTAGGAATCCAAGAATGTATTATTTCCTCTCCAGCTCTCTTAAATGGCTGTAGTATTGGGACAAAGAGCCTTTGACATATCTGACAGCATGGACAGTTTAGCGAAATCAATTAGATCTGTTCCCAGTACTGTTTTGTAATGCATGTTGTCTGGCTGGGCCCTGGAGAGGCTTGTATTAGCTAAAGGAGATGATGGTATGGCAGGGTCCCGTGTTTCTCCTGGAAAGACAAGGGTCTACTTCTGGCAGTCAGGTCATGTGACAGTTTTGTTTGAACCAATCCCCTGCCTCCCCTGGATTATATACGGAACAAAAATATAAACGCAGCATGCAACAATTTCATTGATTTTTACCGAGTTACAGTTCATATGAGGAAATCAGTCAATTGAAATAAATTCATTAGGCCCTAATCTATGGATTTCACGACTGGGAATACAGATGTACATCTGTTGGTCACATATACCTTTAAAAAAAAATGGGCCTCACAATGGTCCTCAGGATCTCGTCACTGTATTTTTGTGCATTCAAATTGCCATCGATTTAAAATGCAATTGTGTTCGTTGTCTGTAACTTATGCCTGCCCATACCATAACCCCACTGCCATCTCTGTTCACAATGTTGAAATCAGCAAACCGCTTGCCCACACGATGCCATACACATGGACGTACTGCCAAATTCTCTAAAACGACACTGGAGGCGGCTTATGGTAGAGAAATTAATATTAAATTCTGGCAACAGCTCTGGTGGATATTCCTGCAGTCAGCATGCCAATTGCACGCTCCATCAACTTGCGACATCTGTGGCATTGTGTTGTGACAAAACTGCACATTATAGATTGGCCTTTTATTGTCCCCAGCACAAGGTGCACCTGTGTAATGATCATACTGTTTAATCAGCTTCTTGATATGCCACACCTGTCATGTGGATGGGTTGTCTTGGCAAAGGAGAAATGCTCAGTAACAGGGAACATTTCGGAGGTCTTTTATTTTGGCTAATGAAACATTGGACCAACACTTGCGTTTCTGTTTTTGTTCAGTGTACAGTGGGGGAAAAAAGTATTTAGTCAGCCACCAATTGTGCAAGTTCTCCCACTTAAAAAGATGAGAGAGGCCTGTAATTTTCATCATAGGTACACGTCAACTATGACAGACAAAATGAGAAAAAAAAAATCCAGAAAATCACGTAGGATTTGTAATGAATTTATTTGCAAATTATGGAAGCCACTCCTTCGTTGCCCGGGCGGTGTGTTTGGGATCATTGTCATGCTGAAAGACCCAGCCACGTTTCATCTTCAATGCCCTTGCTGATGGAAGGAGGTTTTCACTCAAAATCTCACGATACATGGCCCCATTCATTCTTTCCTTTACACGGATCAGTCGTCCTGGTCCCTTTGCAGAAAAACAGCCCCAAAGCATGATGTTTCCACCCCCATGCTTCACAGTAGGTATGGTGTTCTTTGGATGCAACTCAGCATTCTTTGTCCTCCAAACACGACGAGTTGAGTTTTTACCAAAAAGTTATATTTTTCATCTGACCATATGACATTCTCCCAATCCTCTTCTGGATCATCCAAATGCACTCTAGCAAACTTCAGACGGGCCTGGACATGTACTGGCTTAAGCAGGGGGACACGTCTGGCACTGCAGGATTTGAGTCCCTGGCGGCGTAGTGTGTTACTGATGGTAGGCTTTTTTACTTTGGTCCCAGCTCTCTGCAGGTCATTCACTAGGTCCCCCCGTGTGGTTCTGGGATTTTTGCTCACCGTTCTTGTGATCATTTTGACTCCACGGGGTGAGATCTTGCGTGGAGCCCCATATCGAGGGAAATTATCAGTGGTCTTGTATGTCTTCCATTTCCTAATAATTGCTCCCACAGTTGATTTCTTCAAACCAAGCTGCTTACCTATTGCAGATTCAGTCTTCCCAGCCTGGTGCAGGTCTACAAATTTGTTTCTGGTGTCCTTTGACAGCTCTTTGGTCTTGGCCATAGTGGAGTTTGGAGTGTGACTGTTTGAGGTTGTGGACAGGTGTCTTTTATACTGGTAACAAGTTCAAACAGGTGCCATTAATACAGGTAACGAGTGGAGGACAGAGGAGCCTCTTAAAGAAGAAGTTACAGGTCTGTGAGAGCCAGAAATCTTGCTTTTTTTTGTAGGTGACCAAATACTTATTTTCCACCATAATTTGCAAATAAATTCATAAAAAATCCTACAATGTGATTTTCTGGATTTTTTTTCCTCATTTTGTCTGTCATAGTTGACGTGTACCTATGATGAAAATTACAGGCCTCATCTTTTTAAGTGGGAGAACTTGCACAATTGGTGGCTGACTAAATACTTTTTTTCCCACTGTATGTCATTGGTTGGATAAAGCCTCATTTGAACCTATTCCTCTGTTACGATTCTTACTCTTCTCCCTGAAGTGTGCACTCATTCATTCCACTTCATGGATTGGAAAGGAATGGACTGGTGAAAGAAGGAATGTGAAGGCAGTGGAAACTCCCTGTAGCCCATGCCTACACCAAGCCAATGCTTTTAAATTCATGAGGTGGGAGTGAGCAAGCACTACTTTGGAAACTGTGAGGGGAGTCTAACTGGTGGTCATACAGTAGTAGGATTTCACAGTAACCCCAAACCGTCCTATGGTTTGTAGTTGACCATAGGGGTGAATGGATACTGCAGTGCAGGTTGGGTTGAATGGAGCTCTGGGTGGTGCTGGCGGTGGTCTGAGGAGCACATGGCTGTGGAGCTCTGACAAGCATCTGGTTCCTTCTGTTAGAAGCGGTCTGCTGCTGTCATAGCTGTTTGTGTTAAGGAACGACACTATTGAAACAGCTCTGACTGGATTCCCCTTCACACTGGCACTCACAGCACAACTCCCTCTCTCTCTCTATCTCGCCCTCTCTGTCTTTGTCGCTCTGTCTGTCTGTCTCTCTGTATACTATGCTCTCCAGTGATGTATTGCAGGGTTAACGCAGTTAACACACCTTTTTTATTTTATGAATAGCACACCCCTATCCCGCTAAATTAGCGCAACTGTTGCACAGCACAGGGTGTTGGTAACTGTGTGGATGCATTTGCTGTTTGTTGGATCCATTTGCTGTTTGTTTCGGATTATTTTGTGCCCAATAGAAATGAATGGTAAATGGGCCTCCCGAGTGGCGCAGCGGTCTAAGGCACTGCATTGCAGTGCTTGAGGCGTCACTACAGACCCGGGTGCGATCCCAGGCTGTGTCACAACCGTTAGTGTTTCCTCCGACACGTTGGTGCGGCTGGCTTCCGGGTTAAGCGGGCGGGTTTTAAGAAGCAAGGTTTGGCGGGTCATGTTTCGGAGGACGCATGACTCGACCTTCACCTCTCCCGAACCCGTTGGGGAGTTGCAGCGATTAGACAAGATCGCAATTGGATATCACGAAAAGGGGGTAAAATACACCCCCCAACAAACAAACAAATGTTACATTTAATGGTAAATAATGTATTGCCATTTTGGAGTCACTTTTATTCTAAATAAGTATATAATGGTTCTAAACACTACTACATTAATGTAGATGCTACCATGATTACGGATAATCCTGAATGAATCATGAATAATGATGAGTGAGAAAGGTGCATATGCACTAATATCATACCCCCAAGACATGCTAACCTCTCACCATTACAATAACAGGGGAGGTTAGCATTTTTGGGGGGTTTGATATTTATGCCTCTAACTTTCTTACTCATCATTATTCACGATTCATTCAGGATTATCCTTAATCATGGTAGCTTCCACATTTTAATGGAGAAGTGTTTAGAAACATTCTGTTCTAAAATACTGACTCCAAAATGACACAATACATTATTTTGTGCCCAATAGAAATCAATGGTAAATAATCTGAAACACAACCAAAACAAACAGCAAATGCATCCAATTTGTAGAGTCACAAGCTTGATGCAATCATTGTGTGGTATGAATATGGGACCAAATGCTGAACTTTTGACTACTTTAATACACATATAAGTGAAATTGTCCCAATACTTTTGGTCCCATAAAATGGGGGGGGGGGGACTATGTACAAAAATAGTTGTCATTTCTAAACCATTCATCCAATATGGATGAAAATACCCTCAAATTAAAGCTGACAGTCATTGTATCATTTCAAATCCAACGTGCTGGAGTACAGAGTCAAAACGAGTACCTTTGGAGCTCACTGTAGATGTGTGTCTCCAGGTACAGGAGAGAGTGGTGCTAACAGTGGGTGTTCTATGTGTGTGTCTCCAGGTACAGGAGAGTGTGGTGCTAACAGTGGGTGTTCTATGTGTGTGTCTCCAGGTACAGGAGAGTGTGGTGCTAACAGTGGGTGTTCTATGTGTGTGTCTCCAGGTACAGGAGAGTGTGGTGCTAACAGTGGGTGTTCTATGTGTGTGTCTCCAGGTACAGGAGAGAGTGGTGCTAACAGTGGGTGTTCTATGTGTGTGTCTCCAGGTACAGGAGAGAGCGGTGCTAACAGTGGGTGTTCTATGTGTGTGTCTCCAGGTACAGGAGAGAGCGGTGCTAACAGTGGGTGTTCTATGTGTGTGTCTCCAGGTACAGGAGAGTGTGGTGCTAACAGTGGGTGTTCTATGTGTGTGTCTCCAGGTACAGGAGAGTGTGGTGCTAACAGTGGGTGTTCTATGTGTGTGTCTCCAGGTACAGGAGAGTGTGGTGCTAACAGTGGGTGTTCTATGTGTGTGTCTCCAGGTACAGGAGAGTGTGGTGCTAACAGTGGGTGTTCTATGTGTGTGTCTCCAGGTACAGGAGAGTGTGGTGCTAACAGTGGGTGTTCTATGTGTGTGTCTCCAGGTACAGGAGAGAGTGGTGCTAACAGTGGGTGTTATATGTTTGTGTGTCTTCAGGTACAGGAGAGTGTGGTGCTAACAGTGGGTGTTCTATGTGTGTGTCTCCAGGTACAGGAGAGTGTGGTGCTAACAGTGGGTGTTCTATGTGTGTGTCTCCAGGTACAGGAGAGTGTGGTGCTAACAGTGGGTGTTCTATGTGTGTGTCTCCAGGTACAGGAGAGTGTGGTGCTAACAGTGGGTGTTATATGTTTGTGTGTCTTCAGGTACAGGAGAGTGTGGTGCTAACAGTGGGTGTTCTATGTGTGTGTCTCCAGGTACAGGAGAGTGTGGTGCTAACAGTGGGTGTTCTATGTGTGTGTCTCCAGGTACAGGAGAGTGTGGTGCTAACAGTGGGTGTTCTATGTGTGTGTCTCCAGGTACAGGAGAGTGTGGTGCTAACAGTGGGTGTTCTATGTGTGTGTCTCCAGGTACAGGAGAGTGTGGTGCTAACAGTGGGTGTTCTATGTGTGTGTCTCCAGGTACAGGAGAGTGTGGTGCTAACAGTGGGTGTTCTATGTGTGTGTCTCCAGGTACAGGAGAGTGTGGTGCTAACAGTGGGTGTTCTATGTGTGTGTCTCCAGGTACAGGAGAGTGTGGTGCTAACAGTGGGTGTTCTATGTGTGTGTCTCCAGGTACAGGAGAGTGTGGTGCTAACAGTGGGTGTTCTATGTGTGTGTCTCCAGGTACAGGAGAGTGTGGTGCTAACAGTGGGTGTTATATGTTTGTGTGTCTTCAGGTACAGGAGAGAGTGGGAAGAGTACATTCATCAAGCAGATGAGGATCATCCATGGGGCAGGCTACACAGAAGAGGACAAGAGGGGTTTCATCAGGCTGGTCTACCAGAACATCTTCACCTCCATGCAGTCTATGATCAAAGCCACAGAAAACCTCAAGATCCCCTTCAAATACGAACAGAACCGGGTAGGAAGTACTAACGCAACCATAAAAACTACTGCCTTCCACACACACAACCAAAACCAGATCAAAACCGCTTACGACACACATAAACACACACACGACCAGAGCCTGGTGTGAACTAATCTACAGTCACTCACACAAACACAATCCAGTACCATTGCACTCAATCTTCCCTTCTGTCGCTCTCTGTCTCTCTCTGTCTCTCTCTCTGTCTGTCTCTCTCTCTCTCTCTGTCTCTCTGTCTGTCTGTCTCTCTCTCTCTGTCTGTCTGTCTGTCTCTCTCTCTCCCCTCCCTCCCCAGTCTAATGCCATGTTAGTGAAGGAGGTGGACATAGAGAAGATCTGTGGCTTCGACCAGCCCTACATCAGCGCCATCAAGACCCTGTGGGCCGACCCTGGGATACAGGAGGCCTACGACAGACGCAGAGAATACCAGCTTTCAGACTCCACTAAATAGTATGTCCTGGTGTGTCTCTGTGTGTAAGAGGTTGGGGGAGGGGTGGATGTGAGTGCACGTGGGTGTGTGTGTTGGGGTTAAGGGGTATGCGTGTGGGTTTTGGTGTGTGTGGTTTACTGTGGTGCCTCTTGACTGGTTGCCCCCACTCCAGAGAGCTGATGGCTAGAAATAGAGTGAGCGGCTGAGACTCAGTCACACACACACACACACACACACACACACACACTACAGTTCACACACTCTGCTCTCTCCACCCCTCACACTCAGCTAATTGAACATACACCATTGCTTTGCCTCTTAAGAGGTGCTGGGAATAAATCTCCAGTACTTATTAATCAATAAAATGACGACTGCACACACATTTACCATTTACACAATCTATTGCTGACCTTTAAGTCAAGTCAAACCTTAGAATAAAGTGAATTGTGTGAGTGTAATGTTGATCTCTGATTCCTGATTGATTGCCTGTTAATGTTATGAGAGGACACCATCTCTGCTGACAACCAGCTAATCGGACGTCAGGACCTTGATAAGCTGAATTGGGTGTGTTTGAGCTGGACTAGGCTGGAATGAACGCCTGCACACTCAGGGCATCTCCAGGACCAGGGCTGAAGTCTCTCCCAGCGCTGCCCCCTGGCAAAGACCCTGGTGTATTACAGCTAATCAGTCTCTTCTTCCCTTGATGCGTGTGAGTGTGTGTCTGCGTGTGTGTGTGTGTGTGTGTGCTACTGTCAAGTTACTTTAGTGATAGACAGTGTGTGTCTGTGTGTGTCTACAGTTACCTTAGTGATATAGACCGTGTCACGGCGGGGGGATATGTTCCTACTCAGCAGGATGTGCTTCGTGTCCGGGTCCCCACTACGGGAATCATAGAGTACCCGTTTGACCTGGAGAACTGCATCTTCAGGTACCGTCACGGTACTGCGGCGAGGGACTGCTCCTTCTCTGCCACTGCTGCTGCCACCAACGTCTTCACTATGTCACTGTCCTGCAACACACTGACACACACACACACACACCCAGGTCCCCACATAGCACCTCTCTGAGACTGGGCCCATTCAGGACAACCCAACTGTTATGAAACTGTTGCAGACCCCCAAACTAGAAATGATGCGAAATAGCATCAAAATGGCTTGTTGGCTTGATGCAAAAATGGCAACAACTAAACTAAAGCCTCAAGGTCTTTTATTGTGAAGGTAAAGACCTGAAACGGCTGGTCTCAGAGTTGCTTTGGTGGATGGGTGGGTCTGTGTATGGCGCTCGGGGTGGTGGTGGAAGCCTAATACGGACCAACACCACTGTTCTCCTAGACTTGGTACGGTCTCCTAAGCCTTCCTCACTGGACTGATCCACCTTCTCTGGATTGGTAGGGGTGTGTGGCGGTAATGCTTACTGTCTACCGTGCTTTATATGACTGTCTGTCTGTCTCTTTCTGTCTCTCTCTCTCTTTCTCCCTCGGTGTGTAGCTATCTAACTGATCTGGACCGTATCTCAGACAACAACTATCTGCCCACCCAGCAAGATGTTCTGAGGGTGCGAATCCCCACCACCGGCATCATAGAGTACCCCTTCGACTTGTCAAGCATCATTTTCAGGTAGACAATGCTAGCGTGCTATCATTAGCCTAGCAAATGCATCATAGTCAGGTGGAGTAGCTAACATTAGCCTAGCAAATGCATCATTTTTAGGTAGACAATGCTAACGTGCTAACATTAGCCTAGCAAAAGCATCAGTCAGGTGGAGCCGCTAACGTTAGCCTAGAAAAAGCATCCTATTGAAGTAGAAGAGGCTAACGTGCTAACATTAGCCTAGCAAATGCATAATTCAGGAAGGGAATGCTAGCATCAGCATCAGTGCCCTTGTGAAGTCATGTTAACCAGTGAATCATCCCATGGCCATGCTCTAATACGTCTTCAAATGCATCCTCCTTTTCTCAAAGTAATCACAGCTTTGGCATGAGAGCATAGGTGAAATGTAGGGTCCCACTTTAAGCTTTCAACGATCCAGTCATGTCATTGATTAGTGGTTACTTCAAGGAAGGATGCATTTATTTATCAGTATTTGGATAGGGCATACTGATGTGTGTGTACATCTCGCATGTCATACGTTCTGGTTGTTCCATAACTATCATTGAACTCTTCAATCAGCAGTGGACAGAGCTGTAATGTGTTATAGGCTTGATCTCCACCATTACGGCCCGATCTCTCCTACTCTCTCTACTCATACACTCACACACATCCTCGTGAGTCCAAAGTCCTACATTCTGGCGCCCGTCTTTTTAAAATGGGTCACCCTCTCTTTCTCCTCTCCTCCTCTCTGTTCATCCTGGCAGAGGAAAGGAGGTCGTCCTCTCTCTCTCCCGGTGAAGTTATTTTGGGGCCTGGGGTCCTGCAGGGCTCTGATTGGCTCTTGGTCTCTGTAGACTGCAGTACCCCATGCTTACAGCAGGAGGGCGTTTCACCTCAAATTAAATCACATCCATTCACTTCTATAAATGAAATGTTTTTTAAAAAGACAATCTGTTTAATTCAAAGACAGGACTATGCAAATCTAGGTCTCGAAGACCACAGTGTTGCTGGTTGCCTTCTAGTTGTTAAATCATTGATTAATATCACTGACTTAGAACAAGTCTCACCTGGTCTGAATCAGTTCCTGGTACATCATGTAACTTTATCAGACAGACTAATTGCATTACTTAACTTTACTTCTACTTGAATCATTTAACAAAGAAGAATGCTTAACAAAACCTAAAAGATAACCTAGGACGACAGTGGCAAAGAAAAAGCGGAAGGAAGAAACCTTGACATGCACACTCACTCACACACACTCACGCTCCAGTCAGAACTACTCGGAGGACACACTCCTGTCGTTCACCCAGCAAAGGAATCCCGCCATCAGAGGTGCCTTCTGTATCCCTCCCCCTCCATCTTCTTCTTCCTTTTTTTCATTCTCCTCCTTTCCTCAGTCCTCATCTGCTCTTCTTTCTCTGTTCCTAGTCCTCTCTCTACCTCCTCTCTCTCTGTTCCTAGTCCTCTCTCTACCTCCTCTCTCTCTGTTCCTAGTCCTCTCTCTACCTCCTCTCTCTCTGTTCCTAGTCCTCTCTCTACCTCCTCTCTCTCTCTGTTCCTAGTCCTCTCTCTACCTCCTCTCTCTCTGTTCCTAGTCCTCTCTCTACCTCCTCTCCTGTTCTGCTCTTTTTGTCTCGCCTCAACCTCCACCAGGTTTGCACGATTGCGCTTGGCTGATGCTTCAGGGACACAGACACACACACTAGGGAACGGTGGGAGAGCTGATTAGCTTTTTTTTTGCCCTCCCATCTTGCCGTAGTGAACCACGGGGTGGACTAGTAGAATTTGCCTCCATCCACTGATCCAGGATCTGATATGCCTTCATCCCCCTTATGGTTAATGTTTGGAATTGGGGTAAGGTTATCTGATCCTAGATCTGAGGTTAGGGGCAACTTGAGAATGGTGATGGGCACAGCTCACTCTTTACTGATGATACAATCACTGGGTAACACTTTATTGATACAAAAGGTTGTAATCATACAAAAAGTTATAAACTGCCAATAACCTAGGCCTACATAAACTAAATGATGTGATGATAATAAGCAGTTTTAAAGGCAGATCTTCAAGAAGTAAAGTGTTACCTACGTTTGTTTCCATACTGTATATTACATATGTCAGTTTATGTTCTATATGTGTGTGTTTTCCACCGTAGGCTCGCCTTCTAACTGTGACCTCTCAGGGCCATAGATGAGGCAGAGTTCAGCAAACAAACTATCCTCCATGTTGCCACCAAACGTTCTCGTTTAGATTCTCAGTGGAATGGGATTGTCTTGGAACGTTAGGTGCCAAAATGGCGCCCATTAGGATTCTAAATCTCAAGTTCACTTTGAACCATCTCAAACCAAGTTTGCCACCATCCTCTGGATGTGTGTGGTTTTGGGCTAAGTCTTCATGTAGCTGTTAAATCCATCCATACATAACTGTAAGTGCCGTTAAATCACAGACATAGAAAATCAATGAGGACTGATTGGCACCAACCCTTCTGCATTGATGGATTCAGGAAGCCATTTTAGCGTTTTTAGACAGCCTTATTAGTTGTTCTCCAAACACAACAACACTGTTTAACATCTCTCTTGTCCTCCGTGTCCTGGCACCTCTCCTCCCTCCATCCGTGCTCCAGGATGGTGGATGTAGGGGGTCAAAGGTCAGAGAGGAGGAAGTGGATCCACTGTTTTGAGAACGTCACTTCCATCATGTTCCTGGTGGCCCTCAGCGAGTACGACCAAGTCCTGGTGGAGTCTGACAACGAGGTGTGTACACACATACGCATGCATGCACATCTTTACACACACACACACACACACACACACACACACACACACACACAAGGGAAAGTTGGGAGAGATGGTTGTTCACCTTTTTGCCCTCCCTGTTTCCCATAGTGAAACACTGGTGGACTAGGTAGAATTTGACTCATCCACTGATCCAGGATCTGATATACCTTTATCCCCCTAATGGTTCATGTTTGGAGTTGGGGTAAGGTAATCTGATCCTAGATATGTGGTTATTATGTCACCGATACCACACACTTGCCCGCACGTGTAACCAGTGTGAAATGGCTAGCTAGTTAGCGGTGCGCACTAGTAGCGTTTCAATCGGTGACGTCACTCGCTCTGAGACCTTGAAGTAGTTGTTTCCCTTGCTCTGCAAGGGCCACGGCTTTTGTGGAGCGACGGGTAACGGTGCTTCGAGGGTGACTGTTGTCGATGTGTGCAGAGGGTCCCTGGTTCAAGCCCAGGTAGGGGCGAGGAGAGGGACGGAAGCAACACTGTTACACACGCATAACGACACACTCACTGTACACGCATCAAACACCCTTACTAACTGTCCTCTGTCCCTCTGTCAGAACCGTATGGAGGAGAGTAAGGCGTTGTTTAGGACCATCATCACCTACCCCTGGTTCCAGAACTCTTCAGTCATCCTGTTCCTCAACAAGAAGGATCTGCTGGAGGAGAAGATTGCATACTCCCACCTGGTCGACTACTTCCCTGAGTTTGATGGTGAGTGCGTGTGTGTGTCTACAGTTACCTTAGGGATATACCGTGTGTCTGATGGTTTCTGACTACCGTGATGCGGTATTGACTGTGTGTGTTTGCCGGCCCCAGGTCCCCAGCGAGATGCCCAGGCAGGCCGGGAGTTTATCCTGAAGATGTTTGTGGACCTGAACCCGGATAGCGATAAGATCATCTACTCCCACTTCACCTGCGCCACGGACACCGAGAACATCCGCTTCGTCTTCGCTGCCGTCAAAGACACCATCCTGCAGCTCAACCTCAAAGAATACAACCTGGTCTGAGAGACTCTTGCACGCACGCACACACACTCCTCCCAGTTGCACAGCTTAGCCTACACACACACACACACACACACACACGGATACCTATGAAGCTTACACATACCTACACGTCTAGTTGATCTTTCCCCCTCCTGCTTTTCACTCCAGAGATTTAAGACCCCTCTCTTCCTATATCTCTCCTCCCATTCGCTCTCTCATTCCTTCCCTCTTTCTACCCTTTTGCCATAAGCCTGTCCTCTCCCTCGTTCTCAGCATCTTATCAGTCTCCTCTTCTCCACACCACACACACACACACACACATGCCATGCAGTATACAGTGACTACGGGAGGGAACAATGGGATGTGTGTGTCTGTGTGTGCGTCTGCGCCTGTGTGTGTGTGTGAGAAGGTGAGGAAGAGGACCAGTGCGGTCAGTGAACTGTGGGTCTTTAACCCTTGAACCCTCAGTCAACTGGCCTGAGATCACGTCCTCTGATTGGTGGAAGGAGTGAACCAACCGCAAGGCAAAAACCACCTGAGGGGGTGACGTTTTACACTCTGAGGGAGGGGCTAAAGACTGGGAGGGGGATGGAGACAATGAGGTAACAAAGGAAGCCACCAGGACCCGAGCAGGAAGTGATGTCACACACAGAAGTGAGGGGGCAGACCAAGGATCCTGTTTCCACCTCGCATCGATGAATGTATACTCCGAGTGAGCGTTGCAAACGCAAAAAAAATATATAATTAAATATATATGTTATAAAGTAATTACGTATGTAGACAAAATACACTAAGACTGAAAGCACCAGAGAGAGAGGGAAAAGCAAATCTATGAAATCTGTGTATCGCTGAGCTTTTTTACAAACCGTTTTTAATAATAGTAACTCGTTGCTAATAAGTCGTTTGAAAGTTTTAGAAGCGGTTAACAAAACAAAATCACTAAATCTCGTATTTAAAACATTTGCAAAATAGACAAAATATCACAAAAACAAGATGGTAACCAGAAACGGACTCTAATTTTATCCTTTACAGACGGCTGTGGTTGTTCATGTTTAGGTTTGATCACATCGCTTCCCTCCTTCACTGGTTTACTGACTGATAGACCGAAACCTTCCGTTTGACATCCACAGTACCACGTTCTGTTTGATACACGCTATGTTAAGATTACTGAACATCCGATACTCGCTACTATGGTCTGATTGGACAGTTGCTGAGGGGGAGGGAGTCATGTATGGATGATGTCATCAGCGTACGGTACATCAGTCTGTGAAAAATGACATCACGCATTAAGTCGCCCAGTGACCCAATCAGATGTGCTCTGGAGATTCTGGGCAATTCATCCCCACGAATGACACGGTGGCATCCATTATCCCAGACACACAGGAAGCTTTACGTTGTTTACCTTTTTTTACTGTATAGACACTTTTGTTTGTTGATGAGAGGTGGTTGTTGATTGGTGGGAGCAGGAGAGGTATGATCCTGTCTCTCCCAGATGGACAGACAAGCCACTCTGAAGTCTACAAAAAGTTATTGTTTGTGTATATTTCTGTTTGTAAATACATGTACACAGAAACGCTCCTGTACAAAAACACTCTGTGGTACAGTACACCATCTTTGGCAAAACAAAAAAAAATCCTTTTTTTTTTTCTCGATAGTGTACTGTTTTTGTTTTCCTATGAATTTACTAGTATTTATACTGTGATTCTGGATTTCTTTGATTATTGATAATCAGTTGATTTATAAGAGGACTACACACACAGAGGGCTGCAGTGAGAGGAAAGGAACGGTATCAGAACGGAGGTTCTAAACAATCAGGAGCCTTCTATTCTAGAACCTTTTAGAACATTCTAGATCCACGGCACTCCTCTGCAGCTTCTCCCTACTAACACTAGAGCAGATTAGTTATTCACAATATGTTGACAAAAGACATGATATTAAAAGAGTAACTAAATAAAGATTTGTTTTTATTTATCTAATAATTTATGGAACCAGGTTTGAAGGTGTTGATAATTTGACTGCTTTCGTTTCTATCATGTTGAAATGCGGTCTGGCTAGACTTGAGTCTAAACTGCTGTAACAAAACAAACGTCTACTATAGTATGGACTAAATCTCTGCTTTCTTTTTTTCTCTTAAGACATTTCCAGATGTACTTTGTCATTCTATCTATATCCATGTTAAATTCTATGGGTTTCTTCTCACATTAAGTCACTTTGTTTCGTTTCAATGATAAACTTGTATTTCTCCTCTTGGGGTTTCTAATAGGCACAGCGCTGTAACTGCATACATAGGAAATGTACCATATGAACGTAGGTGGATTTTTATAACCAGTGATTGGAGACCAGTACGGTCTATGCTTGCTCGTATCGTTGTAATTTAATCACAGTTTGCGTCGTCGTTGGTTTGAGTTGTTTTAGTTCCAGGTCCGAGGCTTTGCTTTGATAGAACCAGTGACATTGCAGATCTACTTTTGAACCTCTTTCTACGGGCGACTTTTTTTCTTCATTATTCTCATTAAGGGCTATCGCCACACATCAGACAGGCAGGCAGATGGGGGAGATGACTAGTATAGGACAGGGCTCAATTCGGTTTTCTATTATTGAAGTGAGTTGAAATTCAATGAGTGAATTCAAAAATCCTAGAAAACGATGGGCTGTAGAGGACAAGGGTGCACGGCTGCGTTCTGTCCTCAAGGGCTGCAGTCCTGCTGGTTTTTTTTCTGTTGCTTAATAACCAAAAATGAATTTCTACATGCGAAATCAGGTGTTTGCAATCTCCAGCCAATTGGTAACATTCATTGATCAAGTAAATGCCAGGGAGAAATTAAAACCAGCAGGAATGCGGACTTTGAGGCGCTGGGTTGTGCACTCCTGGTTTTAGGTTCACGGTCAACTAAGCCATTCACTCATGCGTGTTTGTGGGGATCATTTGTGTTCAACAAAGACCGTGTGTGAATGCAACTGTGGTAGGATACATGACCAACACTACCATAAGAAGGTTAATTTTTTTGTTTTTATTTATCTGGATCAACAGTGGATCACACAAGCTTCCAGCTCCAAATGAGGGAATCTCTCAAGCCCCAAGTTACCTACTTCACTGTTTGATGTGTTATCATCAGGGGTGGGATCCTGGATCAGCTTACCCTCCCTCAATGCTAACCTTAAAGGCCCTTTGACTGCATCAAATTGGATTTTCCTGTTTTATATATATTTCCACACTGAGGTTGGAATAATACTGTGAAAATAATTATAATGCTATTTGTGTAAGAGCTGTTTGAAAAGACCACCAGAAATATCTGCCTGTTTTGGTGGGATGGAGTTTTGGCCTGCCTGGTGATATCTCCATTCGGTAAATTAGTTAATAAACCAATTTTTAAAAAAAGTTTCAAACCTCTCTGCCAATAACAGCAAGTTTTCAGTTTTCCCCTCCCCACTCAGACCACTTCCAGACAGTCCTAGCCAAATTCTTGCTTGAGAAATTGCTCTTGCTAAGAAGCTGTTTTTGTTTCTTTTTGACAATTTTGAGTGAAAACAATCGCAGTAAGGTACTTACTTAATTGCTACCCAGAAATGATTTGATATTGAGGTAAAAACGTCTGCATTGGGCCTTTAACCATTAAGGGGGAACGAAAAACTGACCTTAGATCAGTGTTAAGGGGAACTTTCCTTCTACTGTCATACTGCAAGTTTGACCATCCAGGGGTGTGTTCTGTGCTTGTTGAGGAGATTTTGCACATTGTCGTTAGACACTCCTACAGTAGAGGCAGGGTGTTAAACCAGGTGTTAAAATGCTATTCCAAGTTAAAGCAGAGCTGCGCAACACACAGCTCTAGCACACCTGTGCAGGCTTTTGTTCCATACCAGCACTAACACCCCAGTCAACTGATTGAGAACTAATCATGGTCTTGGATTTAGACTGCAACTACTTGAACCAAGTGTGTTAGTGTTGTACTGGAACTAAAGCCTGCACACTGCAGCCAGTATTAGAGGATGTTATCCAAGTATGATATTCAGTATTTAATTCCGTGTTGACCTGCCCACAAACAATGTGTTGAATACAACTCGCACATCAAACAGACAAGCACTTGGGCTCCTGTACTGCCTCAACAATGCAGGATGAAAACATCCCTAACTACAATCATCTGACTTGGTGATCCAATCAGTCATTTTTATAGGAAACACTACTAATCTATTATTTACCACTTCCTGTGGGTTAATTGGTTGGCACTCCTGAAGTGTCTGCACATTAGGGCCCAGAGTTTTTCCTAGGCTGTAACTAGGACCCAGCGTTTTACCTGGTCAGATTAACATGGACATGGTGCATATTGAGAACTTAGCTTGACTTCTTTCCTTTAAATCTTTTTTGTAAGATAAAAAAAACATTACCGGAACACTATTGTATTTAGGACCACTTGATTTATTTTTTAATCTAAGGAAACCTGAGGGTTAAATGTTTTAGTTGGTGTATAAAATATAAAATGCTGTTTTTGTTTTTGTTTCTTTTGTATGTAAACCAAATGTAAATGATGTATTATACTGTGTGCCAACCCCACTCTCTCTTGAGCCAGGCTCTTTCTCTCTTAAGTGCCAACGCTGACATCATCATCAGAGGACAGTAATCTCGGATGGTCCCCTTTTTAAGAACACACCAGAGACTAAACATGTGGCATGTTCGACTACGCCACCCCTAACAAAAACTAGAAGTACACATGAAAAAATTGACTTTATTCTGTATTTAAGAGTGAAGAAGATTAAAAAATAACCTGCTGGATTTTTTTGTTGTTGAAATTGTGTAATTATATAATTGCATGTATTGTTTAGTGTTGGGAGGAGGTGAAGGCTCAGAAAAATGTATTGGCTGATGCAGAGCCTTTGATGAACGGGTGGAATCGGTTATTGATTGATCGGTTGGTTATTATGGATTATTGATTTGCATTACTCTCGCCATATTTCTTTTTTTTAATGTGTTTTCATGCATTTGTTTCAACCACTGTTGCCTGATCCTCATTCAAACATGAACATGATTTATTACGATCATCGCCGCCTTCTAAGAGAGAACATAATGACAAGGTATCTGTTTTAAATTGAAATAAATTTGTTCGTATACTTGCTGATGGTGTGTGTGGTTCATGACTAGTCTGGCATATGCCAATGTCTAGAAACAACCCAAGCCCTTCTCCTCTTGCCACTATGCACTTGTGTAGTTCTCAGATGATTTGATAAGTAGGCCTTCAAGTGCCTATGATTAGGAACAATAGGGGTTGTTTCTGGACCTGGCCATTGTTCCATCAAAGAGGGTCTATACAATATGGCTCTTGGGTCTATATAGAGGTTTTCCATCCTCTCTTGGTATTATTGAAATGCTGTCATCTCAGAATTGTCAGTTGTCATTTTGTGACTTCTGATAGTGAAATAGATGGAGTGCCACAGAATATAAATAATCAGTGATGGCCATATTTCGTCAACATTATGAGGATCATGATTATGAAGTTATGGGAATGGGGTGATTATACATTAAATGAGTAGGCTATTGTTATGAGTGTTAGGGAACCACCACATCACACATTTGTGGACGTAGCTAGTATGTGCGTGCATCATCAGGGGACAGTTCTGCACACCTTCCACCGGGGGCACACGACAGCAGCAACACTTCCGCAAACTGTAATTTTATACATTTGACATCTAAAATGGGCCTTCGGAGCGCCACCTCATTCTCTCATCACATGCAACGGCCGCTCATCGATGACTCGTACATTTTGTAGCGCAAGGGTTGGTTACAGATAGTAGTGAACCAAGGCTTGTTGTGTGTGGACATTAGCTAGCCAGCCAGCTAACGGTAGCTAGCTAGGTTGCTAACATATTGTGGAATTGAAGACGCTTTTCAAGAACAGATTTTCGACACACGATTGCCCCACTTGACAGTAGCTAGAATATCTACGAGGAACTGGACAATATATAAATCTGCTAGCTACGCTTACGGCGTTGGCTCGCTTCTCTTTGCTAAGATTTAGCTAGTTAGTTAGCTAACAAGAAAGGATATTCCTGTGACTTAGTCAACATTAATCATCTACCTAGCCAGATTTATTTTAAGATTCCTAGTAATCGGTGCCATATTATCTAACGTTACACGTCTTGGTGTTGAGCCTTTTTGGTACAATTTGTTGATTTTTTTTATCAAGGAACCAAATCAAAACCAACGCTAGCTAGCCAACGTTGGTGAAACAATCACGACGCGAGACCGGGTAACTGATTTCCTAGATAACGTTAAGATAAATAGCTAGCCAGCTAACGTTAGTTAACGTAACTGTCTAAAAAGCAAGAAAGGAAATACGCTATAGTTGTCCAAAATTGGGGTCTAGATATTTTTTATCCTGGTTGCTGAGGGACACCGATAAATCCATTGACATGATGTTTCCACAATCAAGACACTCGGTAAGTAGCTAACGTTAGCATAACTAGCTAGATGATAGCTATATTCTAGCTAGTTACAGTAGCAATTCAGCGTTATCAATGTAAGAATAAAGGGGGATATCTACGATGGGCATAGTTGTGGTATGTTTTCATTTGTGTTGATGGATTCAATCTATTGTCTGTCACGCGCCCCCGGCATTTGTTTACATTCCAGGCTAGGTCCTACCTTAGCTAGCTAGCCAAGATTACTAACGTTAGCTACAGTAGTTTTCATTATGATCTTTACAAATGGATGTTTACCTTTATTAGCTAGTCTATAATACTATACTAAACGTTTGCAACTCATTAGTAATGTGACATACTGGAACAGGGATATCTCAGCTAGCTAGGTAAAGTGGCATGTGCTAACAAAACGTAGCCTAGCCAACGTTAGCTAGCTACTGGTAGCAAGCTCGCTAGATTGTAGAAACCTAACACTTCTTAAGGGCATGTGGGATTAAGTCAGTTAATTCATACAATCCATGATTAAAAGTTATCCATTGAATCCTCAATCAAGGATTTGTCTTCAATGTAATCAAGGATCCAAATCAAAGTCCCAAGGACTTCCAGCAACTATGCCATGTGGGATCACAACAGAAGTGGATGTAATATACAGTAAAATTTGCCATTTAGCAGAGTATTTTATCCAAAGCAACTTATTCATGCGCACATTTTATGTGTGTGGCCCAGGGAATTGCATCTACAACCCTGGCGATGCAAGCACCACGCTCTACCAATTGAGCCATACAGGATTTTGGAGCTATATAACTTAGGCCTAAAGGTTTTTAAATTAATACTGGTACGCTAATGATGATAGTGGGTGGGAAATAATGTAGAATGTACCCGATTTGTTATGGTTGAGCCTATTTCGGTGCCTCTTCTTTCTCTTTGGCGTCCTACAGCCCCCTAGGCTGGGATCCTAGTTCACACTATCAGGGTTTGACCCTGCATAAACTTGTCCTCTCTCAATTCCAGGGATGACCAGCCCCTCCTGGAGAGCTGTGTGTGCTACTGGGTGTGCAGGCTTTTGCTCCAGCCCTACTAATCACCTCATCAGGACCTTGATTAGCTAAACCAAGTGTGTTTGTGTAGGGGCTGGAGCAAAAGCATTCACAGCCAGTAAGTCTCCAGGATGGTAGTTGTAGATCCCTGGTGTAATTTGGGTGGTGGCCTCCTTCCACCAGTCTGGAGTAGTAAAGCCTTGATGAGAAGATTAACACTGGATTATGGCTCTGACTCAGCCTGGGGTCATTCTAGTCAGTTGGTCACCTCTGGAAACTCTCATCTAACCCTGACCATACTCACAGACACACACATCCTCTCATCCTGTGCTGTAAAAGCCCAGAAAAACCCCTGCTATAACGTTAATCTCAGAGCTCAATCCCTCTGTTACTAAACAAACAATACCACCCCCATCTGTCTCATACACACAGTCACAAACCGTGCCCGCCTCCTTTCTATCACACACACACACACAGATGTACGTCCCTTCTGATAAACATACAGTCCCACATACAGGGGGAGTGAAGAAATGCACATACAGAAGGGTAGGGAATTGAAACGCAGCTTCTCGCTGTTGATTGTCTGACTGTTTGTTGTTGTTGTCTTGGGGATTCTGACTTTTGCATTTGTTATTGTTGTGTTGTCCCCCAGGCTTCCTCCCAGTCCTCCCAGCCTCTCAAGTTCACCACCTCCGACTCCTGCGACCGCATCAAGGACGAGTTTCAGTTCCTACAAGCACAATACCATAGGTAACACTGAAACACACACGCTCAAAATACCCACCTACACATACCCACAAACACTCACGTCACTTACACTGTATGCACTCAGATTCCAACATGCACACACTCATATATGCACACAAACACAGACATGTCCCTAACCAAATGTTGTCTCCTATCGAATCAGCTTGAAGATGGAGTGTGACAAGCTAGCTAGTGAGAAGTCAGAGATGCAGCGTCATTACATCATGGTGAGTGACCTCTTCTTTTACTTTTAGCCTACCTAGGATACACCTTGGCTATCGCTCCAATTCTCTCAGATATACACATGTGCATTGAGGGCATTTGGAATTCTGCAGTAGGTTAAAGTATTACGTCACAAACCCCCCAATCTTCTTTTTGCAGTACTACGAGATGTCTTATGGGCTGAACATCGAAATGCACAAACAGGTCAATTATTTTCTCTCATTCTCTCCCTCTGTTTTAGCCCTCCTCTCTCTTTCCCCTTCCTCTCTCCCCCTCATCCCCCCCCCCTCTTTCTTTATCTCTCCCTCTCTCTTTTCCCCTCCTCTCTCTCCTGGACTGTGTCGTATGGTAAAGCCAGTGTTGTATTCTGACCATAGAGATAGTTAGAGTGCGCAACATTGTATCCTTCCCATTATGGCGTCTGTGAGAGCATTGGCACCATTGAGGCCATCTCCATTTTGAAGTAGTACATTTTCTTTTACTACTACTTCTGAGCTGGTTAACAAACTGAAAGGGTGCATACGGCCACATAGAATGTGTTGTTTGAACGGGTATAAAGCCAAGGTTGGCGATTTACTGCCACCTGCAGTAATGAAACGTTTCCTCACAAGTATAATTAATTGGCTGATCCCTCCTGATGACCTGGATGGAATTATGTGATCCTTCCTTAACCCATAGGAAGTCCCACCCAGCTGACTACTTCATAATGGTGAGAGTCCTCAATGGCGCTGGCCATGCTAAAACGGCCTTTGGGCACTAGAATCCTCTCTCTATGATTCTGACTGTCGGTCTGTCTCTTCTTCTCCCCAGGCTGAGATCGTGAAGAGACTAAACGGGATCTGTGCTCAGGTGCTCCCCTACCTATCTCAAGAGGTATTACACCCTCCTCACTACACTATTTTCCTAGGATAACATAATCTCATATCAACATGCTGTACAATGTCAATCTATTTCATTCTGTACAATAGCTAAATGTGTTTAGGGATGTAGCTCAGTTGGTAAAGCATGGCGTTTGCAACGCCAGGGTTGTGGGTTCGATTCCCACGGGGGGCCAGTATGAAATAAAAATGTTTTTATGTAAGTCGCTCTGGATAAGAGCGTCTGCTAAAAATTGACTTTAAAAAAAAAGAAGCCTTACTCCTGCTCTGACTGTGTAAAATGCTTCACAACATCAACTGAGCTAAAACTTCATCAGAGAACACACACAGGAGAGAAGCCTTACTCCTGCTCTGACTGTGGGGCAAGTTTCTCTCAACTTGGCAACTTAATCCTTCTACTCCCCCTGACCCCACCCGAAAAATTTAAAAATAAAATATTGTAAAGTGGTTGTCCCACTGGCTATCATAAGGTGAATGCACCAACTTGTAAGTCACTCTGGATAAGAGCGTCTGCTAAATGATGAAAATGTAAAATGTGTTTGGATGTGTGTGTGTTGCAGCACCAGCAGCAGGTCCTAGGGGCCATAGAGAGAGCCAAGCAGGTCACTCCTCCTGAGATGAACTCTATCATACGGGTAGGCTGGTGTGTCTATTGACCGTGTGTGTGAACCGTGTGTATGAATATGTGTATAGGCCTCCTGTAGCTCAGTTGGTAGAGCATGGCGCTTGCAATGCCAGGGTTGTGGGTTCGATTCCCACGGGGGGCCAGTATGAAAAATGTATACACTCACTAACTAAGTTGCTCTGGATAAGAGCGTCTGCTAAATGACTAAAATGTATATAACCATGTATATCTGTGTGTGCGTTTAGCAGCAGCTCCAGGTGCACCAGTTGTCTCAGCTTCAGGGCTTGGGCCTCCCAACGATGGCCCCTCTCCCCATGGGTCTGTCTGCTCCTAGCCTCCCTCCAACTTCCAGCGCCGGACTGATGTCCCTGTCCTCCATCCTGGCCTCGCACTCCCACTCACAGGCAGCACATGCACAGGTAACACACACACACACACACCTGACCCAGGTGGCACACACACCTCACACGGGTAACACACACACCTCACATGGGTAACACACACACCTCACATGGGTAACACACACACCTCACATGGGTAACACACACACCTCACACGGGTAACACACACACCTCACACGGGTAACACACACCTCACACGGGTAACACACACCTCACATGGGTAACACACACACCTCACATGGGTAACACACACACCTCACATGGGTAACACACACACCTCACATGGGTAACACACACACCTCACATGGGTAACACACACACACCTCACATGGGTAACACACACACACCTCACATGGGTAACACACACACACCTCACATGGGTAACACACACACACCTCACATGGGTAACACACACACACCTCACATGGGTAACACACACACACCTCACATGGGTAACACACACACCTCACATGGGTAACACACACACCTCACATGGGTAACACACACACCTCACATGGGTAACACACACACCTCACATGGGTAACACACACACCTCACATGGGTAACACACACACACCTCACATGGGTAACACACACACACCTCACATGGGTAACACACACACCTCACATGGGTAACACACACACCTCACATGGGTAACACACACACCTCACATGGGTAACACACACCTCACACGGGTAACACACACCTCACACAGGCAACACACTCCTCCAGGGCTCTACAGTGTGACCATTTCACTCGCATATGTGACTAAAAATAAATGTGCGCGAACGGCAAAAATGAAGTATCCGTGCGAGTGGCGATTTCTACCCTCAAAACCAATACTGTCGTTTTGTTTCGTGGTTGGTAATCGCACAAAGAACTACGAATACCATAATGCAACACACAGCACAATTAGCTAATCGTAGCTTAATGTAGTCAGTAGGCTGGAAACGCAAGGCTTTGAATAGCTACCATGAGAGGATCTGCATTGGCTTCTTTCAGGAGAAGGATGAAGAGGATCACCATTTATTTTAAAGCTGCACTATGCAGAAATCGCTCAACCTGGTTGCAAACATTTTAATTGTTTGCCTCATTTCAGTTTGTGACAAAACAAGCAAGTATAGTGTAGAGAATCATCGTACAATCTAAACCGCTGTGAAATATTTTTCATAACCAGAAATATTATATTTTCAGCAGTTTTGAAGCTGGTGTACAAAACCGAAAGTAAAAGATGCAAAAAACTAAACTTAAGAACGGGAAGCATAGAAATAGGGTACATAGAACAGATCTACCACTTCTTAGACTTGATTTCAATGAGAATGTCAGATCTATAACTCACATTTCTATGTGATTTTGGTCGGGTCGCCCCAAAAGTTACATATTGCAGCTTTAAGCGACAAGCTCAACAACAGGAGCCCGATGAGTCTGCCAGTGATACTGATGTTGACGTGGATGTGGCTGAGCCCATGGTCGTCGAGCCACCAGCAACACAAGAAGACCAAGCTAGCACTAGTAGTGACGTTAGCACCGATGTTGCTCTGCTAACCAGTGCCACTGCCAGCTGGAAGCATACAAGTACAGCGAACAGTGGGAAAAAGCTTTCCCGTGGTTGGAGTTTGAAGGTGAATCAAAGCTTATGTTTAGCAAGTATTGTAAATTGGTTGATGATGTCATTGGAAACCCTTATCTTCCTCTCTCTTTTTCTACCATTTACATTTACGTCATTTAGCAGACGCTCTTATCCAGAGCGACTTACAAATTGGTACATTCAACTACCAAACATAGAAATGCGCTATTTTCACATGTTGGTATAGTGCTGGAGATGATGAATATGAAGTTGAAATATTGTGAAGTGGAAAGACACTGTTAAACACAACACGTCAAAAAGCACATCTCATCAAGACCAACAATACTCGGGGCGCTTCAATCGGCTGTGAGGAGGCAGGTGAATATTTCAGAAGAAGAGATAAGAATTAAAATGTAAATTCAATATATTGTCCATGAGTAATTCTTGTGGTTCCATGATGATGAGGTCATTGTGCCAGCCCTAGAGACATCCCACCACTACCTCCACTACTTTTCATTGGACGCCTACATTTTCTATTTAGGCCCACGTGTTTTCTTTGTATAAAATGGCAGCGTAGAGCCCTGACCTCCCACACTGAACACACCCCTACAGGTAACATACACACACCCCTACAGGTAACATACACACACCCCTACAGGTAACATACACACACCCCTACAGGTAACATACACACACCCCTACAGGTAACATACACACACCTCTACAGGTAACATACACACACCCCTACAGGTAACATACACACACCCCTACAGGTAACATACACACACCTCTACAGGTAACATACACACACCCCTACAGGTAACATACACACACCTCTACAGGTAACATACACACACCTCTACAGGTAACATACACACACCCCTACAGGTAACATACACACACCCCTACAGGTAACATACACACACCCCTACAGGTAACATACACACACCCCTACAGGTAACATACACACACCCCTACAGGTAACATACACACACCCCTACAGGTAACATACACACACCTCTACAGGTAACATACACACACCCCTACAGGTAACATACACACACCCCTACAGGTAACATAGACACACCTCTACAGGTAACATACACACACCTCTACAGGTAACATACACACACCCCTACAGGTAACATACACACACCCCTACAGGTAACATACACACACCCCTACAGGTAACATACACACACCTCCTACAGGTAACATACACACACCTCCTACAGGTAACATACACACACCCCTACAGGTAACATACACACACCTCCTACAGGTAACATACACACACCCCTACAGGTAACATACACACACCTCTACAGGTAACATACACACACCTCTACAGGTAACATACACACACCTCCTACAGGTAACATACACACACCCCTACAGGTAACATACACACACCTCCTACAGGTAACATACACACACCTCCTACAGGTAACATACACACACCCCTACAGGTAACATACACACACCCTACAGGTAACATACACACACCCCTACAGGTAACATACACACACCCCTACAGGTAACATACACACACCCCTACAGGTAACATACACACACCCCTACAGGTAACATACACACACCCCTACAGGTAAAATACACACACCCCTACAGGTAAAATACACACACCCCTACAGGTAAAATACACACACCCCTACAGGTAAAATACACACACCCCTACAGGTAAAATACACACACCCCTACAGGTAACATACACACACCTCTACAGGTAACATACACACACCTCTACAGGTAACATACACACACCCCTACAGGTAACATACACACACCTCTACAGGTAACATACACACACCCCTACAGGTAACATACACACACCTCTACAGGTAACATACACACACCCCTACAGGTAACATACACACACCTCTACAGGTAACATACACACACCCCTACAGGTAACATACACACACCTCTACAGGTAACATACACATACCCCTACCGGTAACATACACACACCTCTACAGGTAACATACACACACCTCTACAGGTAATAAACACAAATGACAGTTCACGACTCTCTTCCACTCCTTGTGTTTTGTTCTCTGGTCTCCTCCCCACTAGGCTCAGGCCCAGCTGGCTAAAGAAGACAAGGCCAGAGATGCAGCAGAGAGAGAACAGAGGGAAGAGGACGGAGACAAGTCCGACTGATGGAGGAGTGTGGATGGGGAGGAGTGGAGAGAGGGGTGAGGGTGAGACAAGTTGGACTGATGGACAACCAGGAGTGGATCTACTGTGGGAGGGCTAAGGGGAGGGGAGGGGACTGAGGGTGGGTGAGAAGGTAGTTGAGTGTTGGTACAGTAGGTGTCACCCTGTGGTTCAGCTCTTTAGAGTAACTCTCTGGGCCTCCACTCCACTCCATCGCTTTCTTTTCTTTCTTTTTAATCTTTTCTTATCATCTAATCAGTTTGTGTCACCAAGCCTGTTGGACAGGTCTCCCCTGTTTTGATTCCTTCCTCTTTTTCTTTCCTCCTCTGTTCACTATTGCCGCTGACAACCCATTGCCAACAGATACTACCCTGACCTTTAACCCAGAGATGCGGACTCGAGTCACGTGACTTGGACATTCTATGACTTGAGACTTGACTTGGCAAAAAGAAACAAACACTTGCCACTCGACTTCGACTTCAGCATCTATGACTGGAGATTTAACTTGGATGAGCTGAATGAGTCGAGAGACTCGATTTGTCATCTCCCTCACAATGTAGGCCTATCTGTCCTACATATCTGAGTGCTGCAGGTTCTTTGCGTTTTGTTCTGTCTTCACCAATCATTTTCACGGAAATCACAGCTCTCGCAGGCCGGGCAAAAGCACGTTGTCTAGCAAAGCGCGCGGCGCTCTCCACTGTCCTGCGGTATTTATTTAGCAAACGTGATAACACATCACTCCTGACAAACACAAGCAAGAACTCTAGACAGAAATGTTACAGCAGCCTACACCTAAACTTTATAGGAAGAAAATGAGATGATTTCTCAGTCTGATCAACTAGGCTACTGATAATAGCTGCAGCCCACAGCTGCATAGGCTACAACCAATGTGCCCTGTCCCCTCTTGCCCTCTGGCCAGGGTAAACAAAGTGGTAATGTTACATAGCCTATTTATAGCCCATTTATTTGTGTTAGGAGAAAATGTGAATGTGATCACATTTGGTTTAGGCTATATTCAAACATGGACTGGCTAGGCTACCTTGACCTTTTTCAATCCAAAATGATTAATTGAAATTAATCAAACAATACTACTGATAAAATGGACTGTGTGAGTTACTTTTTAATTATAGTTGCAGAGGCCTACACGATGCAAACCTGCATAAAGCAAGCTCAGCCCAATGAGTTCTATTGTCCAATTGCAGTGGTTGTCTGTGTAAAGGAAACCCCCCTGTTAGTCTAGTTTTTAAATATAATTCATATGAACAAGTACAAGGATTCTGCAGTTTGACTGGGTTTTCATCCTCCCTAGGGCCAGGAGTCTTTTTAAAATAAAACAAAAAACATGTGGCCTGATTAGAAAATCTTGGGTCCCACTCCCATCATTGCCCATATAAAAACCTTTTTACAACTGATGAATCACTGTCATACCCTATAAAGTCCTGCTTTATACCTGGTTAGGTTACCAGATTAGGAAAAGGTCCAAGCCCCAGGGAAAACCATTTACCCCTCCACTCTGGGAACTGTGGTGCCACCTCTGCATCAGGGCATCATCTGGATCAGTCCCAAAACTTGTTGCATTCGGTTTCAAAGACTGTGGGAGTGGGGGGGGGGTGACAGTTTGTAAAACACTGCAATTAAATTAGCATAAAACACTTAACCATTGACTTGAGGACTCGAAACCCAAAATTAGGGACTTGTGACTTGACTCGACCTGAGCTGTGGGAATTGACTTGAGACTTGCCTGTTATTTCTTGGGACTTGACTCAAGACTCTAAGCTTAAAACTTGAGACTTGCTTAGGACTTGCAAAATTGTGACTTGGTCCCATCTCAGCTCTAACCCTTTAACCCCTAACCTCTATTCCTCTTCTCCTGGTATATGTTGCCCTTTGGCTCAGATTTAAACGATCAAAACCTTTGATCAGTGTCTAGGGACACCTTCCTCTTCCTCCTATAGGTCTCTGCTGATTGGATGCAGAGTTAGTGCTAACTCTGCTCACTGATCTCATAGACAGTGTTCTGAAAGGGTCACTTGATTAAGACGCAGTCAAGTGTAAAAGTCATAGGAGCTAGAGTGAGTGTGTGTGTGCAAACGTACGTTTTATTTTTATGAAGCACCTTTTGTATTCTCCCTCCCTCCCGCCCCTGTCTGTCCACTCTCTTAACTGACCAAGTCTATGGTCCAGTCCCAAATCAACCCCTAGCCCCTAGGCACTTTCCCCTAGACAGAGGAAGTGTCCGAGGGGTAAGGGTTGATCCTGGACGGGGCCTAAATCTAACGGGACCTAAACTTCACTTCAATCATGTGCTCATTCAGATCAGTTCCTATTGGTGGAAAGGGAGAGGAATACATTTGCCTATGTCGTTCTGTTGGTTAGCATAGCACTTGGAGCTAGAATGTGTGGTGAGCGAGCATGGTGCCAAACCGTTGAGCACAGCCGTAGCGCACTAACCTATAACCTACCCGGAGACGCATAACTGTGTCTTTCTAATTTGAGGCGATAAGGTGTAGTTCTTCTCCAGGACAGTAGGTGGCAGCAATGCCAAACCAGACCCAGGGCTGTATTCAATCAAACCCCCATTTCAGTATTTACACAGAAGCTATTTCCCCCGATGGGTTAAATTGAAATCACAGGACCCGAAATACCTACTACTACTGCCAGGTAGAGTCCCCTTACAGGTAGATGCTTCAAGTTTTCAGAATAAGAAGTGTGTTTTCGGGCAGTAGTTTGTAAACCAAGACACTGTAAACTTTGCTATGGCAGGTTTGATTGAATTTAGAGCAAAACTCGGACATGAATGGTTTGTGTGTTTCTGTTGTGAAGGGCCCATTTATATACGTATATAACTATATCAATATACATATATACTTTTTTAAGCATTTTTGTATGTTTCAAAGCTGCTTTTAGTGTGTATGCGTGTGATGGAAGACGACGTTTCAGTGTAGCGTGTGTATTATGCGATGTGCTATGGAAAGAGAGGTACTATCCAATAACCCCCCCCCCCCCCCCTCCTCTCCTGCCCCCTTGACAATGCTGAGGAAATGTCGCCTCCTTGTTGAGCTTTGTAAATGTAATTTTAAAAACTCTTTATTTTGTCGTTGTATGTGAAACTTCATAAGCGTGTACTTGGCGATAATGTATGTCATCTGTGTTATGGAAAAACCAATACTTATAGCTTCATTTAAAAGAAAAGACGTGGCGGGGAAAAGTCAAATCTAAAGTAAACCAACCAAACAGAAACATTGACTACACAACATGACTGAAAGAAGCACTCAGCAGTAAGGAAATGTCTATGGTGCCTTACAAATAAATGACTCAACGGAGAGACTGTTTCTAGTGGTTTTTGTATTTGTGTGTCTGTATTTGTTTGCCTGTTTGCATACAAGAATGCCTGTGGGGCTACTACAAAGCAGTATCAATGAGTTAGCCAGGTAACCTTGATAAACAACCATAAATAATTGTTGATTTTCGAGTTTATTAAGAAAGCTTAAATTAACTTGCAAAAGTATTGACCCCTTGGATTTCTTCACATTTTATTGTTACAAAGTGGGATTCAAATGTATTTCATTGTAATTTTTGTCAACAATCTACACAAAATACTTTGTCAAAGAGAAATGATAAAATGTAATGACCAAATATAGTCGTTGCATAAGTATTCAGCTCCCTGAGTCAATACATGTTAGAAACACCTTTGGCATCGATTACAGCTGTGAGTCTTTTTTGGTAAGTCTATAAGACCTTTGCACACCTGGATTGTGCAATATTTGCCCATTATTCTTTTCCAAATTCTTCAAGCTCGGTCAAGATGTTGGGGATCATGGCTAGACAGCAATTTATGTCTTGCCATAGATTTAAGCAGATTTTAAGTCAAAACTAACTTGGCCACTCAGGAACCTTCAATGTCTTCTTGGTAAGCGACTCCAGTGTAAATTTGGCCTTGTGTTGTAGGTTATTGTCCTGCTGAAAGGTGAATTCCTCTCCCATTCGCTGGTGTGAAGCAGGTTTTCCTCTAGGATTTTGCCTGTGCTTAGCTCCATACCATTTTATTTTTGTCCTGAAAAACTCCCCAGTATTTGCCGATGTCAAGCATACCCATACCATGATGCAGCCACCACCATGCTTGAAAATAAGGAGGCACTTACTCCGCGATGTTGTGTTGGCTTTACATTTAGGCCCCAAAATGTATTCCTTTGCTGTGTTTCTTTGCAGTATTACATTAGTGCCTTGTTGCTCACAAGATCCAATTGCCTCATGGTAACATCCCTGAGCAGTTTCATTCCTGACCTGCAGCTGTTCAGAAGGACGACTGTATATTTGAGGTGTCTGGGTGGCTTAATACATAATCCACAGCGTAATTATTAACTTGACCATGCTTAGAGATATTCAATGTCTGATTTGTTATTGTTACCCATCTACCAATCACTGCCCTTCTTGATGAGACTTTTGAAAAGCTCCCTGGTCTTTGTAGTTGAATCTGTGTTTGAAATTCAATACTTGACTGAGGGACCTTACAGATGTCGTATGTATGGGGGACAGAGGAAGGGTTAGTCATTCTAAAATCATGTCAAGCCCTATTATTTCACGCAGAGTGAGTCCATGAAACAAGTGATTTGCTAAGCCAAATTGTACTACTGAACTAATTTAGGCTTGCCTGAACAAAGGGGCTGAATGCTTATGCAATTACTATATTTTAGTTATGAATTTTTTTATCCACTTTGACAGTCTTATGTAGATTGTTGACAAAAAATGACAAATATTTTAATCCCACTTTGTAACACAATGTGAAGAAATCCAAGGGGTCTGAATACTTTTGCAAGGCACTGTGTTTTTGGTTGATGAGTCAATTATAGTGCCTTCAGAAAGTATTCATACCCCTTGACTTATTCCACATTGTGTTACAGCCTGAATTCAAAATTGATTAAATAGATTTTTTTTCTCACCCTTCTACACACAATACCCCATAACGACGAAAGGAAGACATGTTTTCAGAACTTTTTGCAAATGTATTGAAAATGAAATAGAGAAATCTCATTTACATAAGTATTCACACCCCTCCGGTGCATCCACTTTTCTTAGATCATCCTTGTGACGTCACTACAACTTAATTGGAGTCCACCTGTGGCCAATTCAATTGTTTGGACATGAGTTAGAAAGAAACACACCTGTCTATATAAGGTCCCACAGTTGACAGTGCATGTCAGAGCAGAAACTATACCCTGAAGTCCAAGGAACTATCCGTAGATCTCCTCAATATAACTGTGACGAGGCATATATCTGGGGAAGGGTATAAAACTATTTCTAGAGCGTTGAACGTTTCCAAGAGCACAGTGGTATCCATCATTGGGAAATTGAAAAAATATGGAACTACCCAGACTCTGCTTAGAGCTGGCTGTCTGACCAAACTGAGGAACCAGGCAAGAAGGACCTTGGTCAGGGAAGTGACCAAGAACCCAATGACCACTAACAGAACTACAGAGTTCCTTGGCTGAGATGGGAGAACTTGCCAGAAGGACAACAGTCTCTACAGCACTTCACCCATCTGAGCTTTATGGGAGAGTGGCCATATGGAAGCCATCCCTGAGAAAAAGGCACATGACGGCACACCTGGAGTTTGCAGAAAGACAGAGCATAAGGCAAAAGATTCTGTGGTCTGATGAGACAAAAATGTAACTCTTTGGCCTGAATGCATATTAACACCATCCCTTCCGTTAAACATGGTGGTAGCAGCATCATGCTATGGGGATGCTTTTCAGAGGCAGGGACTGGGAGACTGGTAAGGATAGAGAGAACAATAAATGAAGCCAAATACAGGCAAATCCTTGATGAGAAGCTGCTTCAGATTGCAAATGACAGACCGGGGGCTAAGATTTACATTTCAACAGGACAATGACCCAAAGCAATGCTGGAATGGCTTCAGAACAAGAATGTGAAGTCATTGAGTGGCCCAGCCAAAGCCCAGACTTGAATCCCATTGAAAATCAGTGGAAAGACTTGATTGTTGTTCACCACCGCTCCCTATCTAATTTAACAGAGCTTGAGAAAATCCCCAAATCCAGAAGACAAAGCTGATAGACATACCCAAGAGGACTCAGAGCTGTAAATCGCCACCAAATGTACTTGCTTCTACAAAGTATTGACTCAGGGGTGTGAATATTTATGTAAATGGAATTTTCTGTATTTCATTTTCAATATATTTGCAGACATTTCTAAAAGCATGTTTTCACTTCGTCACAAAGTATTGTGTGTAGATGTGTGAGAAACAATTGAATCCATTTTGAATTCAGGCTGTAACACAAAGTGGAATAAGTCAAGGGGTATGAATACTTTCTGAATGCACTGTAGCGAATGCCCATTTCAAGCTTATCTTAATAAAAACCTGAATAAACCTTCTCAGGATATTGACGCAAATTAGCTGGCAAACTCATTTATTCTGCTTGTAGTATACCCCTACGGAGTTTGTTTTCCAACTGACAGAGGTATCCCACAACCCCCCCAGTCTGGACATGCCTGCAGCATCTTGGAGTTCCACTGTTGTCAACAGGATAGTGTTTCACCTGAGTACATCCAAGTACATGTTGGTGTAGCAAAAATATTTTTTTAATGCAGGTTAGAATAACTAACATAGCAGGTTAGGAGAACTAACGTGGCAGGTTAGAATAATTAACGTAGCAGGTTAGGAGAATGAGGTTAAGGTTAGGAAAAGGGTTAGGCCTAGCAAATATTCTACAGTTGTCAACAACTTAGCCCCAACGAGACATCTAGATGGCTAAGCACTGGTAGCCACAAACGTACAAACCATCAGTGTCATGACACTGTCTGTTCTTACGAGGAAGCGCATAGAGTATACAAGAAGAGAGTCTTTGTCTGCGAGGACCACCCAAACTAACATATTTTTTCAATCATGCCCAGGGCTTTATAGCAACCCTGGTTGAGGTACAGTGAATTTATACCTGCACCTTTTTCAGCAACTATTCCCTCATTAGGCTACAGAATCCACTAACACACACTCGCTTTAATAAACATTTTCAAAAATCAGTCAGATGCAAAAAGGGCATATTATTTCATCTTTATGTATAAACTACAAAAAAAGCAATGGATAGAAATAAAACAAATTGAAACAAAGCTATGACAACATGTGCAATGTCTTCTACACAGGGTCTGGTGTGCTATCACTCCAACCAAACATTTGGAAAGTCCTAGTGAATGACTTGGATGAATCCATGAAGTTGAAGACGTCCTATCCATTCATTTCATCCGTCTACCCATCCCTCCACAGCAGTAACTCTGTGGTTCTGCATGCACTTTCGTCACAGCATGAGTTGTCCGATTATAAAGGAAAGTCACTTCAATAAAATCAAGTTCCATTTTCCTCCTCATCAAGTAGAAATACACACAGTTGATTGCAGCTACAGTTTCAGTTACAGACAAGCTTATTAAGGATTAGTGTGGATGCAATCACAATAAAATACACTACATGGCCAAAAGTAGGTGGACACCCCTTCAAATTAGTGGATTTGTCTATTTTAGCCACACCCATTGCTGACAGGTGGAAAAAATTGAGCATACAGCCATGCAATCTCCATAGACTGGCAGTAGAATGGCCGTACTGAAAAGCTCAGTGACTTTCAACTTGGCACCGTCATAGGATGCCACCTTTCCAACAAGTCAGTTCGTCAAATTTCTGCCCTGCTAGATCTGCCCCGGTCAACTGTAAGTACTGTTATTGTGAGTGGAAACATCTAGGAGCAACAACGGCTCAGCCGCAAAGTGGTAGGCCACACAAGCTCACAGAACGGGACCGCCGAGTATTGAAGCGCCTAGCGCGTAAAAATCGTTTGTCCTCGGTTGCAACACTCACTACCGCATTCCAAACTGCCTCTGGAAGCAACATCAGCATGAGAACTGTTCATTGGGAACTTCATGAATTGGGTTTCCACACAAGCCTAAGATCACCATGCGCAATGCCAAGCGTTGGCTGGAGTGGTGTAAAGCTCGCCGCCATTGGACTCTGGAGCAGTAGAAACGCGTTCTCTGGAGTGATAAATCACGCTTCACCATCTGGCAGTCCGACGGACAAATCTGGGTTTGGCAGATGCCAGGAGAACGCTACCTGCCCGAATGCATAGTGCCAACTGTAAAGTTTGGTGGATGAGGAATAATGGTCTAGGGCTGTTTTTCATGGTTCGGGCTATGCCCCTTAGTTCCAGTGAAGGGAAATCAATGACATTCTAGAAATTCTGTGCTTACAACATTGTGGCAACAGTTTGGGGAAGGCCCTTTCCTATTTCAGCATGACAATGCCCCCGTGCACAAAGCGAGGTCCATACAGAAATGGTTTGTCGAGATCAGTGTGGAAGAAGTTGACTGGCCTGCACAGAGCCCTGACCTCAACCCCATCGAACATCTTTGGGGTGAATTGGAACGCCGACTGCGAGCCGGGCATAATCGCCCAACATCAGTGTCCAACCTCACTAATGCTCTTGTGGCTAAATGGAAGCAAGTCCCCGCAGCAATGTTCCAACATTGTGTAATGGTTTTTCAGAGAACATATCAGTGAGTGATTCAATCATTGACACACTGACGATTGTCAACGTCAACATTTCAAAGGCGGCACATGGCATCATGATCTCACAGGACCTAGTGTGTGTGCATACATACAGGTCATACACAGCTTTATATATAATAAACTCGAGTAACTAATACAAGTTGGGTCAATAACATTTAAAAAACATCACAGTGGGCTAGTAGTGGTATTACATTCTTAGAGATACGACAGAAATAAACCAAATAAACAGAAAGTAATGATCTATGCAACACTGTTATACATTCCATATACTGTACATGACTTCTACAGACATGCTAGGTATCAGTAGGCCTAATATTGAACACCACAGACCATTGGTCTTCCCCCTCCTGGAGAACTACAGGATGAGTACACTTTGGTTCCAGCCCAGCACTAACCCACCCGATTCAGCTAATCATGGTCTTAACGACTAGTTAAATCAGGTAGGTTGGTGCTGGGCTGAAACAAAAGCCTGCAGCCCTGTAGCTCCCCAGGACGAGGCATGGAGACCGCTGTCTCGATGGATGAAGTATGAGAGGGTTAGCTCCAGTGTATGTAACAAAGGGATCAAAGACACAAAAAATACAAACTAATTTACAAATACAAACTAGACTAGAGGGTGGGTTAAAAAAGAACTACAGGACACAAAGAAAACCTACAAATCCCAGGAAGATAACCTGGTTGATGCTGCTGCACACAGGAAATATAAATGAATCATAAAAATGTTTTAAACAGTTGTTTCAGTGTTTCCTGTTAACATAATTGAAATCTAGGGAACTACACAGTAATTATTTATCTCTGTTAAAACTGTCTAATCCTCCATACTTTTAGTACATTGTAATAAAATACAAAGTTAAAATGCATGTGCATGTGAGTGGTCATATAGACATACATATCTACTCATATACACCAGTGGCGGCTGGTGGGAGGAGCTATCGGAGGATGGGCTCATTGTAATGGCTGGACTGGAATAAATGGAACAGAGTCAAACGCGGTTTCCATATGTTTGAGGTGTTTGATACCGTTCCATTAATTCCATTACAATGAGCCTACACTGATGTACACACTTCTCTCACACAGACAGCCCCTCGCAGGGGCGTAGGCATGGGGAGCGAGGCCCACCCAATCACATTGAGCAAAACAATTAATTTTTTTACTGCTCTTTCCTTGTCATTGTTCAAAATGGGACCTTATTTGTAGAGCCCGACCGATATTATCGGCCGATATTATCGGCCGATATTAGCCTTTCACAGAAATATTTTTAGCTGCCTTTATTCCACAGATTCCACAGATAAAGCGCCAATATTATATACATAGAATAAACAAATACGTCTGCTCCATTTTCAATGGTTGCCTGAAGAGGGCACTCTACCAGCATCTCATTAAACATCATTCAGCCCTAGGCCACAATGTGAGAGACAGTAGGCATGGTGGTTTGACGGTGAGTAGCTTGCCACAGCCAGCATAAGTAAATAATCAAAAGTACACTTCACCAAGCAAGCAGCCCTGTCCTCATCACATTCTCACTTCGTTAACGTTAGCTGGCTAGCTAGCCAGCAAGGTAGTTAGCTTAGCACAGATTGCTAGCTAAGTTAGCTATGTATGTGCCAACACTGGACTGGCGCCAAAGCAAACACTTGTCCTTGATACAAAAAGAACACTGATACTGTCAGGGCCTATTATGTTAGCTAGTGGGCTAATTTAGTTAGTTTTCCAAAATATGCAATCTTCAAAAAGCAAGACAGGTGGCGCAGGTCTATCATTCAGGCCATGTGCTTGCATTCATTATGAGATAAGTAGCTAATGTTAGCTCGCTAAACTAGAATGTGACAAAAACCAGTGCAGCAAGAATTTGCCTGTATAAACATTTTCAGTCATCAGCGCATGCCATTTGCAGTTGAAATTTATAGCCAATACATTTTGTATTGAATAACAGTGTAATGTACATATGGTTTCTTTAAGAAAACATTGTCGTAATGAACAGCTAGCTTGTGCTTGTCGTAACGTACTCTCATTGCAAGGTTGCCATAAAGTGTTTGTTTACATGACCTTTGACTGTTGTAAACACTGTATTAAATCTACTCACCCTTACTGTGGTTTAGCACAAACACTTTTTCATACTTATTATCCACTGCCATAGATAGACATTTTGACCTAAGAAGGTCAACTAAACAAGTTTTGTATTCACTGTCATATTTATAGAGAATATAATTGATTTTTGGTGGATATCCTGTAAACCAAATACAATGTTCTTAAATAATGTTAATTCTAATATTTAGTTAAGAAATCATCATTTAGAGTACCTGTTAATCCTTTGAAGCACAGTTTGTGAAAAAAATAATAATTTGTTTTTCATTCAACCTCTAAAAAACAATATCTGTGACTTCTACCTCCCTAAAATTGGTATCGGACCCAAAAATAAAATATCGGTCGGGCTCTAATTATCTGTCTTTTTACCTAAACGTGTAAACACCACCAATTCATAGCAAGCTATTAAACTGTACATTTTCCTCTGCCCCATGGCAAACTTGCATGAAATTAGCTTTCAAAACAGCAACATTTTCTTTCAGTCTCACGGCAAAATTTGTAGAATAGCATGAGATTAGCTATAATACTGCACATTTCTCTCTTTGCCCCATGGCAAAATTACAGGAAGTTAGCTCCTTTCCCCAACAACAACAAAACATTATAATAATTTTTTTTAAAGGCCCACCCACCGAATTTCTGTCTACGCCACTGCCCCATGGTTGCCGTGATTGTTGTGTAGAGTTGTGTAGTGGTTGTTGTGTAGTTGTGTGTCTGTGTTCAGGCTGTGGTAGTGGTGTAGTTGTAGTGGTTGTTGTGTTGTGTGTCTCTGTTCAGGCTGTAGTTGTGTAGTTGTGTGTCTGTGTTCAGGCCAGGTTTGGCCTCTAGGTCTTCGTCTTCAGCTGTCTCTGGTCGTAGGCAGCGAGGAGGGGGGCGGAGCTTAAAAAAATCAGAGACGTAGCAAACCTGAGAGAAAAGGATAGTTTATAGTCAGTAGTGCTGAGCGATTACTGCTTTTTGAGGTCAGTTCGATTATTAAAAAATAATTATGTTTTCGATTTCGGTCACTATTGTTTTTTAAAACATTAAATGCACTATGCATTGTGGGTTGAATGCTGTAACACAGATTAAAACAATTAATAAAAGTCCCATGATGGTAGTGACTGCCCATTACTGCTCATCACTTATTAACCATAATTTATTCACATTACTTTAATAAAATCTCAGATGTTGTGTATATTACATTTGTTTTATTTGATGACTTTATTATTTCATTCCAAGTCATCATCTCATCTCTATAGAGCTGCTGTCTATGCAGTCTGACAAAATCACTATTTTAGTAGTTCTTCAAAGTAAATAAGGCATACTTTTATGACTGCTGAATACCAACTATCAATCACTTAGATCATGTCTTTTCTGGAACCTACAACTCCCTACTACATCGCACAGTTCGGCTTGATCTGATTTATCTCTAGAGAAACTGTGCAATGTGTGCATTGAGCTAACAGAAAAAAACAAACGAAATGGAATTCAAATAATTGAACCGACATCAGTCAATTAGTTGTTCAAAAACCGAAAAATTACAGACATTTCGGTTAATTGCTCAGCACTAGTAGTCAGACGTGTACAAACACACAGACACACACACACCTCCTACAACCCCCTATACACACACACCTCCTACAACCCCCTACACACACACACCTCCTACAACCCCCTATACACACACACCTCCTACAACCCCCTACACACACACACCTCCTACAACCCCCTATACACACACACCTCCTACAACCCCCTACACACACACACCTCCTACAACCCCCTATACACACACACCTCCTACAACCCCCTATACACACACACCTCCTACAACCCCCTATACACACACTCACGTTGAGCACAGCGATGAGAGTTCCCTGCAGCAGTCCCACCAGTACGTCGCTCCAGTGGTGTTTGTAGTCGCTAACCCGTGTGTATCCAACATACACCGCAAACGCCACGAGGGAGAACTGCACTGTGGGTCTGACCAGACGAGTCCACTTCCCCTGCATACGGGCTTGCACATACAACTATACACACAGGACATATACACAGACATGAATCGTCATCTCACGTGTGTGTGTGTATGAAACTCACACAAATATAAAAAAACACTCACCGCTAGAAACAGCATGCTGTACATCCCGAAGGCAGAGTGTCCGGAGTAAAACGACAATCTGGAACATAGAGGACATAAACTCACGTTGACATTGTATGACATAGCAAGAGAAGAAAGAAAGACGGACAGAAAGACGGACAGACCTGGACTCTGTGACGTTTCGAGGGTTGCCAGTACAGTTGAGTTGCAGCATGTACCCAGAACACACAGTGGGATTACACACAGACAGGAAGTTAGGGCGTGGCCTGCCTATGGTGAACTTGGCCAGGTCAGTCAGTGATTGGCTCACAGCTGCTCCAAACAGGAAGGTCCCCACCACCTAGTAGAGGCACAGCACAGGCCAATTTAACCACTTTCCCAAACCAATGAAATTGGGAAGAGGCAGCTAGCCAATCCAAGCTAAGACCACATATTGTCGGCCCAAAACTATGGCCTGTGTTCCAACTGACCTTGTAGAGAGCTGACATGTACTGGTTAAAGTTAGAGTTGGAGTGGAGACGCTTGGAGTACACCAGGTACGCTTCTCCTGTAGTTATCTATGGAGAGAGAGAGAGAGGCAAACTCATAGCATAGTGTGCCATTTTGTACATAACCATCGAGTTGTTCATCAAACTTACTATGACCATGGAGGAGGTGATGGTGACTGCAGCCATTGCCCTGTGAGAGATGGTGTCTCTTCTGTAAGGATATCTGATGCTCTCGTCATCACAGTAGATACCCCTCTGGTACGGACTGAACATCAACGTCAAGACCGCTGACGGAAGGGCCGCTGGGAAGGAGGGAGAGAGATAGGAAGGGGCAAGGAGAGGCAGAGAGAGGAGGGGTGTCAGAGTGGGTCGAGGGAGACGGTATCAACATGGTGCTGAACTTGTCTCCGTATAGGCCTAGGTGAGGTTGAGGTTTAAGAAACAGCTCAACAGGCTCTGACAGACATGTTTAAATCTATCAGCTGGACAGGAACTGTGAAGGCACATCTAGGCACTTATTGGTCAGCAGTATAGCAGTGACCTCTGTCCCCTGGAGAGGAAGCTGCTAGCTGCTAGCTATCACCACACACACGCGCTCCAAAGATTGTATCGTATGACGATGCCTAGAAACTGCTTCTCCAATAGAAATCCCCAATCACGCTTGTAGGCGATGTCATGGCAACATTGGCTAGCTAAGCTCAGAAACGTCATCGGGTCTAACGGTCGTCTCGATCCGAACTGCGCATTTGCAGGCCGTCAAATCAAAGTCACTTTCACACAAGGTTGGAGTAATAACACGTTCAGCTATTTAAGACATCTAGGTTGTGCCTTTAGATTTAGAGAAAATTAACAGCTAAGGAAGCATTTTTCACTTCTCCCATTGACTTCCCAAACCCCTGTCTGGTCTGTCGAGTCTGCTTGGCGAAAGCGTTCCTGGAAGTATTGCAACGTTAGGCATCTGGGTTTAGATCATCTCTGTGTGCGCTCTGATGCTCATGCACACACACACTCCCACACAAACACATCCATCACCATAGATACGCTGTTAGGCATAACAGCCTTAAAACTTTCCCCACTGAGCCCTGCTGACAAGGGCATGGGAGCTGACTACCGGACGTGACACACAGACGCGCATGCATGCACACACAGAGAATGGGACATTCATTGTGTATTTATTTATGCACAAAGTTATCATGAGAAATTCCCTTAAACTGATCTCTCACGGAAGAGACCTTGGACTTTTCCTTTAACCTCGCTCTCTCCCTCTTTCTTTCACTCCCTCTCTCTCTCCCCATAGTTCAGTGACTCACAGACCAGAGCAGAGAGACTGGCACCAAGATAGTTTTATAGTCTGTCTCTTAACTGACAATACAATGGTGTACACACACACACACACACTCTCTCTCTCTCTTAAATCTGACAGGACAAAGGTTTTAGACACCCTGATGCCAGGAACTCTGTAAACTTTAAAATCCTTTTCCTGTTTTCATGAACCCTGTCACTAGACAACATGCTCCCCTGATGCAAACTGAACTTCCACCAGTCATATACTGAACAAAAATATAAACCCAACATGCAACAATTTCAAAGATTTTACTGAGTTACAGTTCATTGAAGGAAATCAGTCACTTGAAAGTTGGTGGAGGAGTATTTCTCCAAATCAGTAAATTGAAATCAATTCATTAGGCCCTAATCTATGGATTTCACATGACTGGGCAGGGGAGCAGCCATGGGTGGGCCTGGGAGGATATAGGCCCACCAACTGGGGAGCCAGCCCCACCCAATCAGAATGAGTTTTTCCCCACAAAAGGGCTTTATTACAGACAGAAATACTCCTCAGTGGGTGGGCCTGGCTCCCAAGTGGGTGGGCCTATGCCCTTCCAGGCCCACCCATGGCTGCTCCCCTGCCCAGTCATGTGAAATCCATAGATTAGGGCCTAATGAATTGATTTCAATTTACTGATTTGGAGAAATACTCCTCCACCAACTTTCTTCCACACCGATCTCAACAAACAATTTCTGTATGGACCTCGCTTTGTGCACGGGGGCATTGTCATGCTGAAATAGGAAAGGGCCTTCCTCAAACTGTTGCCACAATGTTGTAAGCACAGAATTTATAGATTGTCATTGATTTCCCTTCACTGGAACTAAGGGGCCTAGACCGAACCATGAAAAACAGCCCTAGACCATTAATTCCTCCTCCAATAAACTTTACAGTTGGCACTATGCATTGGGGCAGGTAGCGTTCTCCTGGCATCCGCCAAACCCAGATTAGTCCGTCGGACTGCCAGATGGTGAAGTGTGATTCATCACTCCAGAGAATGCATTTCCACTGCTCCAGAGTCTAATGGCGGCGAGCTTTACACCACTCCAGCTGACGCTAGGCATTGCGCATGGTGATCTTAGGCTTGTGTGCGGCTGCTCGGCCATGGAAACCCATTTCAGGAAGCTCCCGACGAACAGTTCTTGTGCTGACGTTGCTTCCAGAGGCAGTTTGGAACTCGGTAGTGAGTGTTGCAACCGAGGACAGACAATTGTTTACGCGCTTCAGCACTCTGCGGTCCCATTCTGTGTGCTTGTATGGCCTACCACTTCGCGGCTGAGCCGTTGTTGCTCCTAGACGTTTCCACTTCACAATAACAGCACTTACAGTTGACCAGGGCAGCTCTAGCAGGGCAGAAATTTGACGAACTGACTCGTTGGAAAGATGGCATCCTATGACAGTGCCACATTGAAAGTCACTGACTATAAACTTTCAATTTCTCTCAGGTTTGCTACGTCTCTGATTGTTTCAAATCAGAAGTGTATAGGCTATTTGGGAAGCCATCAATCTGGGCAGCACATGTGGCAATAGGCTTAGCGAAAAGCATCTATAATGTGTTTTGAGTATAATTTAAAATGTTGAGACAAGAAGAAGGGGAGGGGTGTGTTGGGGAGATATGGGCATCTCTCTCCAGAATGCATGCACTCAGCTCTCCAGAATGTGCTCCTCTGTCTCCTGCCAATTCTTGCACATTCATTGTTTCATTTGTTTGCCCTTTGTTTATTTTGATAAATTCCCCATTACAATTTGTAACCAGTAGGACTAGTAAATTTACCATTAATCTCCGTCATTTGGTTACATTAATTTCTGTTAATGCATGTACAGTGCCTTGCAAAAGTATTCATCCCCCTTGGCGTTTTTCCTATTTTGTTGCATTACAACCTGTAATTTAAATGGATTTTTATTTGGATTTCATGTAATGGACATACACAAAATAGTCCAAATTGGTGAAGTGAAATGAAAAAAATTACTTGTTTCAAAGAATTCTAAAAAATAAATAACAGAAAAGTGGTGCATGCATATGTATTCACGCCCTTTGCTATGAAGCCCCTAAATAAGATAATTGGTTACACTAACTTCAGAAGTCACATAATTAGTTAAATAAAGTCCACATGTGCAATCTAAGTGTCACATGATCTCAGTATATATACACACCTGTTCTGAAAGGCCCCAGAGTTTGCAACACCACTAAACAAGGGGCACCACCAAGCAAGCAGCACCATGAAGACCAAGGAGCTCTCCAAACAGGTCAGGGACAAAGTTGCAGAGAAGTACAGATCAAGGTTGGGTTATAAAAAAATATCAGAAACTTTGAACATCCCACGGAGCACCATTAAATCCATTATTAAAAAATGGAAAGAATATGGCACCACAACAAACCTGCCAAGAGAGGGCAGCCCACCAAAACTCACGGACCAGGCAAGGAGGGCATGAATCAGAGGCAACAAAGAGACAAAGAAAACCCTGAAGGAGCTGCAAAGCTCCACAGCAGAGATTGGAGTATCTGTCCATAGGACCACTTTAAGCCGTACACTCCACAGAGCTGGGCTTTACGGAAGAGTGGCCAGAAAAAAGCCATTGCTTAAAGAAAAAAATAAGCAAACACATTTGGTGTTCGACAAAAGGCATGTGAGAGACTCCCCAAACATATGGAAGAAGGTACTCTGGTCAGATGAGACTAAAATTGATATTTTTGGCCATCAAGGAAAACGCTTTGTCAGGCGCAAACCCAACACCTATAATCACCCAGAGAACACCATCCCCACAGTGAAGCATGGTGGTGGAAACTGGGAAACTGGTCAGAATTGAAGGAATGATGGATGGTGCTAAATACAGGGACATTCTTGAGGGAAACCTGTTTCATTCTTCAGGAGATTTGAGATTGGGACGGAGGTTCACCTTCCAGCAGGACAATGACCCTAAGCACACTGCTAAAGCAACACTTGAGTGGTTTAAGGGGAAACATTTAAATGTCTTGGAATGGCCTAGTCAAAGCCCAGACCTCAATCCAATTGAGAATATGTGGTATGTCTTAAAGATTGCTGTACACCAGCAGAACCCATCCAACTTGAAGGACCTGGAGCAGTTTTGCCTTGAAGAATGGGCAAAAATCCCAGTGGCTAGATGTGCCAAGCTTATAGAGACATACCCCAAGAGACTTGCAGCTGTAATTGCTGCAAAAGGTGTCTCTACAAAGTATTGACTCTGGGGGGGTGAATAGTTTGCACGCTCAAGTTCTGTTTTTTTGTCTTATTTCTTGTTTGTTTCATGATGAAAAATATTTCGCATCTTCAAAGTGGTAGGCATGTTGTGTAAATCAAATGATACAAACCCCCCCAAAATCAATTTTAATTCCAGGTTGTAAGGCAACAAAATAGGGAAAATGCCAAGGGGGGTGAATACTTTCGCAAGCCACAGTATTAGTCATTTACCATTCTCATTCTCAGAGTGGAAACGTTGTTTGCAGAGTTCAACCTGCTACACTTGTGAGAAACAAGTTTGTATTTATTTCATAACCATAATTTAGGGAGCGCCCACGCCTGAGCACACCAACCTGCTGAGTTGATACAATGTTGCACTTCACTAGCCATAGCTCAAATCAAGACTGATAGAAAGGCAGGCAGAGTAGAGATTCATGCAATTGAAATAACCAGAATTTTCATCAGGATATGTTCTAGTGTTTTTATTTTGTCGGCTTTAGGCCTATGTATTTTACTTAGTTGATGATGGAAGTTATTGGCCTACTTGCTGCATTGGCCTATAGGCTATCTCTGAGTTCCATGCGCTCATTTCTTCCAATGGATCACGTTGTAGCCTATCAATGTGTCCATATGGCAAAGGCTGGCACTCTTGCATTAGTTTAATTTTAACTTTTAGATTTTTATTACGATTTTTAATGATGAACCATGTGACAATAGTTTTGAGAAACGAAAAACGTTATTATTGAAATGAAACTGTTCCACGAAAATGCAAATACAGTATAAAAATCATAACTGGCACGCAGATAGGTAGAAATTGTATTACTTGTAAGCTTCCCCAAACTTGAAACTCACAAGCTGTCTTTATCATAATAGGCCACCATTGTAAATAAGAATTTGTTCTTAACTGACTTGCCTAATTAAATAAAGGTTCACTTTTTTTTATTTTTTATAACAACCATTAACAACATTTGTGCAAGTGCGTGCACACAGGAGGTCCCGTGAAAAAAACGGGCCCGCCTATAGAAATCAAATGCCCATCCAACTGATTCGTTCTGGCGCCGGCCCTGCTCACACTGTCACTCATCAGCGGCTTATGAACAGCATGACTATTTGGTCAACCTTAATTCCGCTAGGTCAAGCGTGCACTCAGCCACTTTGAAGTGTACTAACTGGTATTTACTTTGAGGTCATGTCGACTTTGTAGGGTGCTAGGATAACAGTTAGATAAGACAGCTCTCTGGAGAATAGTGGTGAGGGTGAGGTGTGAGTGTGCATGTGTGTGTATGGGTGGGTGGCACTCCGCTGCAGTGCCAGAGAAATAAACACACACTAACATATAATTTTTGTAATTTCCAGTTTTATTCCAGTAAGGTTGTTGCTCCAGTGTTATTGTAGCCAAGGGTTGGGTTGAACCAAGATTGTTCCTCTCTCCAGAGAGTGGGCTGAGCTGGCTTTGATAAAACAAGGGAGGAGAAAGGGGAGTGTGTGAACAAATAGATGCAAGATTAAAACGCCAACACTATTAAGACAATGTCGTAACAATTGATTCAGTAAATCTGGAACTGATTTTGAACAATTCAACCCTGTTGAATGGCATATATTGTAACAGAACTGGTGACGACCTGTACCTGGGATCCAATGGTACTAGAGACGTTTTAATGAACCCAAAGGAAAACTGATTCAAGTATTCTCTTCGGTATCTTCTGAAGAGGTTAGTTTGTAGCACACATCTCGACCTTCCTCAGCGATGTAGGAAGAACAACGATGTTGCACAGACTCAGAGGGCTGTGCGTTTGTGTGTCCAGTAGAAGACACAGGAAGGAGAGTCCATAGTCTGTCTTCTTTAACCACCTGCCCCACACAGTGATCTTGGCCTAGGGAGTATGTCTTCAGTAACAGAATGGACAGCGCGTTCAGAGAGAAAGAAGAGGGGATAACATTGTTTCACTCTTTCACAATCTCATCTGGCTAGATAGAAAGTTCCAGATTCCTCCCTGAGAAAACAAACATGGAGGAATGTCTAGTGAGATAGGACACATGATCAACTTCCTCCTGACCTCTGACCTCACAGGAAGGAGGAACCTAAGAAGTGTTCCTGTTATTCTCCAGACTAGAAGCCAAAAAACTTACACAACCCTACTGTCCTACTAGTCACATCCAACAGCTACAACACACACACACACACACACACACACACACACACACACCGCTTGATTAAATCTAGACAATAGAGAGATTCCAATAGGGAGACAGAGCAGGAAGAGGATCAGTACTCTATGGCTGTAGTAATCCCGCTGTACTGTCAGAATCCTGGTTATTTTCCACACAGGAAAAGTCTACACCCCCCGCTTCCCTCGCTCTCTCACACACACACACACACACACACACACACAAATAGTTGTCAGAGAGATGGTGTGTGTGTGTCAGTAAAACAGCAGGAGAGTATCTTCTGTAACTCTAGTTGTCAGCAAAACCCAGAAAATCAAACAGATAAATAACAAACTAACACAACAACAGTTGGTATCAGTCTATAGTTTGATGCAGATGCTCTTCTTAACCCCAAGTCACATAAATAACAGTAATAACTCAGACAGAGCAACGGCAGCTGTTTTAGGTCTCATATTTCACTTCCAGAGAAAGTTTGATGACCCAAGGTCTTTAAAGGACTGTGACCCCCATCACAGCAAAGTTCCGGGAAGAAAGTGAAAAACATTGACACAATGTGAAACTTCCTTAATTTAGATTCCTTAGAATGACCCTTAGAATGAACATGATCATTGTCTTCCAATCACATTCTTCCAGAGGGTGTGTACATGTCTTACAACAGCAATCTGACCCATTCACACAATCATCAGTCAATATTGAACGATCTAAAAGGTCCAAATGAAGGATGGATATGTCAGGCCCTGTTGTTATGCACATATCAGCAGAAGGGATGATTGCTTGGTTTGGGTGGCATTTGGTTGGTATTTTTGTTGAAAGACTGTTGCAGAAAGAACTCAATGTGCCTCTGTGTGTGCGTGTGTGTGTGTAAAGTGTCTTTGTCTGCAGTGATAACAAGGCAAAGGACAAGGGGCAAAGGAGAGGAGAAAAGAGTAAAACAGAGAGAGAAAGAAAGTGGATCGAGAGACAGTGAGTAAAAGAGGGATGAGAGGGAAAGAAAACGTGAGAGAGGAAAAGCTTTGTCAGATCTGCTCCAGTTTGTGGACTCAGCACATTCCTACCATATTAATTACACAGTGAGGAAGCTGGGCTATGGCCTTCAAACACACACTAACAAAACACACATGTATGCACACACACACTAAATAAAACACACACAACCCTGTCTTACTCTTATCTGAACCGGGAATAAAAAAATCCCAATTGTTTTCTTGTCACTAATTGTAGACTGATTACTGCTACCCCTTAGACCACTACAGAGAGAGAGAGGGGGGAGGCAGACGAGATGAAAGGAAAATAAGATGGAGAGATTGAGGGAGGAAATAATGAAAGAGGAAAAGAGAGGGAGTGATTTTACTGTCGTCAGACCCCAGGCCCAGACACAGCCCTCAGTGTCAACAAACATGGTTATGCCACAAGGTGATGTCGTCTTGCATTACCCATCTCATATGTATCTACTGTATTCTATACTATCTTAATAATGTTTACATATCTTGGATTACCCATCTCATTTGTATATACTGTATTCTATACTATCTTAATAATGTCTACATATCTTGCATTACCCATCTCATATGTATATACTGTATTCTATACTATCTTATTAATGTTTACATATCTTGCATTACCCATCTCATATGTATATACTGTATTCTATACTATCTATTGCATCTTAGCATATGCCACTCTGAGGACATTGCTCATCCATATATTTATACACTGCTCAAAAAAATAAAGGGAACACTAAAATAACACATCCTAGATCTGAATGAATGAAATAATCTTATTAAATACTTTTTTCTTTACATAGTTGAATGTGCTGACAACAAAATCACAAAAATGATCAATGGAAATCAAATTTATCAACCCATGGAGGTCTGGATTTGGAGTCACCCTCAAAATTAAAGTGGAAAACCACACTAGAGGCTGATCCAACTTTGATGTAATGTCCTTAAAACAAGTCAAAATGAGGCTCAGTAGTGTGTATGGCCTCCACGTGCCTGTATGACCTCCCTACAACGCCTGGGCATGCTCCTGATGAGGTGGCGGATGGTCTCCTGAGGGATCTCCTCCCAGACCTGGACTAAAGCATCCGCCAACTCCTGGACAGTCTGTGGTGCAACGTGGCGTTGGTGGATGGAGCGAGACATGATGTCCCAGATGTGCTCAATTGGATTCAGTTCTGGGGAACGGGCGGGCCAGTCCATAGCATCAATGCCTTCCTCTTGCAGGAACTGCTGACACACTCCAGCCACATGAGGTCTAGCATTGTCTTGCATTAGGAGGAACCCAGGGCCAACCGCACCAGCATATGGTCTCACAAGTGGTCTGAGGATCTCATCTCGGTACCTAATGGCAGTCAGGCTACCTCTGGCGAGCACATGGAGGGCTGTGCGGCCCCCCAAAGAAATGCCACCCCACACCATGACTGACCCACTGCCAAACCGGTCATGCTGGAGGATGTTGCAGGCAGCAGAACGTTCTCCACGGCGTCTCCAGACTCTGTCACGTCTGTCACGTGCTCAGTGTGAACCTGCTTTCATCTGTGAAGAGCACAAGGCGCCAGTGGCGAATATGCCAATCTTGGTGTTCTCTGGCAAATGCCAAACGTCCTGCACGGTGTTGGGCTGTAAGCACAACCCCCACCTGTGGACGTCGGGCCCTCATGGAGTCTGTTTCTGACCGTTTGAGCAGACACATGCACATTTGTGGCCTGATGGAGGTCATTTTCCAGGGCTCTGGCTGTGCTCCTCCTGCTCCTCCTTGCACAAAGGCGGAGGTAGCAGTCCTGCTGCTGGGTTGTTGCCCTCCTACGGCCTCCTCCACACCTCCTGAAGTACTGGCCTGTCTCCTGGTAGTGCCTCCATGCTCTGGACACTACGCTGACAGACACAGCAAACCTTCTTGCCACAGCTCGCATTGATGTGCCATCCTGGATGAGCTGCACTACCTGAGCCACTTGTGTGGGTTGTAGACACTGTCTCATGCTACCACTAGAGTGAAAGCACCGCCAGCATTCAAAAGTGACCAAAACATCAGCCAGGAAGCATAGGAACTGAGAAGTGGTCTGTGGTCACCACCTGCAAAACCAGTCCTTTATTGGGGGTGTCTTGCTAATTGCCTATAATTTCCACCTGTTGTCTATTCCATTTGCACAACAGCATGTGAAATGTATTGTCAATCAGTGTAGCTTCCTAAGTGGACAGTTTCATTTCACAGAAGTGTGATTGACTTGGAGTTACATTGTGTTGTTTAAGTGTTCCCTTTATTTTTTTGAGCAGTGTACAGTGAAGGAAAAAAGTATTTGATCCCCTGCTGATTTTGTACGTTTGCCCACTGACAAAGAAATGATCAGTCTATAATTTTAATGGTAGGTTTATTTGAACAGTGAGAGACAGAATAACAACAAAATAATCCAGAAAAACGCATGTAAAAAATGTTATAAAGGGGGTCAAATAAGTATTTGACCCCCTCTCAATCAGAAAGATTTCTGGCTGCCAGGTGTCTTTTATACAGGTATCGAGCTGAGATTAGGAGCACACTCTTAAAGGGAGTGCTCCTAATCTTAGCTTGTTACCTGTATAAAAGACACCTGTCCACAGAAGCAATCAATCAATCAGATTCCAAACTCTCCACCATGGCCAAGACCAAAGAGCTCTCCAAGGATGTCAGGGACAAGATTGTAGACCTACACAAGGCTGGAATGGGCATAAGACCATCGCCAAGCAGCTTGGTGAGAAGGTGACAACAGTTGGTGCGATTATTCGCAATTGGAAGAAACACAAAAGGACTGTCAATCTCCCTTGGCCTGGGGCTCCATGCAAGATCTCACCTTGTGGAGTTGCAATGATCATGAGAACGGTGAGGAATCATCCCAGAACTACACGGGAGGATCTTGTCAATGATCTCAAGGCAGCTGGGACCATAGTCACCAAGAAAACAATTGGTAACACACTACGTCGTTTAGGACTGAAATCCTGCAGCGCCCGCAAGGTCCCCCTGCTCAAGAAAGCACATATACAGGCCCATCTGAAGTTTGCCAATGAACATCTGAATGATTCAGAGGAGAACTGGGTGAAAGTGTTGTGGTCAGATGAGACCAGAATGGAGCTCTTTGGCATCAACTCAACTCGCCGTGTTTGGAGGAGGAGGAATGCTGCCTATAACCCCAAGAACACCATCCCCACCGTCAAACATGGAGGTGGAAACATTATGCTTTGGGGGTGTTTTTCTGCTAAGGGGACAGGACAACTTCACCGCATCAAAGGGACAATGGACGGGACCATGTACCGTCAAATCTTGGGTGAGAACCACCTTCCCTCAGCCAGGGCATTAAATGGGTCGTGGATGGGTATTCCAGCATGACAATGACCCAAAACACACGGCCAAGGCAACAAAGGAGTGGCTCAAGAAGAAGCACATTAAGGTCCTGGAGTGGCCTAACCAGGCTCCAGACCTTAATCCCATAGAAAATCTGTGGAGGGAGCTGAAGGATCGAGTTGCCAAACGTCAGCCTCGAAACCTTAATGACTTGGAGAAGATCTGCAAAGAGGAGTGGGACAAAATCCCTCCTGAGATGTGTGCAAACCTGGTGGCCAACTACAAGAAACGTCTGACCTCTGTGATTGCCAACAAGTGTTTTGCCACCAAGTACTAAGTCATGTTTTGCAGAGGGGTCAAATACTTATTTCCCTCATTAAAATGCAAATCAATTGATAACATTTTTGACATGCATTTTTCTGGATTTTTGTTTTGTTATTCTGTCTCTCACTGTTCAAATAAACCTACCATTAAAATTATAGACTGGTCATGTCTTTGTCAGTGGGCAAATGTACAAAATCAGCAGGGGATCAAATACTTTTTTCCCTCACTGTATATTCTTATTCCATTCCTTTACTTAGATTGTGTGTATTAGGTTTTTGGTTGTGGAACTGTTAGATATTACTTGCTAGATATTACTGCACTGTCGGAACTAGAAGCTCAAGCATTTCGTTACACTCGCAATAACATCTGCTAACCATGTGTATGTGACCAATACATTTGATTTGATTTGATTTGTTAACAAGGACCAGCTTGCTTAACTGTTAAACAACCCTACTCTCTCACTCACTAAATACCACGGGAGAAAGAGTTAAATGAAGCTTAAATAAAAAATAAAAATTTGAAAATAAAGATAGCAAAGGATTGTGGCAGGAAGACAAAGAGTGGGGGATTGGGAGAAGAAAGAAAGGGATGGAGAGGGAAAGAGGTGGAGGGAGTGGGAGATGGAGAGAGGGAAGGAGACTGTCCACCCAAATGTCTATTCTAAACTACAGATCCTGTAGACTTGAGAGTCCAGTGCAAGTCCCAACATGCAAACCCCGGCTCTACACACAGCAACCACACTGGATGCCACAGGGCAAAGCCCAACAAACAGGACACTTTCCATGGAAGGCCAGTCAAAATAACAGGTATTCCGTTACAAACGCGCGCGCACACACACGAGCCATTACAGCTTATTTTTAAATGGTCATCATAAATGTATTTTAACTGTGAAATAGTAAACTTACAATCATAGTAATTGTGACTATGCATGTTGTGTTAGTATCCCATGCTGACTGATGACTTTAGCCTACAATCTATTTGAATCAATAAAGATCAATGTTACACCACTCCACCAGGCACTGTGAACACCTGTAATGTGCTGACAGACAACGAAAGAATCAATGAAACAAGATATAACACGAGCAATGCTGACTCTCTATTCCTATTACAATACTATTGCAGTGTGTGTGTGTGTGTGTGTGTGTGTGTGTGTCTTTCTGTGTGTGTGTCTGTGTGTAACACAGAACACCTGTTCTTCTTACTGGAAAGTGTCCTGCATGTTGGGCTTTGCCCTGTGGCTTGTGTGTGTCGCTTGCCTAAACATTGTTTACAAAGTCCCCCACCTTCTCAGTCTTATCCAGTATTTACCCAATAAACAACTATTTGATTGATTTATCGGTGGCTAGTGCTACCCTATTGCGTTGGGCATGTAGACGGCGGAGAGAGCGTGGTGTCCTTCGGTAATACAACAAATAATGTTATATCAGCCATGTTATTAGAGAGAGAGAAATAGGGCACTTACCGACAACCACACAGAGAACATCAACTAGAATCAGCATATTTTTCTTGTGAACTGGTAGTTCCGTCATCTTCACTCTTCTACTTTCTCAGAAGAAGAATGATCAAAATTGCATAAACGTTATTGGGAGAAGTTTAGTTGCAGAGGTAAGATAAAAATAGTGTGAACAAAGAGATTTGCTTGTTCTTCCGGATTTCGTTCCCGTAGCCTACCTGGCCTACCTGTTTAGGCCTACGCTCTATAGGTGAGTCGGGGAAAGACGCGACTGCAGTCTACACCACACACACTGAGTGTCCAGCGCTGTCAACGCACGGAAATGTGTGGGTAGCGCATTGTCCACACGCAAGCAGAGATAACAAAAAAATGAAATCGTTTCCTTTGTGGAAAATTGAGAATGGGCTACTTTTTCCTAGTGAAGGTGTGTGTGCGTTTACATTCTCTCACTCTCCACTCCCCAGATCTGACGTCAGCGCTATTGTGAAATGAAAAGTGAATCGGGCAACAGGGAGGAGTCAGAGGATGAAGAGATAAAGCCGTGTTGCAGCAACATCCAGAAAAAAAGAAGAAATAAGTTGCAAGATAATTGAGATGGATCATGGAAGATTTAGGCTTTCTGATAATATATCAATAATTATAAATAAATTAAATGACTTTTACCCCCCACACCCATAATTGTTTTTGTTGCCTCAGGGCAACGCTGTGCCATTAGGGTAGGCTAAAACACCAAGGAAAATCAGATACAGAACATTTGTTAAGTGAAATATAGTAGAAACAAGCACTCTTTTCATAAGAAAATACATGTTGGGAATAACCTAGTATTTCACTGCTTTTCCAACCTGATTCTGGGGTACATTCTTCTTCGCTGTCACTGTCCTCAAGCTGACTGTCCTCACTATCAGAGGGTATGATCCTACTGCTCCATTATGCTCCTTTCGCCCATAGAATGTCCCTGTGTCCATTGCCTGTACATGTCAGTGGTTATGTTGGCAAAAACATTGACCAAGGCCATCATTTTACATCAAATTACATATCTTTCATTGAGTATGATATTGCATTGAAAAGTAGCCTAAACTCAACTTAAAAACGGGAAGCATAGAAATAGTGCACATAGAACAGATCTACCACTTCTTAGACTTGCTTTCAACATGAATGACAGATCTGTAACTCATATTTCTATGTGAATTTTGTTGAGTTACAAAAGTTACATATTGCAGCTTTAAACATGCAAAATAATTAAATGTATCTTACCCTTTGCTCACATCATGTAGTCAAATGCATTTTTTGTTCTGCTTCCTGAAAGAAGTTCCCTGCCCCAATTGATATGTCATACCAACTTCTGCACCTCATTGGATTGTTTACAGACATGTCATCACACATTGTAAGAATTTAAAACAATTCACATGGGAGGGTGTAAGGGAGAAAATGGTTTTCTGTTGCCTGAGGGCAACTATGTGCAGTAGAGGGTTAACAGGAGAGGGAATATTCATTAAGGATATGACATGCTTTTTGCAGGTTTCCTACATCTGTCACCTACTACAATTACACACTAAAAGATAAGGTACACTTTTACATTCAGGTGGTTTTCGCTTCATGTTTGTAATGTGCGTTGTAATGTTCTAGGCCCAGGACAACTCCCCTTTGGTGACAGAAAATCACTTCAGTTCAGTTGAATGAACAGCACGCTGTTGAACGTTGCAGGAGTAAACAATCCACCTTCTAAAGCCAGTGGTCCCATTGGACCAGATAAAGACCCAGCAACATGTCTCACTGATATCATGGATTGTCTTTATTATGGAGCAGTGGTGATCAGGGACATAGACATGCTGTATAGGAGATATAGTATCTGAAGAAGAGGCGGCCGGAGGTATTGTAGAGGTGTGAGATGAGATGCATTTGTCTATTTGCCCTTGCATTTCCGCGGCAGGGGCAGACAAAGCTCCTGTAACAAACAAACAGACAAACTAATGACATTTAAATTAAATTATTTTAATAAATTAGTAAATGAGAGAAACACAGCTCACCTGTAGGCGCGGCGAGGCGCTAGCGGAGCGTGCAGCTAGGGTAACAGTGTACGGGTTGTAGCCTTGGAACAGCGCCTTCCGCTGGTTGGGACGTGAAAGGACATGCACCCTCTCACTGGCTACTGCCTTCCTCACCGGCCCCGGCACTGGCCAGCTGACTGGACGGTCCTGGGCGTACTGGGGGTGGTCAGACTTAGGGACTGGGAGAGGGGAGGTGGGGTGGGGAGGAGGAAGGAGACAGAGAGAGTAATGGAGAGAGAGAGTGTGTGTGCGAGACAGAGGTAGATAGAGTACCAACAATTTTCAGGCAAAAAATGAACACTACATGTACTTTGCAATGTTGTTAGGTGGCCGTTATTAAACGTTACTGTGTGAGGTAAATACGAGGTATTCTAAGTGTCTTACTTGCGAGGAGCTGTAGTCGGGAGGAGGTTGCAGCTGGGTGGGGGGGTGCCAGTGAGGTCTTGGACAAATGGGGCGAATAGAGACCCTGCCTCCGCTTGGGACGGGCCAACTGGCAGACCCTAGGACTGGCTACTGCAGTCTGCACTGCTCTGCTCAACTAGAGATATATAGAGCGAGAGAGAGACACACAAAGAGAGGAAACAAGAGATAGATAGATAGATAGATAGATAGTGGTCCTCTGTAGCTCAGCTGGTAGAGCACGGCGCTTGTAACGCCAAGGTAGTGGGTTTGATCCCCGGGACCACCCATACACAAAAAAATGTATGCATGCATGACTGTAAGTGGCTTTGGATAAAAGCGTCTGCTAAATGGCATATTATTATTATTATAGACCGAGATAGAGTGGGTTATAAATTGAGGTGTGTGTGTGGTACTCACTGAGGCCAGCAGGGGGCGGTCAGGTTCCCAGCCTGCTGTTGGGAGGCGGGGTAAAGCCAGAGAACACACTCTATTGGATGGACAGGCCCTCAGAGCTGCTACACTGACCTCCCATTGGGGAGATGATCTGGAGCGGGAGGAGAGGAGAGTCATCAAGAGTCATCATAGACATCATGCATTATACACATCATTAACATAAATAATTATGATACAATATGAAGTCTTACCTGCTCTGTTCAAACCCAGCATTAAGCAGCTTCCTGCTACACAGCTGGGACCAGCGGGGCGTCAACTCTACAACAAAAACAATAATATTAAAAAGGTCATTATAAAGTCAATTATCCACAACACAAACATCAAAGAGACAGAAAGAGAGACAGGGGCCGGGAGACTGAAAAAGGGATAGGAACAGAAAGAGAGTGGGGTAATTGTTAGATATTACTTGTTAGATATTACTGCACTGTCGGCGCTAGAAGCACAAGCATTTCACTACACCCGCTATAACATCTGCTAAACACGTGTATGTGACAAATACCATTTGATTTGATCTTACCAAATGTGGTGGTGGAGCAATTTCTTTCAGGTGGGAGTTCATCTAGCCAGTAGACTGACCGGCTGGAAGGAAAATAAGCAGATGATCAGTCTCTGTGTGTGTGTGTGTGTGTGTATGTGTGTGTGTGTGTGTATGTGTGTGTGTGTGTGTGTGTGTGTGTGTGTGTGTGTGTGTGTGTGTCAGTACCGGTCGGGGAATCGGAGCAGGTTGGGTTTGGGCTGGGCGAGTTGCTCCATCCGGGTAGCCATGGATACGTGAGCTGTTGAAGCATAACACTAAAATGTCTGTTTATTGTATTTCCCTTTAAATGTCTCTGAAAATAGTACACACAGTAGGCTACACACACCTTTTCTTCAATTGGAGACAAGAGCAAAGTCAAAGGGGTAACAATAACACCTCATTATGACATGGAAATAGCCCAACAATGGCATAAACATGACATAAGAGCTGTCATGACCACTGTCGTAGTCCCGTGTAGCTCAGCTTGCAACGCCAGGGTTGTGGGTTCGATTCCCACGGGGGACCAGTATGAAAATGTATGCACTAACTGTAAGTCGCTCTGGATAAGAGCGTCTGCTAAATGACAAAAATGACCACCACTTGTAAGAAAATAAGTTGAACTTTCTCTCAACTATGCGCCAAATACTTTTTTTTACTACAACAGCAGGAAAAATGCACCTTGAACAATGATCACATAGGCTAGTGAGTCAATGCATGAGTACACAGTATTAAACAGATACGTTTTTATAAAGTAAACGCAATAGGCCCTTTTCACGTGACGTCAGACAACTTCCGTTCTGCCGCGATGCAGGTTATGTTTACATCCGGTGTCGCTTAGGAACGCTTAGCTAGTAGCACATCATTATGGAGTTCACCCAGTCCCTTTCACATCTGCCACCAATACGACTTAACGACGTAGAACGACTTGCTGACAAGTGGTCCCTTACTTCAAGATCGAAGCTTGATAAAGGCTACAAGTTCTTCGTTGAAGGTTACCTGTTTGATTATGAAGGTACGTGTTTATCTTTATTTAGCTTAAATTAGCCCTATGCTAGCGAAGGTTATGAGCTGACGAGTTTCTGTTTTGCAGCCTCTTTTTAATATTACTGCTGTTTGTATCGACCGTAAGATAAGAGTCAGTAATGTATTAATGGCTAATGCTGCGCCCTTTCTCCCAATCACTGTATTGAAACAGTCTCAAGTGTAGTTAACGGTGAGGTGACAGTGAGAGGGCGATGTTACAGGTCCATGAAGAAAAATGAGGAGGCTCATCGGCTTCAGGTTTCTCAGATAAACAGTTCTCTAACATTATGATAAGATAGGTTAAGATAGATAAGTTTTCTTTTTGTTGTGTTTTGCTGCGGTTGCAGATTTAATAAGAATGATTCCACAAAGTTCCACTGTGGATCAGTTTGTTTCTCAGTCTGAGCTCTGATTTTGTATCATTAAACTTAATACACAACGAAATTCTTACAAACCGATGTGGGTTGTTGACGGCAATAAAGACTGGGAAAGATTCTGTGATAACTCAAAATGTTCAAATTTTCGATAAGACAGGGAAACCGTGAAAACTCAGATACGGGAATTTCTGTTTGTTGTTTGAACAAAATGGTACACTGCAATAGCATCTTCTCGAAGATTGTGCCATGCTTCGGTGTTGGATGGGATACTGTTGCGATACAGACACCGGGAGAAAAGAAACAGCTAAATTAACATTCAGCTTTGACCAGGAATCAATATTTATCTAGCTATCATGCACAACAGTATTTGAATAGGTGAGTTACTATACATTCATGAATAAACTAACTGCCTAACAAAGGGTTAGATAGCTAGCTAAGTAAACTTGTTACATTACAGCCAGGCAGCAATGTAACGCTACCTTTTAACGTTATCGGTATCTGGTACTAAGTTGTTGTTAGCTAACGTTAGCCCACTTTTAAGTAACTAAGGCAGTGAACAATTATGAATTAACAATAACGTTAGCAAGTTACAAACCATTGCATATACGTAAACATTATTACTCTTAACTTTACTAATTTAACTTAAACGTACCTTTTGGAATTTCTTCAAGTAGCTAGCTTGCTAGTTAGTGGTCAACAGTTGTATTTTCGTTGAGAAGTCTCAGGTTACGGGCGAACGGAAGTGAAGTTAACCTGCTACGCGGAAAGGCGGAAGTTAGATGACGTCATCGTGAAAAGGGCCTATATCCACGATTAGCAGCTCAAAATATTTGCACACGTTATCACGTTATTCTATCACGTAGCCTACCTGCCACTTCCTCGCAATCAACTTGGGGTGGTTCGTAAATTCACTCTGGAGTGCCAGAGTGCGCTCTGTGCGTTCGTAAATGTAGAGCTTTGTCAGATTGTCCATTCATTCAGAGTGCACACAGGACTCTCTGGCCGAGGAGTGTGGTTGATCCGAGCGTTCTGACCTCACAACGTCAGTCAAGCACCCAGCTAACTGGCTATAGTTGGCTAGCTTGCTAGCTACTCACTCTGACCGTTTCACTCGCCCTAGCAGAGCAGGTTAGGCTGTTTTCAGGTTATCTAGAGAGTTGGTTACTGTAACTATGCTGCTGGCAACAATTTAATAACGTTTTTTTGCCGACGTTTCCTGATACCTGTAATATTCAACAGGTGTTGTGCGTTCATACATTCATTAGCTAGTTATTCTGCGCTCTGGTACACTCAGACTAGAGTGCGCTGAAATCGGAGTAGGGGTGCGTTTGTATATTCACTGTGGCAATCTACTCAGATTTCAGAGCACGCTCGGGTGCGTTCGTAAATTCACTCTGGCGATCTACTCCAATTTCAGAGCACTCGCGTTTGAGTGTGCCAGAGCGCCGAATTACTGATCAATTTACGAACGCGCAACACCCATTGAATATGACCGGTGTCAGTAGACGTTGGCAAAAAAACAATGAAATTGTTGCCAGCAGCACAGTTAGTCACAAACGCTCTAGATAACATGAAAAAAACCTGCTCTGCTATGGCGAGTAAAATGGTTAGAGTGAGGTGTTCTCTCATTTGTCTCTGGAAGTAGCTAGCTAGCAAGCTAGACAACTTTAGCCAGTTAGCTTGGACGCTTGACTGCCGTTGTGAGGTCAGAACGCTCTGATCAACCCTACTCCTCCGCCAGAGCATAGTGTGCGCTCTGAACGCTCCGAGAGCGAAACGCGCTGAATTTACGAACGGACAATCTGACAACGGTCTGAATTTACGAACACACCCTCTGGCACTCCAGACTGGATTTATGAACACACCCTAAAAAGCCAGCCAAAGTGAATTTACGAACGCACCATTGATGTTTATCCCTGCTTGCGCTGATACTGACGCCTGGTGGTTGCTATGGTGACGCCGTTATCTATGTCATCGTTCATGTCACGCACTGATTGATGTGAAAGGCTTTCATAATGAACCATTACTGAACGCACATGCTGGTATTTTTTCGATTTCTCTTGCAATTCCAATTTAAACACAAGCATACCAATTAGAATGAATCAATGATACTAGTATGGACAATGGAAAGTAGCAAATACATTTATCTGAACAACAACCCTTATCCCTACCCTCTACCTGTGTATGTGGTTAGACTTAAGTAAAAAAATATATATATATTCACTCTTTATTTTCATAGAACATGAGAAAATCTTACAAACAGCACCACAGTAACAAACCTACCTATTATTACTTAGCTTTCATGATCAAAGTCCAAAAAACATTCACACTTTAACACACTACACTGAGTGTACAAAACATTGGGAACACCTGCTCTTTCCATTACAGACTGACCAGTGAAAGCTATGATCCCTTATTGATGTCACTTGTTAAGACATGAATTGTGCGTGTGCCATTCAGAGGGTGAATGGGCAAGACAAAAGATTTAAGTGCCTTTGAACAGGGTGGGCGGCAGGTAGCTTAGTGGGTAAGAGCGTTGTGCCAGTAACCGAAAGGTCGCTGGTTCTAATCCCCGAGCCGACTAGGTGAAAAGTCTTCCGATGTGCCCTTGAGCAAGGCACTTAACCCTAATTGCTCCTGTAAGTCGCTCTGGATAAGAGCGTCTGCTAAATGACTAAAATGTAAATGTATGGTAGTAGGTGTCAAGCGCTCCGGTTTGAGTGTGTAAAGAACTGCAACGCTGCTGGGTTTTGTACGCTCAAGTTTCCTGTGTGTATCAAGAATGGCCCACCACCCAAAGGACATCCAGCCAACTTGACAACTGTGGGAAGCATTGGAGTCAACATGGGCCAGTATCCCTGTGGAACGCTTGACACCTTGTAGTCCATGCCCCGGCAAACTGAGGCTTTTCTGAGGGCAAAATGTAACTCAATATCAGGAAGGTGTTCCTAATGTTTTGTACACTCAGTGTATAATACCAGCATTCTTACATATAAGTACTGAAATAGCTTTCAAGCGCACATTTCTATAATAGCTTTCCACTATAGTGATGTAGTGTTCTACTGTATAACATTATTGGATGACACTCCCACCCTGGTACAGCTAGCTAATCAATGTGCCATAGGGACGATTGATAATACTCTATTGACATACAGTAACCTGCTCTGTTACAGCATTTGCCTTTGGCCATATAATACAGTTTGACCATTGTGGTTTCCACCCAGAACCATTATGAAGCTCTTAGAATAACATCACATAGTTCCACAGCAGCCATGTTAGCATCTCTGCAGACGACAGCACCTTCAGTATTAGTATCATAAATAGGCTGTGTCCCACTCTATTCCCTATATAGTGCACTACTTTTGAACAGAGAGCACAAAAGTAGTGCACTACATAGGGAATAGGGTGCCATTTGGGATGCACATAATGAGTAGAGAAGGGTCAGAGAGTCTGTACAATGACAGGGTAGAGCAGAGACAGGTGTTCAGCTCCTCTGATAGGTAGTTTGTGCATGGTGTAGTAGTGGATGACCTCTGGTACAGAGGAGAATGGAGGACTGTTCTCTCCCAGGACGTAGCGACCCTCTGAACTCCGAGTGAACTTCATATGCATGAAGCCCTGACAACTCCTGAAAGAGAGAGAAGAGAGAGCGAGAGCAAAAGAGAGAGAGAGACAGAAATAGAGAGCGGCGTTATAAAATCCTTATCACCTTATTAGGGCCTAGATAAATATGGAAAACCCATGGAAAACCCATTTACGATGATGTGGTTGGTATAATGTAGAACATCAGGAGAATGCGAGAGGGAGAGAGCGTGTAAAGGTACCTGAGGGAGAGAGAGTAGTCTTGTGGGCAGGTCTGGCTCTTCCTCACCAGGTAGGAACTCTCTTTGCACAACGTCAGTAGAGTCTCTGCCTCTGCACGACTCACAGCACCATGGTACCACCTGCAAGGGGGACATATTACTGTGTGACGCATAGCAAGGGGCACAAAACAGTGTGACACACAGCCGGGGGGGGCTTCTTGAATTATACTGAGAGTCAGAGGTTGAGGGAGGTACTTACACCTGTCTCTCCAAGGGCAGGCAGGGGTCCACTCTCTCACCCAGGATAGGGGGGTTGTCACCGGGCCGCCGAAGGCTGGCTGCGCCCCCTGGGTCTGGGTCTGTGGGGCTGGTTCTGGGTAGTCTGGCCTGGTCTGACTGGGCTAACGATCTCTCCCACTCTGCCCCCTCAAACTGCACTACAAATTGAGAGTTTTATTAGCCAACTACTTAAATACCGGGGAAACAGGTACAGTGGGGAAAAAAACTATTTAGTCAGCCACCAATTGTGCAAGTTCTCCCACTTAAAAAGATGAGAGAGGCCTGTAATTTTCATCATAGGTACACGTCAACTATGACAGACAAAATGAGGAAAATCACATTGTAGGAGTTTTAATGAATTTATTTGCAAATTATGGTGGAAAATAAGTATTTGGTCAATAACAAAAGTTTCTCAATACTTTGTTATATACCCTTTGTTGGCAATGGCACAGGTCAAACGTTTTCTGTAAGTCTTCACAAGGTTTTCACACACTGTTGCTGGTATTTTGGCCCAATCCTCCATGCAGATCTCCTCTAGAGCAGTGATGTTTTGGGGCTGTCGCTGGGCAACACGGACTTTCAACTTCCTCCAAAGATTTTCTATGGGGTTGAGATCTGGAGACTGGCTAGGCCACTCCAGGACCTTGAAATGCTTCTTACAAAGCCACTCCTTCGTTGCCCGGGCGGTGTGTTTGGGATCATTGTCATGCTGAAAGACCCAGCCACGTTTCATCCTCAATGCCCTTGCTGATGGAAGGAGGTTTTCACTCAAAATCTCACGATACATGGCCCCATTCATTCTTTCCTTTACACGGATCAGTCGTCCTGGTCCCTTTGCAGAAAAACAGCCCCAAAGCATGATGTTTCCACCCCCATGCTTCACAGTAGGTATGGTGTTCTTTGGATGCAACTCAGCATTCTTTGTCCTCCAAACACGACGAGTTGAGTTTTTACCAAAAAGTTCTATTTTGGTTTCATCTGACCATATGACATTCTCCCAATCCTCTTCTGGATCATCCAAATGCACTCTAGCAATCTTCAGACGGGCCTGGACATGTACTGGCTTAAGCAGGGGGACACGTCTGGCACTGCAGGATTTGAGTCCCTGGCGGCGTAGTGTGTTACTGATGGTAGGCTTTGTTACTTTGGTCCCAGCTCTCTGCAGGTCATTCACTAGGTCCCCCCGTGTGGTTCTGGGATTTTTGCTCACCGTTCTTGTGATCATTTTGACCCCACGGGGTGAGATCTTGCGTGGAGCCCCAGATCGAGGGAGATTATCAGTGGTCTTGTATGTCTTCCATTTCCTAATAATTGCTCCCACAGTTGATTTCTTCAAACCAAGCTGCTTACCTATTGCAGATTCAGTCTTCCCAGCCTGGTGCAGGTCTACAATTTTGTTTCTGGTGTCCTTTGACAGCTCTTTGGTCTTGGCCATAGTGGAGTTTGGAGTGTGACTGTTTGAGGTTGTGGACAGGTGTCTTTTATATTGATAACAAGTTCAAACAGGTGCCATTAATATAGGTAACGAGTGGAGGACAGAGGAGCCTCTTTAAAAAGAAGTTACAGGTCTGTGAGAGCCTGAAATCTTGCTTGTTTGTAGGTGACCAAATACTTATTTTCCACCATAATTTGCAAATAAATTCATTAAAAATCCTACAATGTGATTTTCTGGGAAAAAAAATCTCAATTTGTCTGTCATAGTTGACGTGTACCTATGATGAAAATTACAGGCCTCTCTCATCTTTTTAAGTGGGAGAACTTGCACAATTGGTGGCTGACTAAATACTTTTTTCCCCCACTGTATATACAGTGCCTTGCAAAAGTATTCATCCCCCTTGGCGTTTTTCTATTTTGTTGCATTACAACCTGTAATTTAAATGGATTTTTATTTGGATTTCATGTAATGGACATACACAAAATAGTCCAAATTGGTGAAGTGAAATGAAAAAAATAACGGAAAAGTGGTGCGTGCATATGTATTCACACCCTTTGCTATGAAGCCCCTAAATAAGATCTGGTGCAACCAATTACCTTCAGAAATCACATACTTAGTTAAATAAAGTCCACATGTGTGCAATCTAAGTGTCACATGATCTCAGTATATATAGACACACCTGTTTTGAAAGGCCCCAGAGTCTGCAACACCACTAAGCAAGGGGCACCACCAAGCAAGCGGCACCATGAAGACCAAGGAGCTCTCCAAACAGGTCAGGGACAAAGTTGCGGAGAAGTACAGATCAGGGTTGAGTTATAAAAAAATATCAGAAACTTTGAACATCCCACGGAGCACCATTAAATCCATTATTAAAAAAATGCTAAGAATATGGCACCACAACAAACCTGCCAAGAGAAGGCAGCCCACCAAAACTCATGGACCAGGCAAGGAGGGCATTAATCAGAGAGGCAACAAAGAGACAAAGATAACCCTGAAGGAGCTGCAAAGCTCCACAGCGGAGATTGGAGTATCTGTCCATAGGACCACTTTAAGCTGTACACTCCACAGAGCTGGGCTTTACGGAAGAGTGGCCAGAAAAAAGCCATTGCTTAAAGAAAAAAATAAGCAAACACATTTGGTGTTCGCCAAAAGGCATGTGAGAGACTCCCCAAACATATGGAAGAAGGTAGTCTGGTCAGATGAGACAAAAATTTAGCTTTTTGGCCATCAAGGAAAATGCTATGTCTGGCGCAAACCCAACCCCTCTCATCACCCAGAGAAAACCATCCCCACAGTGAAGCATGGTGGTGGCAGCATCATGCTGTGGGGATGTTTTTCCATCGGCAGGGACTGGGAAACTGGTCAGAATTGAAGGAATGATGGATGGTGCTAAATACAGGGAAATTCTTGAGGGAAACCTGTTTCAGTCTTCCAGAGATTTGAGACTGGGACGGAGGTTCACCTTCCAGCAGGACAATGACCCTAAGCACACTGCTAAAGCAACACTCGAGTGGTTTAAGGCGAAACATGTTTTTTTGTCTTATTTCTTGTTTGTTTCACAATAAAAAATATTTTGCATCTTCAAAGTAGTAGGTATGTTGTGTAAATCAAATGATAGAACCCACCAAAAAATCAATTTTAATTACAGGTTGTAAGGCAACAAAATTGAAAAAATGCCAAGGGGGGGTGAATACACTGTATACATCTACCTGCTAGAGCTTTGGAGATGTTGTCCTTCTTCCATTCCCAGGGCTGGTCGTACTCCTCAGCTGGTCTCTCATCGTCCTGGGGCAGCCTGCTCTCTCTGACCTCTCTCTGGAAGAGAATGAGAAGAAGAGGATGTAGGAGGATGATGAAACCAAAACAGAGAAAAAGAAGAAGATGAAGATTGTTACCGGTTCGTCCCTGAGGAACTCTCTCCCCTGCTGCTGCGGTGGCGCCCCCCGGGGGCGATGGCGAGTCCTCTCATCGTAGGGGTCATCATAGAGTTGACCTCCGATCCCAACCCCTGACCTTCCACTGTCCACTCCTGGTCGGCCCCGCTCTGGGCCCTGCTGGAGCGCTACACACACACTCAATAAATTAACTATAAGTCTATGCATCTCAGTATGTATGTCAGTCATTTTAGACAGCCAGGTGTGAGGTCCAAGGTGTGGGTGTCTAGGCAACAGCTATAAGCACCAACCTGTGACAACCCTCTGGGCTTCAAAGGGTTCCATGTAGCTGCTGCTGTCCCCTGGACGGAGACTGAGACCTAGGATAGGGTTAGGGCTGAAGGCTACCAGGGTAGGACTGGTGATGGGGCTGGGGCCCAAGGTAAGGTGTAGGCTGGGGCTAGGCTCCCAATCTGCTCTTAGCCGTGGAACTGGTCTGGCGTCAAACGGGTCCGAGTAGTCAGTGTCTGAGTCCCCTACTGCTGCAGGAGCAGAGGGAAGCACCTGGAGAGAGTGATGTAGGGTGGGTGGGATAGTGAGAAAATGAGGAGAATCATGTGGATACAAAGAACATGAAAGAGGGAGAAGATCAACAACAAAAACAACAACTGTCATGTCATACCGGTTCCTGGTGGATGGTGACGGGGCTGAGGGGGCTCTTACTGTGACTGAACTCCTGAGAGTCCACCTTGATCAGCCTGTGTTTGGGAGACACCACCTTCACCTGGAATACATTATAACAACCTTTAAACACCTGTAATAATATGGTCATAACACCTGCAAAACCATGTGTTTGATACTGTTCCATCCATCCCATTCCAGCCATTACACTGAGCCCGTCCTCCTATATCTCAGCCAACCAGCCTCCTCTGCTGTAGTAACACAGTCATAACACAACATGTTCATGCCCTATAAGACATAACATTGCCCACCTCTGCATCGTTGGGAAGCACAGAAGCAAAGGCGGGCAACGCATGCAGGCTTACTGTCCCACTACAGCCACCGTAGCAGCCATTTTGTGGTTTCTCTGCGCTCTGGTAGGGGTCTTCAAAGTCCAGGTCTTTCTGGGCTCTGTACGCCCTCAGGATCTCACTCTCTGTGTAGTCAGGACGCGGAGGCTGGGGGGCGTCACGCCGGCTGCCGAAGTTCAGGTAGTCCTTTAACCACTTTGCCATGGGTCTGAGGGAAGGAGAATAAAGCAGAATATTACATCATATCTAACTAACACTGTCAACACTTCCAATAATGTGTTTACTGTGACAATGGAATCAGTAAAAACAATACACACTGGCATTCAGTGGACGCTTATCAGGCTGGGTGTGTGAGGGAATATGGGAATAAAACACTGGGTCTGGCAGTCAGTCACTGGACAATGTGAGTGATCAGGGTAGGTCAGACAATTTATCTACGAGGTATATTAACATTCTAATGTAGGTAATGACATAACTTGCTTGGTATTGGCGGTGGACCTGAGAGGAGGAGTAAAGACTGGCATGATAGGGACAATAGTTTTTCCCGACCACAAGACCTGAGCAGGAAAAACTCTGGGACCTAGTTGTTTAAACGCCCATATATAGTACATATTGAGCAAAATAAAGTAATCTTTCAATCACACTAGCTAACTATGTTACCTTTGTGACAGGAGGATCTGGGCTAGCTAAAGTTAGGTAGCTGAACTGGAATGGATTCATCAAACTAACGTTTGAGAGAGTAGCAACTGTTTGTTAGCTGGCTAGATACTTTATTTCCAGATCCTTTTATTTACAAGAAGAAGGCTATATTTCGTTTGAATCTATTAAGCGACAGACAAGCTAGTCAGCGGTCTACCTACGAACGTTTGGCTATTGGCTGGCTAGCTATAATCAGCTGACGTTAGCTACCTAGCTAACAGCTAGTCATGTTTGCTGCAGATAAACATTGAAGACCTAACGTTAGCTATGCAGTTTATATTTGCATAATATAAAAACGATACACTGTCAATACTTACGTTTTGATGGAAATTGGGGCAGTTAGCCAATTACGTATTTAATTTTGTGTGTCCACCCCCCATGAATTCACTAAAATGTCATTGTAGCTAACTAGCTAACGTTAGCAATCTAGCTACAGTAGTTAACTTCCCTCAGCTCGAGCTGAAGAAAACAAGTTTGCCTACCACCAACGTAACGTAAACTAACTACGCTACGTCAGTCAAAAAAAATAAAAAAAATCATGCATTTTGGAGAATATTATTTCAGTTAGCTAGCTAGTTGGCTAACGTTACAATTTCCATCTAGCTAACTAATTTGACTATTTTAGCCAGAGATGGTTAGCTCACTGAGCTATAATAAGAAGGTTTAGCTAGCTACAAAAAAGTATTCTTCTTTGGTGGGGTTTTACGGCGGTTAGCATCCAATATTAATAGTGCATTACCGCCACCAACTGGACTGGAGTATAAATCCATTATACTTTCTAATATCAAAAAATATTGCCAACTAACCCTTCACTCATTAAAACCCCACCACCCCATTCCACTATTTTGACCCTATCTGATCCTACACCAGGCACATTGCATTCGTAGGCCTATCACTCTGTACTGGCAAAATTATACTACTCACCCGGAGCCTGTTAGGATCCCTTACCCTTGACACATCTTCCTCTACTTTCTTCACTGCCTCAGCATATGACATCTTCTGTACAACTCTGACTTTGGCAACTTCAACCTGCCTCTTGGGCACTGGACACTTCTGATCCCCAGTAACATGAGCACCCCTACAGTTAGCCCAATATTGGACTAAAGGAGCCTAACGTTACTCCTTAGTCCAAGCCAAGGACCTTACATGTTCTGTTTAAATGGCGAATTGGCTCTGGAAGTCAAAACAGACAAATACTCCATCTAAACGTGAATCGATTCTCAATTGCAGTACAGTTCTAGAAACATAACCCCCTCTACTTCCATATCACATCAAAATAATAATGCAAAATATACACTTACTGTAAACTGTTTTAACCAGTTAGATTAGATGAGTTTATTAGTCACATGCACAGGGTCGCAGATGTAATTGCAGGGTACAGTGAAATTCTTAAGCGCCGAGCTCCAACAGTGCAAGTCAAAAAGAGAAGTGAATGAAACAATAATACAAATAATAATAATAATAATAATATATGCATATTTACAACTGTAACAATACTGAACAAAAATATAAACGCAACATGCAACAATTTCAACAATTTTACTGAGTTACAGTTCATATAAGGAAATCAGTCAATTGAAATAAATTCACTAGGCCCTAATCTATGGATTTCACATGACTGGGCAATGGCGCAGCCATGGGTGGGCCTGGGAGGGCATATGCCCACCCACTTGGGAGCCAGGCCCACCCACTAGGGAGCCAGGCCCAGCCAATCAGAATTAGTTTTTCCCCACAAAAGGGCTTTATTACAGACAGAAATACTCCTTAGTTTCATCAGCTGTCCAGGTGGCTGGTCTCAGAAGATCCCGCAGGTGAAGAAGCCGATGGTGGAGGTCCTTGGCTGGCGTGGTTACACGTGGTCTGCGGTTGTGAGGCCGGTTGGACATACTGCCAAATTCTCTAAAACGACATTGGAGGCGGCTTGTGGGAGAGAAATTAACATTCAATTATTTGGCAACAACTCTGGTGGACATTCCTGCGGTCAGCATGCCAATTGCACGCTCCCTCAAAACTCGAGGAATCTGTGGCATGGTGTTGTGTGACAAAACTTCACATTTTAGAGTCAGCTTTTATTGTCTCCAGCACAAGGTGCACCTGTGTAATGATCATGCTGTTTAATCAGCTTCTTGATATGCCACACCTGTCAGGTGGATGGATTATCTTGGCAAAGGAGAAAAGCTCACAAACAGGGATGTAAACAAATTTGTGCACCAAATTTGAGAGAAATAAGCTTTTTATGTGTATGGAACATTTCTGGGATATTTTATTTCAACTCATGAAACATGGGACCAACACTTTACATGTTGCATTTATATTTTTGTTGTCAGCGGCGGTGGAGTTGCCATACCAGGCATCCCGACAGTATGCTGTCGATGGTGCTCCTGTAGAACACTGTGAGGGCCCTCGGGGACAGGCCAAATTTCTAAAGCCTCCTGAGGTTGATGAGTCGCTGTCGTGCCTTCTTCACCACTGTGTCCATGTGGTTTGACCATTTCAGCTCCTCAGAGATTAGTACGCAGAAGAACTTGACGTTTTTGACCGTCTCCACGGCGGCCCCGTTGATGAAGATGGGGGCGTGCCCAGCCTGATTCCTCCTGAAGTCCACAATCAGCTCCTTTGTTTTGCTGATGTTGAGGGAGAGGTTGTTTACCTGGCACCACGCCGTCAGAGTACCTACCTCCTCTCTGTAGGCCGTCTCGTCGTTGTTGGTAATGAGGCCTACTACTGTCGTGTCGTCAGCGAACTTGATGATTGAGTTGGAACTGTGTGAGGCCACGCAGTTGTGGGTATACAGGGAGTACAGGAGGGGACTCAGGACTTACCCTTGTGGGGTCCCCATGTTGAGGATCAGTGTGGAGGAGGTAATGTTGGGCAGTAGGCGAATTGGAGAGGGTTGAGTGTGTCAGGGAGGGAGGAGGTGATGTGGTCTTTGACTAGCCTCTCAAAGCACTTCATGATGACGGAAGTGAGTGCCACTTGTCGGTAATCATTCAGTTCAGTTACTTTCCCTTTCTTGGGAACAGGGATGATAGTGGACATCTTAAAGCAGGTGGGGATAACGGCCTGAGTTAGAGAGAGATAATGTCAGAAAACACAACAGCTAGCTGGTCTGCACATGCTCTGACTTACATACGTAGCCCTCGTTGTCCTCAGGTGCCGTCCTCGGCAGCTCAGAGTCGTTACGCTCGAAGCATGAGAAAAGGTATTTAGCTCGTCCGGTAGGGCGGCGTTGGTGTCCGCGATGCGATCGTTAGAAGCCCCTGCCACATACGCCTCGTGTCCGACCCACTGAATGGCTCCTCCACTTTGTCCCTTAATTTGTTTCTCGCCATCTTGATCGATCTGCGTAGGTCGTATTTGTACTGTTTAACCATACAATTGTCCCCGGTCATCTTGCCGTGTTTATAAGCAGCATCTTTAACACAGTTGCAGCTCAAATCAAATTAAATTGTATTTGTCACATACACGTGTTTGGCAGATGTTATTGCGGGTGTAGCGAAATGCCCTCCTGCACACTTCTCACATCTCCCTCCTACACACTGCTGCAACATGACCATAAGCTTGGTACCTGAAACACCGTAGTGGGTTCGGCACAAAAGCTCTTACAGGATAACTGATATAGCCTTACATGACTTTGTCAGGTAATGACTCAGAATTAAAACTCAAAAAGGACAGACAGTGACTTCTGTTTCACCATGCTCACAACCGGGTCTGCGTTGGACCAAACTGTAGGCGTCACAGACACCGGGAATCATCCATTTCAGTTGATCCACCTCCACCGTTACCGCTACCCCAGTAATCACTCCTTTCAACGGCGCCTTGTTTCTGAGAGCAAAGCAATTAACAGGTCTTGTCCCCAGCTCCTTCTGGGTGGAAGAAACACACACAAATAATCACAAGTCCACTTCAGGTTACCTTCACTGATTCAACAGTACCCAATTCCATTTTCACCCAACCAGAAACCACATATGGGTCAGCCAAAAGGCAGGGGTCCACTTTCTACAAAATTGTCACTCCTACTGGACCAGAATCATCTTTATCATGACAATCAGTGCGAGGCTCGGGCTCAGAGATCTTCACCACATCTACCTCCTCAGATAATTCATCCTCACTCTTGTCCACTTCACCTCCAAAGCTACTGGATTACAGCTCACTCAGTTTGTACTTTACGCCCCACCATCTCCTTCGGCACTCAATTCCTCTCCCTCCTCCTCGCTGTCCATCTCCACATTTCTCTTCGTATCACATCTAACTTCTTTGCCTTGCTACATCCACTGTGTCGCCAGGCTTCTTCACTTTCCCTTTGTTCTCGACCTCGTAGCCTCTTACATGCAAGCGTGACATGTGGTGGGCCGACTTGCCATCTGGCTGACCTTCCAGCTAGTAACATAATGAAGAATTCGTCTCCCATCCCCTTCCGACCTGTTTTGCTACAAGAAAGTGAAGGGTTTCCATTAGTTACCACAGCCACAAAGTCAAAATTGCCTGTATCGTAAAACATTATTTATTTTTTTGGTCTTCATTTAAGGTTAAAGTTAAGCATAGGGTTGGCAGTGTGGTTAAGGTTAGGTTTAAAATCACATTTTAGGAAGATACATTTTAGAAATAGGCGTGGTTTATGACTTTGTGGCTGTGGTAACTAGTGATGACCGAGTGATAGTGACGTGTGAGCAAAACTGAGAATGAATAGGCCAACATTTTACAAAAAATTTACTGACAAAAAAAACAAAAAAAACATTGGTTTATATTTATACTATTTAACGCAGGCTTGTAATATTTTAGGTAAATGTACAGTGGGGGAAAAAAAGTATTTAGTCAGCCACCAATTGTGCAAGTTCTCCCACTTAAAAAGATGAGAGAGGCCTGTAATTTTCATCATAGGTACACGTCAACTATGACAGACAAATTGAGAAAAAAAAATCCAGAAAATCACATTGTAGGATTTTTAATGAATTTATTTGCAAATTATGGTGGAAAATAAGTATTTGGTCACCTACAAACAAGCAAGATTTCTGGCTCTCACAGACCTGTAACTTCTTCTTTAAGAGGCTCCTCTGTCCTCCACTCGTTACCTGTATTAATGGCACCTGTTTGAACTTGTTATCAGTATAAAAGACACCTGTCCACAACCTCAAACAGTCACACTCCAAACTCCACTATGGCCAAGACCAAAGAGCTGTCAAAGGACACCAGAAACAAAATTGTAGACCTGCACCAGGCTGGGAAGACTGAATCTGCAATAGGTAAGCAGCTTGGTTTGAATAAATCAACTGTGGGAGCAATTATTAGGAAATGGAAGACATACAAGACCACTGATAATCTCCCTCGATCTGGGGCTCGCAAGATCTCACCCTGTGGGGTCAAAATGATCACAAGAACGGTGAGCAAAAATCCCAGAACCACACGGGGGGACCTAGTGAATGACCTGCAGAGAGCTGGGACCAAAGTAACAAAGCCTACCATCAGTAACACACTACGCCGCCAGGGACTCAAATCCTGCAGTGCCAGACGTGTCCCCCTGCTTAAGCCAGTACATGTCCAGGCCCGTCTGAAGATTGCTAGAGTGCATTTGGATGATCCAGAAGAGGATTGGGAGAATGTCATATGGTCAGATGAAACCAAAATAGAACTTTTTGGTAAAAACTAAACTCGTCGTATTTGGAGGACAAAGAATGCTGAGTTGCATCCAAAGAACACCATACCTACTGTGAAGCATGGGGGTGGAAACATCATGCTTTGGGGCTGTTTTTCTGCAAAGGGACCAGGACGACTGATCCGTGTAAAGGAAAGAATGAATGGGGCCATGTATCGTGAGATTTTGAGTGAAAACCTCCTTCCATCAGCAAGGCCATTGAAGATGAAACGTGGCTGGGTCTTTCAGCATGACAATGATCCCAAACACACCGCCCGGGCAACGAAGGAGTGGCTTCGTAAGAAGCATTTCAAGGTCCTGGAGTGGCCTAGCCAGTCTCCAGATCTCAACCCCATAGAAAATCTTTGGAGGGAGTTGAAAGTCCGTGTTGCCCAGCGACAGCCCCAAAACATCACTGCTCTAGAGGAGATCTGCATGGAGGAATGGGCCAAAATACCAGCAACAGTGTGTGAAAACTTTGTGAAGACTTAAATATAAATTCATAAAAAATCCTACAATGTGATTTTCTGGATTTTTTTTCCTCATTTTGTCTGTCATAGTTGACGTGTACCTATGATGAAAATTACAGGCCTCTCTCATCTTTTTAAGTGGGAGAACTTGCACAATTGGTGGCTGACTAAATACTTTTTTCCCCCACTGTATATATTTTCTATTCACTTAAAAATATATATATTTTTGGAATAAACAAAAACTCCAACCACAGTGCACGTGCCAGCCTGCCAGGAGAGCTCAGCAGCTCAAATAAAGAGCGTGTCAAGCCCCTTTAGGAACATACCCTACCATACCGGCAGATGGCACTATTGGTCTGGTATTGATGGTTTCATCTTACATTCCAAACGCATTGAATGCAGCCAGCAATAAATTCAAACCGCCCCAACCTCATCCATTTCAACAAGGCCAAGACACTACGCAAGTGTGTCACACTGAATGTGCAGGCACAGGGGCCAAATCTAATTTTCCATACCAGATGAGGAGGTGGAGGAGAATGAGGACATCTGAATTTTCTAGTTCCCCAGGACAACTGGGGAGTATGACTGGACTGTGTGTGAGAGAGAGCAGTTCTTTTTGTTGCCATTGTTACAATCACTTGATTGTTGAGTCAAGTCCACACCAGTGCCTGTATAGTAGCCAATTTAGTGTGATAACTTTTCATAAAATGCTCCTTGATTGAACTTCAAGTTATCTGCTTGTCACATTGATTTCATGTTCTAAACTCACAAAAGCAGCCTACTACAGCAGAGAATATGAGGTCTTTGGGTAAAGTTATCAAGTAAACTCTATTCCTTGTATTTCTATCTGCAACATAGGCCTACATTTACAACCTTCACACCCAGTGTCTCTCCAAGACCAGTTCAGAGACCCCTGCCCTATAACACACAACTTTAAAACACTTAACTAGGACCTAAATTACATTTTTATGACTCCAGAACTGAGACATTTTATTCAAAATCAGTTTTTCCAGATTGGGTAGGGCACAAGAGAAAATACTTTAGAATGTGCCACAGTGCCAGAAAACATTTAGAGAAACACTGATTTAGAGTAAAATAATTATTTAATGAAAAGCCAAAACATGACTAACACCTTTACAGGGTTGGAGGGTAGTGGGTAGATAGAAATGTCCAAATATATTTTCTAAAATCACAGGTGAAAACAAATTACATTGCAGGATGATAAAATTCAGCCCGCTAACTCTCCTATACACTCTGAAACAACTACAGTAGTTTTAAATCATCACAGGCATCAAATTACTAACCCCTTTCTTACACCTAATAACCAGCCTTGAGTTGTGATCTTAAAAATCCCAAACTGTTCTGGGTTGTGTGGAACAAGTGAATTGCCCAACATCATATCAACACATTTCCATATCACATACAACTCTGTTCCATGTCAGCGAAGTTCAGACTATGACTGAGCATTTGGATTAGCCAAAGCATCGCCAGCCTCTCGCTCATTCACTGTCATCACTGTCGGAATATGCCCCTAGGAGGCTGAGTGACGACGACCCATTCTGTGCTGTGATTGGCTTAGCAGCCTCTGTCAGCACTGTAGCAGCTGCCTTTGAAACTGCAAAGCAGGAAGTACCGAGGTTAGAATGACAAACAGCAGTAGAAGTATCTTCAGCCATACAACATCATGTAGAACAGAGTGACTTCCTGCAGTGCTAACAGACAACAGAATCCTAATCTGGCAAGACTGCTACAATTGTCTCCTCAGGTTGCACCCTCCATTGAGGCATTGGTAAGAGCCAACAGTGACAGTGTTGAGTGTCTTGAATCCTGTTGTTGTTGACTGCTGTAAAGGCGTCCGCATGCGTCCCAGCCGGAAGAGTTTGCTCATATATTCTGATGACATTTTGTGACGTTTTTGTTCGTTTTGGTGAGTTTTTTTTTTTGCTTGCCTCCAGAAAAAAAAGTGTGTGCCCAAACAGCCGAAGTTCGGAGCCGAAGTCTACGCCCCTTCATCAGTGATTGGTCAACAGTAGGGATTCTTCAATAAAGTCTTTGTTGTCATTCAACGAGAGACAACTATTTTTTATGCAAATGTTTTCATTGAGAAATACTTACCAAACATCTTAGTTAGATGTAAAATTGCGCGACAGAGCTCCACGTCAAAATGAATGACAGATTTCTTGAGTTATCTTAGATTAATTTGACTATTTTGAGGAACTGGCTACAATGTCTCAAAATGGATAAAGTACTATTGCCACTTTTTTCTCATTTTTCAAGCGAAGGTCTTTTAAGGGAGTATACAAGCACACTCGTTCGGTTAGCCGAGTTTGGCTAGGTGCCAGCCGAACTGAAGCATGCTGACGCCTTAAGCAGGAAAATCGCCTGGTGTATACGATGTCATTTCGATATTGCAGATTCTGCCATAAAGCTTCTGTCAAAGTCTCCATAGCTCACCTGTCTGTGTGTTAGAGCCTGCAGGAGTTACTGTGGTACCAGATTTAGGGACAGAGGTCGCTGGTTTCTTCCTTACAACCAGTGTTCCCAGTGCCCCTCCACCTCCCAGCCCCCCCACACTTCTCTCCCAGCTCTCCACCTTGGCCTTCTTCACCCCCCCTACTGACAGGCCCTGCAGAAACAACACACAGGACATAAGTAGGCATGTTGGTTAACATGTATTGTGAATCCTGCGTATGTGTTCGGTGTGTGTGCTACCTGTGTGTCAGTGAGTCTGTCCGTGGTGAGGATGTCAGTAGGTCTGTCTGTGCTGGGCTTCTTTGGTCTGCTGCTCTCGCTCTCCTGGTCTGAGTCAGAGTCAGAGTCTCTTAACCTCTTCACTTGAGCTCTCTCTAGCATCTCCCTGTAACACATACACACACAACCATTTTGTTATTTTACTTGAACTCTTTGTTCTTCTCCTCCTCCTCCCTCGCTCTCTCTGTACTCACCGTGTCTCCCTCTCGTCCTCGTCCTTCTCCCTCTCTTTATTCCTCTGCTCCAGCTCTTTGTATGTTCCCAGCATTCCTTCGAAGTCCACCGAAGCCTGTCTCTGGTTCAACTCCTTGAGCTCCTGAAGATTCTCCAGAACCTCCATCTCCATCTTAGAGTCCCGTGTTCGGTTCTCCAACACCTAGAACGGAACACGATCAGTACGGTTCTCTAGAACCTGGCCGAGAACATATCATCAGTCAGTCAGGTTCTCCAGCACTGTTTCTAGAGGTGTACCTTCATAGGGTTGTTCAACTCTTCCTCCTCTCTGTCCTTCGTGATCTTCTTCTCTTCCTCCTCCAGAAGTTTCTCCGCCTGGAAGTTCCTTGTGGCACCGTGTTCCATGGCATAGTCCGTGTTCTCCGGATCAGTCTATAGACACAACACACACTGGGTGAGTACACACACACTGTTCTAAGACGTAGTCCGTGTTCTATGGATCAGTCTACAGACAACACACACTGGGTGAGTACACACAAACACAGATTTACCTTAAAGGTGATCTCGGCCAGGCATCGTGTACACTTGATGTAGAAGCGGAAGATGGGCAGTCCCATGTAGAGCTCATTCATCACAGTCTCCTTACGGGCGTTGAACTTCTTCCCCTTGTAAATGTACTCCCCACACGTCTTACACCTGCAAGTCACACACGCAGGGACAGGGTCAGAACACACACACACATTCATGCACTCACACCTCATGGTACCCCACTGGCCTAGGGGCTGTTTCTGGGCAGGGTTGTAGAGTGTTGACATACCTCATGTTGAAGGGAGCCATCAGCCGGACCACATACTGCCTGTCTTTAGGGAGCTTGAGTTTGGGGATTTTAGCTGGGTCGAAGTCTGGCGGGTAGTATTTCTACAGGAGAGCAAATACAGTCAGCAGTGTATTTTAACTAGAAATGTCTGATTCACATTGCCTTTATCAGTCATTAGCTACAACAACGAGAGGAAAACATACAATAATTAGATAACACAATTCACATAAAGAGATTAACATTCTACATTCTACAGCGAGAGCCTATTCTATATAAGTATATCCTCAAAAGGAAAGATAGGTAGGAAACATAGCTAGTTAGCTAGCTACAATGAGTACGACTACTAGCTATATAGCTAACTAAGCGTATTGAGCTAGCTACTACTACTGTGTAACTAGGTGTCATGTTAAGCGTTGAAAAGTTTTGCTTCAATGGTCAAGCCTGGCTAGCAACCTACTGCCCGTTTTCAGCAAATCGAGAATAAATCCAGACATAGTGAACAATAATTGTACTTACGTTTAAAACTTTTCTTTCTGACATTCTTAATTGGAAATAAACGTTAACTTTAGCGACGAAATGGAAGGATAAACTGTGATAATGTTAGCTAAATAGCTCCCTAGCTTGCCGTTAATGCGATGTTTGAGGAGAGCAGAGAATCACTTCCGCTTCCGGTCTAGGTCCAGCCTTCACAATAAAAGTCCCTCATGTAGAAAAGCACGCATTTAATATTACTAAATCTATAACTATTGTTTTATGATTTATATTTTCATTCAAAACAATGATTGTGTCCGAATGTGGGGCTGAGTCCCTACCACAGTATCTAAGTAATAGAGTGTCAACATGGATCTGCATCACAGCAATATTCTAAATTATGGATTAAATTTGCCATCGTAAGAGAGGATTTCAGAATGTCATCCATTAAGAAAACCTTTAAAAAATATTTTAGTGAACTGAGGGAACGGGAATAGAACCAGAGTTGCTGGTGTGAAAGGCAATCACGCTACTGCATCTTTCCAACAGGGTTAACCTACTTTATGAGAATTACAAGGTGGCTCATTAGCGAGGATTGCTACAATATACATGTTGTTTATAGCAGTGAATAAAAACAGACCTGAAGATCTTTTAAATGGCTCATTGTGATAAGGCCTTTATTTCACACAGGATACCTTTAGGATGTCTCCCCAGTATGAGATCTCATATTATAGCATGAAAGCTAATGAGCAACTGAAACATTTTTTTACAGCAATACAATTAAATTCCTGTAGTTAACATCATATGCTTGGTCAAGAGCCCACTGTGATTCAAGCGTTATCCACAGACTATGAAGCCATATAATTTCTCCCCTGTGTGAGATAAGGTATGGTCAGTCAAGTGTCAAGTGATTCTTACAGTTAAAACATTATCTCTACTTGCTGTGACAACTTTTAATATGTCTTCCCAGAGCTGCTGTCTGTCTGAAGCTTTTGCCACAGGCATTACATCAAAATGATTTCTCCCCTTTGTGAATCATGGTATGCATTATCAAGCCTGTCCGATAAGGAAAACATTTGTCACAGTCTTTGCACTGATATGATTTCTCCCCTGTGTGAGATCTCATGTGGATGGTCAAATTTCCCATTTTGTTGAAGCACTTGCCACATTCTTTACAACTGTGAGCTTTCTTCCCTGTGTGATATATTGTATGGAGGGTCAAGAGTTTTCCTTACCTTTGAAACATTGGCCAGTCTTTACAGTGATAAGGATGTTCTCCTGAGTGTAGCTTTGTATGTCTGATTAAGTAAACCTTTGTGCTGAAACATTTGTCACAGTCTTTACACCGATGAATTTTCGCTGCATGTAGTTTTTTATGTCTAGTAAATTTTGCCTTCTTGTTGAAGCATTTGCCACAGTCTTTGCACTGATAAGAATTTTCCTCTCTAGGCCCCGTGTGTACATTTTATATGTATGGTCAAGTTTCCTTTGTTGCCAAACCATTTGGCACAATCTTTGCACCAATTAGATTTCTCCCCTATGTGAGCTCTTGCATGGCCGGTTATGTTTCCTTTGTTATTGTAACATTTGCCACAGTCTTTGCAGTGAAATAGTTTTTCCCACATGTGTATCCTCGTATGATTAGTCAAGCCTATATTATTGTAGAAGCCTCTACCACAGTCTTTACACCAACATGGTTTCTCCTTTGCAGAACAGTCTGGATTTACTGACAGAGCCTGAGTGTCATTGGTTGGTTCTGGTACTCTGTAGCCCTCTCCATCAGGTTCTGTTTTGATCTCTTCAGTTGTGTTGGTGGGTAGAGTACCCCTCTCTCTGTCCACAGTTTGGGTTTGGTCAAGCTGTGAGGGCTGAGGTGGGTCCTCCTGATCCAAGTCACTATTTACACAGGGAGGATCGAATATAGAGTCTTTGGTATCAACCTCCAGCTCTTGGAGCAGCTTTTCCTCCTGCCTGGTCCTGAGATCCTCCTGATCCTCTTTAATCTGTGTGGGCTCTGGGTCGTCCTGCCCATGATGGGGACTCCACTCCTGCTCACAGTGCTGCTGCTCAGGTGGAACCTCCTCTTCAGAGACAGATGGAGAGAGATGCGGAGGGTCTGGAGAGAGGTACATTCTTATCATTCTGGACTTCATCATTAATAACAGCTCCTCAAATAACAAGGGAATGTTAGCAATCCAACGAGGTGTTCTTTACATTTGTGATTAATGAAAGCATGTACATAGCCTAAATGAGTCTGCACCTGGTCTCTTATATGGGCTGTTCAATAGACTCCATTCATATCGCCTGAATGGCAATAACCATGAACTCAACTCAACATACCTGCTCGGTGTAACCTTCTCTCTGGTTGCGTCACCATGTCCAACAGCCTTTGAAGGCGATCGTTCTCGTCTTAAGAACGGGAGATTTCTTCCTGGTAGCTGGTACTCTGCTACCGTTTTTTCCACGGCCCCGAATATCTCCACAGCAGCTGCTGTTAGTCGTTCAGTGACGAGCACATTCAACAACTGGAGTTTGGACATTTTGAAGAAAATGAAAGTTGACAACAGTTAGTATTCTTCCAAACAGTATGGAACAGATGAGCCTGCCTGACTGAAGCGTTTTCTGTGTTCTTTGCGTGGTTATTATTTCCGTGTTCTGTTCACGGCGTAAAAGAGTATCATTACTGCCATCTACTGTCCTGGAGCAGTAACTACTGATTACTTCATGGTACTGGAATATTACAGTGTGTGTGCGTGTGCGTGTGTGTTGCATAGGGTTGCAAAAGGATGGTATATTACCGGTAACTTTCTAAGTTTACCAGTAAACTACCGGAATTTTGGAAACTTTCGAGGATTTCATGGAATTTTCAAACATGAAAAATATATAAAATGATAAAATATGATGATTTTAATATACAAACTAGAATTACAAAGCTGTAAAACATGATTTACATATATAAAATAGAATGACAAAGCTGTAAAACATAACCCTAGATATTACCCATCAACTTAGTGAATACCATTGGTGTTTAATATCAAATCAAATCAAATTGTATTGGTCACATACACATATTTAGCAGATGTTATTGCAGGTGTAGCGAAATGCTTGTAAAGAGTTTGAGAGTTTTAGCATGAAATATTGTTTATATTTTCAGAATATTTTATTTATTTTACTATGTCAATATGTCTTTGTGGTAAATGTTTTGGCCAAACTGGTGGCAATTGCAGAGTTAATTGCAAACTATGTCATTGTTGATTAAAATGCTTTTTTCATTAATTACGTAATTTTGTCTTGAACCATATGCACCTAATTCTAATAATTAGCTGGTTGATAAGCTGAATCAGGTTAGTTACAAGAGGGGTTGGAGTGAAAACCTACATGAGGGTAGCTCTCCAGTAACAGGGTTGGAGAGCCCTGGTCTTTCCATTAGAAATTCATTGGTAAAAATAAAATAAATATATAATTAATAGTTTCTATGAATACATTTGTAAAAGTTATTCAAGTATGAATTACCAATGTTAACATAGTTTGCCATAGCTTACCTGTTAATTACCAAAATTACTGAACATTCTGTTAACTTTTGTAAATTACCTGTAGTTTTACAACCCTAGTGTTGCACAATGTCAAATCAACCTAGGGGTAGGCACTGTTAGCTAGGGGGTAGGGACTTTATTTGGAATCCAGCCGATGAGAGGAGACTTTGGATTGTGGGCAGCTTTGCAGAACTGTCAATATTAGAACATTAGTTAGTCAGCCAGTCAGTCAGTCATTGTAGCCTGTCTGTTTTTAACATAAGAGGAATGTACGTCCAGGACTATGTGTGTCCCCGGCGTTGTATGTGTGTTCTGTTCTGGCTGTGTGCGTGTGCTGTGGTGACTCTTCTTACCGGTGTACTCTGCAGCGATGGGACGGTTCCGACAGCTCCGTCAGGTGAGAACAGAGCAGAAAGGGGTGAGACTGCATCCTCAGAGATGAGGACCTGTCTGGAATCCTTACACATAGCTCTCTTCTCTCCTTTCCTTTCCTTCCCTCTCCATATTCCCTGTTTCTTTCCTTTCTCTGTCTCTGTCTCGCCCCCTCCCCTCTCCTCCTTCTCTCCACCCCTATTTCCTACTTTCCCTCTTCTCTCTCCCCTTCCACTGCTTTCTCCCTCTCCCCTGTTTGTGTTTGAGGGGTGAGTTCTGAGTGGGTGTATCCTATGCCCCTGGCAGACCCCCCCTCCCCTCCAGAGGTACGTTGCTGGTCTCCCAGTTACCCCTTCAAAGCCCTCTGCTCCTGGTCTGAGCCGCCACAGACCCCGCTTCCCATACAGTACATCACCACCTACAGGTAAATTGTTTGTGTGTGTGTGTGTGTGTGTGTGTGAGAAAGAGTTTGAGAGAGAGAGGCTTGTAGATGCTAAAAACATCCCCCTTTCTCAGTTTATCACTCCCTATGTCCTAGTATGAAAGGCGGAGAGATCCAGCAGTGCCGTCCCTACCCCACCTCCATGCCGCCTCTCCCCAGCCCAGAGTCCTCTCTCCCTGGGGTGAATGGCTCCTCTCCAGGGGCGAGGAGGCTCTGTGTCCTAGAGGGTCTAAAGCTCTACACGTCTTACAAGCTCAACATCACAGCAGTCAACCCTAATGGCAGCGCCTCCCACCTACAGACCTTCACAATAGAGGATATTGGTAAGAACCTGTCTCTTTGTCTCTGTCTGTGTGTCTCCCACCTATTGGAATATTAGTAGGAGGATCATTGTGAACCAGTGTGTGTGTGTGCGTGTGTAGTGAAGCCGGACCCCCCTGTGAATGTGACTGTGCGAGTCGTTCCCGGGAAGTGGAAGCTGTTAGTGAAGTGGGCCCCTCCCCCTTCCTGGTCTGACCACACCCTCTTCCCCCTCAAGTACCAAGTCAGATACCACTGGGACAACAAGGGTACCCCACATGAGATCACCGTGAGTACAGACTCTTATAGTGTGTGTGTGTGTGTGTGTGTGTGACACTGTCTTTCTCTCCTTTTCTCACTCTCTCTCTCCTCCCCCCTCTCACTCAATTTTTTCTGTCTCCCTTTCTCTCTCTCCCACTCTCTGTAGTTGGATCCATTTGAGGACACCAAGAAGGTTCTACCAGGGCTGTTTCCTGGGAGGTCTTATGTAGTTCAGGTGTGTTCCATAGAACTGATGGGGCTGGGACAGAGCAGTGACTGGAGTCTACCTATTACTATCACTATGCCTGCACACTGAACACACACACACACACACACTGAGATAACACACACACATGCTCATGTGTACACACACACACACACACAGGTCACATGCATAGATCAAACGCATTTGTAAACCACAACTTGGCTTAACAATGATAATAAAAACACTTTATTTGTAAGGCACTTTCCCAACATTGTGCTAAAAGTGCTCATTAAAACAACACAATGGTACCTAACTCAGAACTGGCTCTGGCCATTTCCACAAACTCTGTGTGTGAAACTCCAATAAAAAGAGAATAAAAATAAATAAACATCAGTCGGAAACAACCACCACCAGAGGAGTGACGAACTCCGAGTGTCTGATGCCCAGGGAGAAGGCAGGAGGTCTGGGGAGATGGAGCAGGACCTTCTCCGGGCTGTGGGTCCCTGGCCCAGGTTTCTGAGACTGATCACTCGGCCGGGTGGTCCGGCTCTGGATCAAAATCAAAATCACATCCAACATAATTTCAAGGGCATTGAAAACATCACAATACTCTAGTCTAGAGGAAAATATATGCAAGAAAATACTATACAAAATATTCAATTGTAAATAAATAGCTAAAGGCTAATTAAATACCATACATAAATTAATAAAAGATAAAGCTATAAACCTGCATAGAGAAGGAGGGCTGTCGTGTGAGGTAGACACTGGGATCAGTTCTGTTGTAGCGTCCTGGTCCAGGGGTCATGGACAGGTCTTCTGATGGAGCACCAACCTGTCTGCGCCCCACCAAGCTGTAGCTGGCACTGGACGGCTTGTGGGGCACCTGAGAACCCAGCAGGTTAGGGAGGGTGTACCTGGGAGGATGATTAGAATGATATGAATGATATAGGGTCCCTCTTTACCCTCTCTCTCTCTTCTCTTTCATTTGTACCTGTTAGGGGCGGGCACAGAATCCATTATACGGTAGCGTGTCCGAGAGCCAATAGTGTAGGAGGGAGGTCTGAGATGAGCGTTTAGGGGCGGAGCTTTCTCTGGGCTGTAGGCACCTGGACCTGGAGTCTGGAAGAGTTCAGCTAGAAGTGAGAGTGATGGAGAGAGAGAGAGAGAGAGAGAGAGAGAGAGAGAGAGAGAGAGAGAGAGAGAGAGAGAGAGAGAGAGAGAGAGAATGTAAAGAATGTCCAGCAATAAATGCCCATTGGCATAATAGAGTTTGATGGAACAATTTATCTGATTCAGGGAGTAGCTAGTCTCACCGGCGCGTCTTGCCCTGCCTAGCATGGAGTAAGAAGGGGTACCGACGCGGCCGAACCGGGTCATCTTGGCATCGATGTGGTACTGGGGTCCTGGACTGGAATCCACAGAGAACACTGTGGAGAAGAACGCACAATAATTCATATTAATAAAAGTCAAAGGTGAATTTAAAGGTCAAACTTGAGGAACACTTCAGCAGTATTTTCCATAGACTTCTGCTTCCTGCCCTACTAGCCTGGAGTGTGAATCCTCATGGCAGTGGTGTGAATAAGGTCTATTCACCATACAAGAGAAATAGGCAAGGAGACTGAGATTGACCTCAGAGACTTACTGTTGCTGCTCATACGTCTGTGGAAGGAGTAGGCGGGGCTACTGGGCTTGGTGAGGTCATGATTGATGTAGCCAATGGTTGTAGGGAGAGCATAGCGACCGGGGCCTGGCCCTAGCAATGAGTAACGATGGTGATGATAATGATCATGTTTATTTTCCAGTCATGTAAAACAAAAATACAATTGTGAGTTTACCCTCCATACTCATCCTACTCCAGTTTACATTTCACTTTTCCATTGACGTTAAAACAGAAGTATGACAGTGTTGAGCACTGTCCCTGTGAACTAAATTAAAGTTTTAATTTAAACATGTTACATAATAGATGTCTTCTACGAACCTTTCTCTCTGCCAGCGATTATCGGACGTCTCTTAACCTCCTCCATGATTTGTCGATCTCTCTCTCTATTTTCCTACCCCCGCCTCTCTTCCTCCTTTACGCTTTGTTCTTCTGTCACTCCCAACTAGGGTTGTCAACCCTCAGAGAATGCTGAGGACTTTCTCCCAGAGCAGTCAGTTGTGTCTGAGAGGGCAGCCCTGTGATTCACTGGCAGCCTCTTGAGCTAGAAATGCAATCACCAATCACCACAACAGTAACAAGCAGGAGAAGAGATTCTGTCTGGTTTGATCCTGTTAGTCCAAACATGTCCTCTGTATGGGTCCTTCCTGCTTCACTTCCTATAATTTATTTCTTTAGACCACTTCACTTGAAAGGTATCCCAGAATAAGTTGACAACTCTACTCTGTGCACACAGATCTCTCTCTCTCTCTCCCTCTCTCTCTCCTCTCCTTCTCTTCCCTTTACTCTTTGCTGTTCTGTCACTGATTCACTTCCGGCACATCCAGCCTCTTCAGGAAAAGCACAGCCTCGAAGGCTGAATTATAGATGGTCTTTACAAGCTGAGGAAACGTTATCTCCATTCTGCAGCCCTGGGTACATCTAAATCACCATCTCACTTCTCGTCTTAGTGTCATAGAGGTGGCTCCATGTTCATGTGGTGAGTACGCTTCCCTGACACCTGAAGACTTGCGGTAGCTAGTCGAGGCTTTAGCTAATGCCCAGGCTTTAGCTCAGCTGGTTAACGATGTTGTGGCATGCAGATGACCAAGGTTTCAACCCAGTTAGTCACACATAGACAATTAGCTACACTTTGCCCACCTGCAGCAATCGTTTAATGCCCCCTCTGTCTCTCTGGTACACACTGTAAAGCAGGAGGTATTTCAAATCTGACCCTTCAAATGGAGACTCAGCAATATGACATCATCGCACATATTGGGGCATCTTCCCGCTTAACATACATACATAAACAACAACATAATTCAGATTGATCAAGACTGCCACTTTTGTCTCTTCCTAATTTGCATTGCTGCTGTTTCTGTACGCAGAAATCTGACCCGCAGTGCATAATGATGTCATATTGCTGAGTATAGCTTTAAGTTACTGTATAGGATATCTTTACATAAAGGGTGTTGGGAGGCAGAGAGAGGTAACTAAAGACTGTGAGCAGAGCTCTGACCAACAAACACAGGTTAATTATTAACAGGCACTGACTCAGTACAACCGCAGGCCGCAGTAACGGGACCCTGCAGCCATGTCATCAACATCAGACAGACAACGCAAGCGTTGACCCTAAACATGCTGGAAAACAGTCGGGTTGCTATCAATTACGTATCGCCACTAGCTTGCCACTGTTGTGAACATGAAAATTAGACTCATATACAATTTTCTGTCACAAAGTAATTTTAGATTAAAATAGGGCACAGGAGTAATTTGTGATGTAAGCCCAGTCATGTAAAAACTGGATTAATGGAGTCATGTATAGATTACATATAGAGAACATAATTCCTGTTCCCCCAGTGTAACGTCAGTAACATAAACATGACAGGCTATAAGTTAATAGCTGAACACAGCTGTGTGTCTGCGGGTGTGTGCGAGGGCATGCGGGTGAATAGAATGACTTCCAAACTCTTTAAAACAAAACTATAATTCATAATTAAATCAATAAAATTATCACTAACTAAACATAACTTAAGTAACAAAACAAAATATAACAGTTTAAATATGATAGTACAATTCTGTACAAAAATAAAGGTGGGGAACTGCCTCCACAGGTAAACATTAGCATTAGGGTCAGGAGGTTTTCCTGGGCAGGGCCATATGATCAGGAAAACCTCCTGACCCTACTTATTATTAAGACAGATCTCCACACTGCTACAGACAACAATGTCAGTCTATAGTCCTGTAACAGTGCCCCCCTGCAGAACAGGGTTCCCAAATAGTGGGTCACAGACAGTTCCGACTGGGTCATCATGGTTTAAGACCGGGACGTGAGTAGAAACATTACTATGGTCCTCTATCTCCACTGTTCCTCCCAGTATGTTAGCTTCCACTAGAGGGTGCTGTGGATCTCTAGCTTTTCAGAGCTGCCAGTGTTTCCACAGTAAGAAGAAGATTACTATTCCTCAATGTCTTATTCCTCCATGTCTTGTTAAATAATTACAGCATAGTCTAGGGCAGCTGTTGTAGAGACACTGTCCCCAAGTTTGTATTGTTGCCCCCTTCCTCCATCGCTGAATGGTGTATGCAAAACCACAGCACTCAGGGGACACCATTTTTCACACACACACACACACACACACACGTTTGTTGTCTTGACTTTGCTGGTTGTTTAAAGGCAGAGGTGATGCGTACTATGACTTATCCCCTTGTAGGACCTGAGAGAGAGAAAAACTTATGAGGATTTCTCTGTGCAAGAAAAGCTGAACGATTCAAACATGAGAATACAAATGATTGAATAAGATCTGTGTGTGGGTGAGTTCTACTTAGATCCTTACCTACCTGGTTGCGTGTTTTGTGGGACTTCTGCATCCAGACTCTCCATTGGTCGTAGAGTTTGATTGACATGCCGCTGCAGCCATACGCATGATTCCGTACCCAGCCGAAGAACTGCTTCAGCTCTCGACGTAACGTAGAATTGGAGTCTCCAGACTTGGAGTCACACGAACCTGATAATACACGCTCTATAAGAGGGGAGAGAGGGGGTTAGAGTGTGTGTGTGTGTGTGTGTGTGTGTGTGTGAGAGTGTGTGTGAGAGTGTGTCCTCACCACTATGAGGTGTAGAAGCAGCAGTAGGATGACTCCATTCACTCCAGATACCAGCCCTACGAGACCCATAGATCCCTACTGGGTTACAGCGCACCTGCATAGAACACACTGGGATTACTACACACACACACACACACACACATATACAAACACAAACACACACACCGTACCTGGACAAAATACACAGTGCCCGGTCTCAGGCCTGCCAGACGACATGATGTCTGGTTCCCAATGTCATCCATGACCTTCCAGCCTGAGCTGTCCTCCAGTCGGTAGCGTATCTGGTACTTGGCCTGGAACAGGAAGTCTTTGAGAGCTGGGGGAGACTCCCATCGAACACTCAGGTGGTCCTCCAGGTCACCCACACGACTCACACTCACACCTGATGGAGGGTCCGTCGTTACTGCGGACGGGGAGGGGAAAGAGGTAGGGTAACTCAGAAAACTACTTTAAAGCAGCAAGATCTGTCTAAAATAATGCTTATTTCTTTCTCCTCTGAGTTAATTGGCTCTGACCCTAACAGTAACTCATACAGTACAGGTACTGTTAGTGTGTGTTATTAGTTTCAGTGTGGAGGTTGGGAAATGAGGGAGCAGCGAGTAGGAACTCGAGTGGTGTCAAGCGTCAATCGCCCACCTTCCTTGCCCTTCCCCATCCGCAGGGTGTGTGCGTGTGTGTGTGTGTGTGTGTGTGTGTGTGTGTGTGTGTGTGTGTGTGTGTGTGTGCCCACCCAGCGTGAGTAAAAGGGAAATGAGCTCACCAAAAGGCAGGGTGTGTCTGGTCTTCTTCCATTCGTCACACTGCCTGCCCTCCCCCATTTGTGCGTTTGTGTATGTGCGTGTGTTCCCCCTCACCCCCAAAATCCTGGGTTGGGATTTAAGTAGTAGGATAAAGTTGGTCCTAGACGCTTATCTAAGGTCAGTTTTATGATTCTCCACTAATGGTTACTGTTAGGACTTGGGCTAGGTAAGCTGATCCTGGATCTGTGCCCAACAGCAACTTCTAACTGGGGCAAGATGTAAAGCTCTAAAGCCAGAGGGTCAAAGTTCAGGGACTTACTCTCTGTCTGTCTCTCTCTCTCTCTATCTCTCTCATACACACACACTTGCACGTATGCACACACTCACCCACGTCTAGGACATCCAGGGTGATGACATCAGAGGTGGCTGAGCCGAGCTGATTGGTGGCTTCCACCCAGATCTCGTAGGGCGTGAAGAGGGCGAGGTCACGAGGTATGTAGCATGAGTATGGGTGGGCGGCACTGTACTCCTCACATTCTTTCTCTCTGCCATACCACCTACACACACACACACACACACGTGTATTAGACTCAGACTGTATTAGAATGTGTGTGCATGCGTGTGTGTATTAAGTGTGTGTAAGGAGTGTGTACCTGAGTTTGTATTTGAGTGTGTATTTGGTCTTGATGAAGGTCTCTCCCTGTCCACCCGGTGCCCAACGACAGGTCAGGTCTTTGGTGTTTCTGGACCAGCAGGTCAAGTTGACTGGCTTCCCTGGAGGCACTGAGGGAGAAGGTGGGTGGCGGGAGAGAGGATATATTTTAGTCCAGAATGTTCTTCTGTCTGTCTGGGGTTAAAATTCTGGGACTTATATTCCATACCATTCTGAACACAAGGTGTTGAACAGGGATGTCACGCTGAAAATAGGGCACTATGACAACACTGTGTGTGTGCTTGTGTGTGTGTGTGTATATCAGACCTGTGTGTGTGTGTGGGTGTGTCAGACTCCATGTCCAGTGACTAATAGAGGGAAGTAATGCACCACAACATGGTGTAGTCACACAGGAGTCAACAGGACTAAAGGCCCTACAGTTACTGATCCACCACAGGTTGGTACTCTGATATAAGACTGGTATAACACTGTTAACTTTTAGCTATGTGTGTGTGCTAGATGCTGCTGCTAGATGTGTGTGTGTGTGTGTGTGTGTGTGTTGCTCCACTTACTCCCAATGTAGAGACAGGACCCGGCCAGAACATGTCCTCCATGGTTGTGACACACCAGGTTGTCCCCTGACCTCTGCCTAGAGGCTGGCAGGCCCGGCAGGGTGACACTGAGGGCCGTAGGGCTCAACACGCTGTAGGAAGAACTGGGCAGCCGGCGGCCATTCAGGCTCCAGAACAGAGAGCTGGCGTGGAGGCCCAGATCAGGGCTGACTGAACATGTGGCAGTGAGGGTGGAGCCGATGGGCAGGGCTGGGTCCTGGGGGTAGATCCCTGCCATCTCTGGAGGGGAGAGAAGGGAGGAGTGAATAAATGGATGAAAGAATGGTTGCATGAACTATTAATTCCTAGTAATCAGAGGGAAAGAAACAAATGAGAGGGGAAAGAGAGAGAGTAGAGGGAGATGTGTTTTTACTGATTCAATGATTCAGAAGAGAATATCCGACAAATAGGCCACTGTATTCTAGAACACAGCAGTAACTCCCAGGTCAGTAGTGAACCCAGATTTCCACTTCCATAGGCCCAGAGTGTTTATCACATTGTCAGACCTCTACAAGTCTCAGCCTCAAGCCACAAGTCTTAAACAGCTGCCTCAGATAAAGGCTGTGTTGTGCTTTGAGAAAGCTCTTGCGAAGACGTTAATTTGACCAAAACTCCTCAACAACACACACACTATTTACACCAAAACACTGGCAACGCTGATGCTGTGTATGTGTCATCAGGGAGAGGAAGCCAGGCCGTGATTAGCCAATCAAACAACGATCCAGCTCCATAACGATCATGGTCTCACCATCACAGTGTTACAGGAAGGGCCAGGCAGAGGGAATGCCCCTGAATTAAGGAGCAGAACGTTCAGTCTAAAGACCTCAACGACAGATGCAATTACACTTGTGTATTTACTCTCCTGATTGGTTCTGAAGAAGTAACTATGGGCTGTAAAATTGTATTTGTTTTTAGAAAGGAGGTCTCCTGAGGTAAGGCTGCTCAGATAGATGATGGTTTAAAGGTGCAAAGGTGTTTTTGGTGAAAGAAGGTACAAAACGTTTTATTTTTTCTGGTAAGAGTGTTTTGTGCACCGATTATACGGCTTGTACAGAATGTTTGTTTTCGTTTATGTCTGAGACTGAGCATTGATAATTTGTGCAGGGTTTTGTTTCATCCAGGCACAGAGCCAAGATGGTGATCAGTTCGATCAGGTGTGTTAAGTGCTTGGATGGAACAAAAGCCTGCACACCCTGTTTATTTCTCAGGGGTGAAAAGCACTGCTTTTAATCTAAGTAAACACACAAGCTGTCGAGCTAAAGCCCTGTATTACAGCACTGGTGTTGTGAAGATGAAAAATAGCCTCTAGTTTTAGACCCTCCTGGTTCTGGATGTCAGTCGTCAAGGATGCATGAAAAGCGACTAATCCCCTGGTTTCTAAAACACTGTTTACTTTTCGCTTCTGCACGGAACAGTTCAAAGGTAGTCTGTGTTTCTGTCCGTCTACGGGACAAAGGAGCCACATGTGGAACATTTGATGGAGGCCTTGTATGTGAGTGAATTGAAACAAGTCATGCAACATTTAGCCATATTGAGCCATGTGATGTTTTCTGAATGGCAGTTACTTTGACTATGATGAGTGGGGGGTTTCACTGCAAAGGTTGACAACAAGTACAGAACATCAACTAGAGAGCTTCAACATCACATAGAAAGGAAGGTGAAAGACCGTTCACAGGGCAGCCTAAATGTCTTCAGTGGTGAGGAGCGTGTTGATGCACATCCAAACCATGCACAAGAACCTTTCAGAAAACGTGTATTGCTTTGTTATGAATCTATCACTGGAGTAATTGGGGGGGGGGGGGAATGGCAGCAGTGGGTCTTGTTCTTGAACCAGCAACTCTGTGGAAAGTGCACAATCATCTGTACCATAAAAGTCCAAGACCTCTTGCTATAGAGGCAGAAGCTCACTACTGTCGCATACATTCATTTCTTCATTAATCGGAACACCTGAAAATACATAAAAAGTTCATGGTTGGACAATAATCATCTAGGCCTACGTGAGTTGTATGACCTCACCTATACAAATAAACTGGACACAGACCCAAAATCTAGCCGACATACCGCAGCACATAACTGTGATTTATTTACTTTACTTTGCATTAAGCTGGCGGTTAACATTCCCTGAGACCCGACCATATGATGTCACCGTGGTGTTGCCTCTGTAAAGCCCGGTGCTACATGTGTTAAACGAATTATGAGCCGACCTGTTGAAATCCAACCTCTTAGGACACCGTTTTTCAATAGCATGGTCAAGAATACCGAGATCTGTGTCTAGGACTATTATTTCACAATTTCATCAAATCTAGAAGGGCTAGTGATTGTTCATGGAACTGACATTCTTTAAATATTGTGATGCTGGATACAGATCTCAACAGTTATTTTATTTCTTTATGAAATGCTTTATAATTAAGTTTAGCCTGTTAATTTAATTTCAAATGGTTGGAAACATAGGGTAGCCTACTAAATCTGATTGCCAGCATTTTATTTCAAATTACTTAATATTTACCTCACAATATTATTTTTAGGCCAACATTATAATGGATATACGTTTCAAAATATGTAGGACTTGCCATTGTTAGAGCAATTATTTTGTACATTAATTCCCTATGAAACCTGCATAAACAATACCGTTTAGCCCATAAACAAGGATTCAGACAGTAGGCTATTATCTAACAGTAGGCTATATCCGACCAAACCAGCTAAACAGACAACGTGTGTTATCACATGGAAGAGCTGCTGTACTTACGTGACGATGAGGACATCACAGCAGGAATGTACAGAATCAAGAAGAATAATGATAACATTTTATGGCAACTTTTAACTTCTTTTCGTTCAGTCGGTAAACTCTCCACTTTTTACGCTTCTATTAATAGCGTATAATTGACACAGGTCATAGCACCGAATTCCGAAGATGCGAGAAGAGGAGTCTTTCATGGGCAAGCTTGGTTCAAACCTATTATTTGCTCAGTTGATTGCAAACCATCTCCGGTTCTAAAGAGACCATCGGTAGTCGTAAGGTTTTCCAAACTCCGTTTAGTGTTCTAGTGCTTGTCCTCCTGTCTGTCTGCGTCTTCACACACAAGTTCATACTTTTCAAGCTCCTCCTCTCTCTTCCCACACTAACGCCAGTCATTTTTTCTTCCCCCCAGTCTTTTCCTCTCTTTTTCAATCCCCCCTCCCTCCCCCTCTCAATCCCCCCTCCCTCCTCCTCTCAATCCCCCCTCCCTCCCCCTCTCTTGGCCTGTGATGCGTCAAGAAGTCAGATCCATTCACTTTCACCGAATCACTCTTTCACCCTCTTTTGTTTCTCTCCCTCCTTCTTTTCTGCCTGGGGGGCTGTTGAGTGTTGAGTCATAGAGTATTATAGGAAACTTCCTCATGATGACTTTGACTCCCACACTGTGTGTGTGTGTGTGTCTGTGTGTATGTGCGGGCGGGCGCGCGCACGCGCGTTCATGCTTGTGTGTGTGTCTGTGTGTCTATGCTTCTGCATGTGTGTGATATCTGAGATGGTTTGGTGGTTGGATTTGTGTTTGTTTTGATGTTAGGTTGACAGGTGGTGAAAGGGATGTATTGTGGTATCTTGCATAACCCATATACAATGCCTTAGGTGGCAGGGAACAATAAATATGATGTCTTACAGTAGTATATTATTCTCACTGAGTGAGTCTATATCCCCCCCCTTTCCCGATTATATGAAATATTTCACCAATATTTTCATCAGTCATTCCTTCCATCAATTCTTCTTTAATTCCTACCTTCCTTCCCTTGAAGTAATCACTGATTGTACATTGTAGGATTGGTGAGAGTGGGTGTCATCTGCTGCTTTGGATAAATCACTAAATATCTTCATTCACATGAGAGAAACGGTGATGTAAGGTAGACTACAGTCACAACATCCAGTCTATTTAATCATACTGCATTGTCTTGTAGGATAAAAAAAAAAGCACTGTTCGTTGAACCTCTCAATGGACACTATGACTAATGTTTGAGTAATGACTACCACAGTCATGCAGAAGTTGCATCACCTCTCTTCTCTCGTTCTCTCTTCTCTCGTTCTCTCTTCTCTCTCTCTCTCTCTCCCTCTCTCTCTCTGTCTTTCTCTTCCCCCCTCTGGCTCTCTCTCTCTTGTGTTCTCTCTTTCTTTCCCTCTCTTCTTTGAGTCAGTTAGTGTAACAGAGACTAAGAATGTTAACTGATTCAGATGCCAATGTCCCACAATGCCATGCTTTCTCTCGGCTCCGAGAGGCGCCCGTTGTTCCCAAGGCGATTCCCGCTCGTGGTGTGGCGACTGTGTCCGGGCATCCCGTAAGTGTAAAAAAAATATTCTAATGCAACAAGAAAACCCTGTGTTGTGTCATTTATAAGCCATTCTAAGATCGTTAGAATAAAACTGATTTGCTAAAGAGGGTGTTGATTGATTGGAAGGGACTGAAAGGAGAATGTTTCTCATCAATGCAAAAAAATTGTCTGTTAGTTGGCAAACATGAACATACACACACTGAGGGTAAGCTGGTTCTGGATCAGTACCTGACTGCCTACAACCATGCTGAAACATTGAGGAGGACAGGATGGAGATGGTTCAATCCAGTACTACTGTGACAGACATGGGAAGACAGGCTTATTCCCTTTAAACCAGACCACATAGATGGGAACATAGGCCTATGGCAAAACCATGTGGCATGTGGCTAAAAAAAAGTGGCTTAACCCTGTGAGACCCATGGTTGCAAAAATGCAACACTGACTCCATTCATGTACAGGTCCTAAACTAAACAATGATGTCAAAAACTACCTAGTGCATCTCATTAGACCCAGATTCATCTCTTACTAGTATTTGTTGTGTGTCAGTATGATTGTTGTGGCATCAGTAGCCTCTGAAACAATAGAAACCTGTCTACTTGTCTGAGACCACACTGGTCCCTTACACAAGCATACTGTATGTTGGTAGCCATCCATGCAAGTACATTACTTGAAAAAAAATAATCTGTGTTCTCTAAGATGTAGTGATTATGTTAAAAAAAATACAAAAAATCAAGAAACAAACATTCTGAGCCAGAGCTAGAGGTAATTTTGTAAGTGATGCAAAAACGCAACATTGGGCTTAAAGGGTTGCATTCATATACTAATAGAAAGGGTAGAGAGATTGTTTCTCTTCCAAATTCTACAAATATGGACAACCAAATACTTCAATAGCTACTTTGATGTACCCTCTACACATCAAAAGAACAGACAAACAAAAAGGTGTGGTTTATGAGGTGAAAATACTGCCATTGACAAACATTCATTTTGTTGTAAAAAGTAAGATAGGAGGTTATCGCGCCAAGTTCAGCCAGAAAGGACAACCAAATAAAGTAGGTTAGACGTTCTCCATACATAGAAAAAACACAAAATAGTTGATCCTTTCAAAAATATATATTCAAATGAGCTATTTTAGACAAAATGACTTATATTCAGATTTATATACCATTTGACAACATTTTACATCACATGTTAATGCTTTAGATTCATTTTGATGTGATTTTTATAGATTTTCACAGTTTTCTTAATGTAAAATTTTCATACATTGAAGCCCAATGTGGCCTTTTGCAAAGTTTCCAGAAAATTGTTCTATTAATTTGAAAATCAAAAATCTGATTATTTTCATAATCAGGGGCCTATTAAAAGTACACTGCTCAAAAAAATGAAGGGAACACTAAAATAACACATCCTAGATCTGAATGAATGAAATAATCTTATTAAATACTTTTTTCTTTACATAGTTGAATGTGCTGACAACAAAATCACACAAAAATTATCAATGGAAATCACATTTATCAACCCATGGAGGTCTGGATTTGGAGTCACCCTCAAAATTAAAGTGGAAAACCACACTACAGGCTGATCCAACTTTGATGTAATGTCCTTAAAACAAGTCAAAATGAGGCTCAGTAGTGTGTGTGGCCTCCACGTGCCTGTATGACCTCCCTACATTGCCTGGGCATGCTCCTGATGAGGTGGCGGATGGTCTCCTGAGGGATCTCCTCCCAGACCTGGACTAAAGCATCCACCAACTCCTAGACAGTCTGTGGTGCAACGTGGCGTTGGTGGATGGAGCGAGACATGATGTCCCAGATGTGCTCAATTGGATTCAGGTCTGGGGAACGGGCAGGCCAGTCCATAGCATCAATGCCTTCCTCTTGCAGGAACTGCTGACACACTCCAGCCACGTGAGGTCTAGCATTGTCTTGCATTAGGAGGAACCCAGGGCCAACCGCACCAGCATATGGTCTCACAAGGGGTCTGAGGATCTCATCTCGGTACCTAATGGCAGTCAGGCTACCTCTGGCGAGCACATGGAGGGCTGTGCGGCCCCCCAAAGAAATGCCACCCCACACCATGACTGACCCACCGCCAAACCGGTCATGCTGGAGGATGTTGCAGGCAGCAGAACGTTCTCCACGGCGTCTCCAGACTCTGTCACGTCTGTCACATGTGCTCAGTGTGAACCTGCTTTCATCTGTGAAGAGCACAGGGCGCCAGTGGCGAATTTGCCAATCTTGGTGTTCTCTGGCAAATGCCAAACGTCCTGCACGGTGTTGGGCTGTAAGCACAACCCCCACCTGTGGACGTCGGGCCCTCATACCACCCTCATGGAGTCTGTTTCTGACCGTTTGAGCAGACACATGCACATTTGTGGCCTGCTGGAGACACATGCACACTTGTGTGGGTTGTAGACACCGTCTCATGCTACCACTAGAGTGAAAGCACCGCCAGCATTCAAAAGTGACCAAAACATCAGCCAGGAAGCATAGGAACTGAGAAGTGGTCTGTGGTGAGCACAGACCACTTCTCAGTTCCTATGCTTCCTGGCTGATGTTTTGGTCACTTTTGAATGCTGGCGGTGCTTTCACTCTAGTGGTAGCATGAGACGGTGTCTACAACCCACACAAGTGGCTCAGGTAGTGCAGCTCATCCAGGATGGCACATCAATGCGAGTTGTGGCAAGAAGGTTTGCTGTGTCTGTCAGCGTAGTGTCCAGAGCATGGAGGTGCTACCAGGAGACAGGCCAGTACATCAGGAGACGTGGAGGAGGCCGTAGGAGGGCAACAACCCAGCAGCAGGACTGCTACCTCCGCCTTTGTGCAAGGAGGAGCAGGAGGAGCACTGCCACCTGCAAAACCAGTCCTTTATTGGGGGTGTCTTGCTAATTGCCTATAATTTCCACCTGTTGTCTATTCCATTTGCACAACAGCATGTGACATTTATTGTCAATCAGTGTTGCTTCCTAAGTGGACAGTTTGATTTCACAGAAGTGTGATTGACTTGGAGTTACATTGTGTTGTTTAAGTGTTCCCTTTATTTTTTTGAGCAGTGTATTTCTGAAGGTAATAACATGTTTTCCTCATTTGGTTCTATGTTTGGGTCTCACAGGGGAAGGAAGTTCCCATTTAGGGGAACATCAAAATGGAATCCAGTAGAATAGAATACTGTAGATTCCAGTACAATAGAATAGAATAGCATAGAATAGAACAGAATAGAATAGATTGTGAAGATAGGTGTATTATTCTCCTCTGTGTATGGACCCTGCAGGAGGTTTTAGCAGAGGTTAGAGCCCTCTAATCAGGACTGGGAACCACTCCAATTCTATCTGAGTACAAGATGATGTACCAGGGGAGAGATAGAAAGAACAGGAGGGAGGAAGAAAGAGAGATGGAGCAAGAAAGTGAGGGGGATAGAGAGACAAAGAGTTGGAGAGAGAAAGAGAGAGATACAAAGTAAGAGAGAGAGGTAATCAGAGAAAAGCAGAGAGAGATCATTTCCTCTCTACGTACCTAGAGGCAGCCCCAGAGCCCCAGCGGTCCAATCCAGCCTGATTAGAAGAAGACGTTTGTTTGAAGACCATCAGTACCTGGTTATGAACCAGTTCCATCCAGAGACACAAAGCAGGGCTACTCCTTTCTGAGGAATTCAGAGGGATTGTGAGTATGTGTGGTGATTATACCCCTGAAAAAGGAGAGAACCAATCATTCCTTCTCCTCACATAGTCTCTCTCTCTCTCTCTCTCTCTCTCTCTCTCTCTCTCTCTCTCTCTCTCTCTC